TTTTAATTTTTTTTTTTTTCAGATTTGCTATGGTCAGTATTAAGTTCAAACTGCAGTCACAGATGAGGTGAGTGAAAACTTGCATTAAACAGCTAGTGATTCATTCCTAAATCTCTATAGTATTACTAAAATACAAGCTATTTCAATATTGACAAATACCTATAAAATATGTATCATGGCTGTTAAGAATGAGCATTGTTTTTTATTATTATTAACTTTAATTAATTATTTATCTAAATAGGCTTACTAATTCAATTAATTACCACATTAGATATATCCTTAGTATATATTACACTATATTTAATATTATATTTTATACACTATACAGCAATTGATTTTTTTTTAAGAAAAATGTATTATAAAATCTAAAAGTTTAAATACCTATCTTAAAATTATATTATTACATTTGTCTAATACTGTAAAAGTAATATAAAATAGTGCTTAAACGTTGTATTATAATATAGTTTAGCATTAGATGTTAAGTAGAATTTAGAGAATATTTAATTTTTGTCTCCTTGAAAATTATGAAGATGCTATTGGTAAGTTTTGATTTGCCTAATATGAATATCTTTATTTTTAAGTTCCTACTGTACTTTAAGTTACCTGTAGGTGATTATATATATTCTTTTTATGCCAAAATTGAAGGTTTCTTAATTTTTTTTTTTCTTATAAAATTTGTCATAATTATGTTGAAATCATAATGTTATTCCTTTTTAATTAAATTGTTAAGGTCTTTCTATCAATAATCTCAAATTCAAAATATATAACATTGAATATTTTAACAGTTAATTTATTAGCCACTAGGTAAATCAATTTTTGAAATAAATTATTTTATTACACAATTCAATTTACTTTACATTTTTAAATGATATAGATTATTTTTTGTAACTTATTATATAAGTATAGAGTACACAATTTGTTTAAATTTTCAGCCATTACTCACCATATCAAGAAAAAGCTGATTTAACCACAAAAAAAGAAGGATACAAATAAAATTCATCCATGCATTTGGTTATTAATTTTGGAATTAAGTTTAACTTAATTATTTAGATTTTTGAAATGTATATTTCTAAGATAATGAATGTGATTAATAAATAGCATAAACACATTAAAAATATTTGATATTTGTATGTTATACATCCAAATGTATTGATGATGGATATTCTCCAATTTCTTTTAGTAAATTAAGATAACTAACATTCTTAATAATGTGTGTAGGTAGGTAGAGAATATTAAGTGATGTTGATGTTTATCATTTACCTATGTATGTGTTTTTCATTAGTTTTTGTGATTTGAATTAATAATTTCAGTAAAATTAAAAAATTTTGTTTTTGGAAAAACTTAAAATTATAATAATTACAATTAGATGTTTGACAATTTGGATTTTTGAATACTTATTTGAAGGTAAGTACCTTTACTTATTGATTTGTATATATAATTAAATACATAATTTGATATGGTTTTTTAATTTAAGGATTATAGCTCTCTTACATTTCATCTTAAATTGTTCTTTTTTCATGGTCATTCTTGTGATGAATTGTTCACGTGAAAGATCATATTCGAAATTGAGCATAGTGAAAACCTTATTGGACCTTGATGAAGTTATTAAAACATTTAAAACATTGAGGCCAGCTGAGCAACCCATGGAGTTAGAAGAGAATAAAATGTACACACAAAACTTATGTTATTTTTTTAAAGTAGGTATTACTAGAATACAAATATAATAAATTAATACAAATATTTCCTGACCTCTTCTGCTAAGAGGGTCTAGTACCGCCTATGGGGCACATCTATCAACAGTATTAATTATTTTTAATTAATTTTTTTTTTATATTATATGAATCCTGGAAAAAAAATCCCTGCATATAAATCCCCAGTGCAACTATACTGTTAAAATTATTTGTATAAATATAAAAATTGAATACAGTTTAATCATCAATGGTTTGAGGTATATTGTGCACACAGCTATCAAAACTAATAATAATATATAATTTGAAAAAAATATAGTATTGCATTAGTCAGTTTACTCCCGTATATAATTGGATATTGCTGTCAAAAAATCTCTAATACTTATCCTATCATCATTCTGTTTTTTAACCAATTTTTTAAAACGGATGTTTATAGATTGTTTATGTCCTCTTTTTTTTTTTTTAAGGTTCACCTAAGTCCTAAAACATCTAATGTTAACTGGGCAACCATAATACCTATGTAATAAACTAATAACGTGTAGATACCAAATAGTATGTCTAAATAATAAATATCTAATGTGTTTTTCCAATTCTACAATTTATCACTCTAAACAATTGATTTTAGATATTTGGCAATTCAAATTATAGTTATGCGGGCTCCTCTTGAGAGTGTAATTGTAGATAGCACAATTATATTTAACAAATTATTTTTTTGGAATACTTGCTGTTTTGTTTGTAGTCTATAGTCTAAAATAATCATACGGATGATAATGATTGGACAATAATTTATACTTATAAATAATATTGAACTATGTGTGTACACTTTTTAAATATTATTATTTATAGTAGAGTTGTTTTGGTGATTTATTTGCAGGGATTATTTTCAGATTACCATATTAGCAGTATATGTAGATAGTTCATATTTAAGCATATTTTGGAATTTTTCAGTGCAAATTTCCGATTTCGTCTGTTTTTAGTGTATTAAATTCATAACTCTGGATTATTATATTGGTTGGGAACATTTCTTAAGACAGTCAATAGAGGCCCTTTTGACCTTTTTTTATCATTTTCTAATTTCGATTGCGTTCAGTTATACATTCCGATTGCGGCAATCACCAATTGGCATTTGTGAAGGGTGGTCGGGAATAACGTGCCATCTTAAAATTGATAAATTATTCAATATTGAAAAAAACAATTATTAAGAACACACCAATTATTTATCATTGTATCCAATGCAGTAAGTTTTACGCAGCATTATATTCCGTTGCTTTTCTTTCAACACTTGCGTAATAATTCAGAAGATTCATTGAAACACTTTCATTTATTTTCAGTTCAATTCCAACGTTCAACATTTTGTCGAACCGATATTTATAATAATCAATGAAAAAAATGTATTTACTTTTGTCGCTTATAATTGTTTTCATTTTGTAAGCGTTGTTTAGTTGAAATAACTGTGTGCACGAACCTTTATGTCCAGAAATATTGGTGTAATCTTGTATGTGTAATGAATTGGTATTTATGGTATATACAGTATGTTCAATGATATAGGTAACACCAAATATCTCAGTTTGATGACCTTGGATTTAAATTTGGTTTTCGAGAGGTGAATACATTTTAGGATAGATTTCAAATTTTTAACTTTTGGCGCGAGCATGCGCAATACAAATTGCCTTTTTTTTTTTAAATGGTTACACCTATTTTAACATCATATTGAAATAGTCTTATTTATTTCAAAAAACTGTAGGCAATAGGTATATTTTATTTCTATTTCAAAAATTGTCTGAAATAAAGCCGTATAAAATTTAACATTTCATTTTATGATTTAACAATTTAATTATTAAACATTTTGATATTAATAGCAAATAATTTTTAATTAATATTTTTACTCTTATCGACTATTATTGAACCTTTTAAACAAGATAATCAATGTTTTTCTAAATTTAATTACATATATTCCGTATTTATAAATTTTAAACTGATGTATCTCAGTCAATTGTTGAGATATAAAAGATGTATTAGCTAAAGTTGGTTAAAATAAATAAGACTATTCGAAATGGTGCTAAGCATAGGGGTTACTATTTAAAAAAGAGGTACGTAAGTTGTTTTGTGCATGCACTCGCCGAAATAGTTGAACATTTGAAATTTATCCTAAAATATATTCACTAGAATCGATTAAATATATTGTCGTATTGGCTCTGCATAGAGTTCGGCGCATTCAAATTGCGTCCATAAATAATATTTTATCCGAGTTGCTCTCGAGAATTCAAGGTATATTTTTGTTTCTAAGTCATAGTATTTTTAATAAAATCTTCGTTTTCTACATCCTCTCATCGTCTGTTTGTTAAATTTGATCTTTGCATTTTAATATAAATATTAGTTTGAACATTTTTGATATGAACGACACGAACAAAATTAATTTCCAACAATAAATTGTAAGGTGATATTTACCAACCTTTAATAAGGTATCGATAATCGACGGATAATTAACATTAACGAGGTTATCGTCAAACATGTAGAAATAAATTAACAACATTGTTCTTGCAGACGCAACTCTGAACAGTAGTCGAAAAACCGCAGACACAACTCTGTTTTCGCGACGTATATTGTCGTTTTTGGGGACGCAGCCATAGAGCTGCTGTTGTATCTATAGGTCTAGTTAAATATAAAGTCCTAAATAGTATACATACCTACCTACTTGTATAATTTTTATAGTATACTCGTTTTTAGGTCCGTATCATATATTCATATTGTATTATACCTATAATAAATAATATATATTATCAGTTATACACATTTATGCCGCGGTTAAACATAGAGGGCGCTTTTAAGTGACAGTGATTAATTTACGATAGTAAAATACCGTATTCTTATTACTTTATTTCATTCATTTTTATCCAATGTGTAATACCTACTGTTTTTAGTAATTATCAACAATATTTTAAATTATTTTGAACAATGAAAAAATATTACATTTTCTATGATATGATCCAGTTATCGGAACTGTTAAGCATTTTTGAAACTATACAAGAATGCTAATATCTTGTACTGAAAAAAAAAAACCATAAAAAGTTCAAAAATATACAAAATTATATTACAGATCTTAAAAAATGTTTCATAATATCCGCTCGTGTAATGTTTGTATTATACGGAAAGCTCACCTTTTAAGTTTAGGTCCATGGTTACATTCGATCATCACAAGAGGTTCCCGCCATAACCTTTATTCATGATTTTATTTTTTCAAGGTTGCTACAATTGTATAGATAACCATTCAAATGTGTGTTTTGTAAACGTCTATACTCTGGTTTGTTTAAACAGCATACATAAACAAACAATAGTCTGTTATTTCTTTTTAGTTTTTACTTTTATTTTGATTTTTGAATTCCAAAATAAATTTGTTTTCCGTATCCTGTACTTGTATCCAGTATAGTTGCCATTTTACATGTTTTAAATGTAATGTAAGTACCGTTTGTTATTCAATAAATAAAGTAATGTAAATTAAAATTTTGTTTTCATCATATACTTAACCAAATAAGTATAACGATCGAAGTCTAGCTCTTAAGGTAAAAGAAAAAAATGTCAAAATATCGAAAAACGTCAAATACATGTATTTTTCGTGTCTCCCGTTTGACCAATGTACCGTAATTGAATTTTCGATTTTCCCCTTTCCCACCGAGACCTGACCGGTTTATACTTGCGTGTTTAAAACTTCGTCTTGGAAAAATTGTATTATTCACAAACATTGTGTGGCTCTTTAGTATAAAACTAAACTTAAAAATATTAGAAAAGGCTATCGTGGTTTTCTATTAATATAGTGACCTAATAGAACGTTAAATAGTAAGAATTATGGTATTTCAATTTTTACTCTTCAATAACATTGCTGGTTTTTGATTAGGTAAGGAATGAGTGTTAAAATTTCATATATTTTTGGGGGAAATTGAAAAATAGATATTCTAATTGCAAAACGTCAATAAGTTCAAGAATGGGAATGGGAATATAAGGGAGGTTTTTTAATACTTTGACTTTTTGTTTACCCCAAGAAACAGAATTTCAGAGATAACTTTTTTCTCAAATCGCGAATGTGCAATACTAAACTGGCCTTATATCTAGTGGGAAATATTAAAATCGAAAATTCAATCGCAGAACATTGACAAGACATTTGTATTTGACATTTTTCAATATTTTTTTTTTTACCTCGTGAGCCAGACTTCAATCAGTATAATCAATCTTAAATATCTTAAAATTTGGTATTCAAATGATTTGTAATAACGGTTTTTCATTATATTTCAGATTTCATTATTTAAAAATAAATATAATCAAAATGAGTCGAACTGCAAAAGATAAATCAATGACTCGCAAGAAAAAATTAGCTTATATTAATGATATTTCCATTCTCGATGCAGAAAATTTTGAACCACCTCAATTGTCATCAACTCCGTGGAAATCAATTAAAAATTCAAAAAGAATTTTGAAAGACAACAATAGTTTAAATATAAGTGTGATAAGTAATAAACAGGATCAAAATAAAAAATTGGATGTAAAAATCGATAAACAACATACATCTAAAATAGCAGTAATAAAAGAGAATTATAAGCATAATCGATCACCAAAACTATTTTATAGTGACCCAGAAGAAGAGTTTACGGAAATTGATGATAATATAACTAATATAAGTACTACGATAATAAACGATTCTGATGATAAATGGACAACTTTAACTGATGAATCTGAAAGCAAAAACTGTACAAACATTTCTGATTTATTAGCTGAAATTGATGCAGATGTGGAACTCAGATTTGATAAGCCACCAAGACGATCATATCCCGGAAAGAAAAGAAGCAATAAGAGTATGTTTGAAGATAAAGAAGAAACAAAAGAAATAGATATTAAAATAGCAAAAAAATGTAGAAAACCTAAACAAAAGAAAAAGATAGATCCACAAGAAGAGGCTTTCATAATGTCCATAAACGAACACTTTAATGATGTTGAAACATTTAATTTAGCTGTAGAGTAGGTAACTATTTTTTGTAATAAAGCTAATTTAGCTTAATGTATACACATAATAATTTTATTTACTTACATACTAAGTATATCTGCATGTACTTAATGATAGCATAATACAAATTATAAAAGCGTACTACAGCATCAACCTAATAGTGGTAACATGAATTTCGTCTACTGTACTTAACAAGTTCTGAGTTTCTGATCTCAAGCAATCATATAATATACAAATATAAAAAAATATATTTATCTATGGCTAATTTCATACTTGTAATTATGTTTCTAAGTAATTTGAAATCCAATCGAAACACAGGTAATGCTTTTTAGGAATGGTTTACATTACTAAATTATATGATTTCTTAAGTTTGTAAGTTTACTTTGTAATAAATTGAATCTTATAAATTAACCTTATTATTAAGTTCTATCACTGTTGTATAATATTACTAATCAAATGAATAAACAATGTTGATGTTCTAAACTTTTATTGTTTTCCTACTAAAAATAAATCTTACAAATAATTAAACATTTCATAATATTATTTTATATAGTGTTAATACTATATTTTCAAAATGTAGCAAAGATCACCAATATTAAATGTGAGAATAATACAATATGTATAAATATAAAATAATAGTTATAGATGTTCTTAAATAATTTAATTTAACTCATGTGAGTGTTTACAAATTAAATGTGTTTAAAAAGTGTATTACAAGCGTAAACAGCAATCTAACAGGGATATACAATAAAATATTATTTTTACTGATAATATATATATATATTATCAGGCAAAAGTATCCCAAGTTATTTGTTACTTATAAAATTATAATCAAGTACACAACTATGAAAAATTAAGTTAATAATAATAAACCACAATATATATTATAAAAAAAAATCTTAATAATAAAAACAAAATAAATATAAAATAATAGAGTAGTTGTACATAGACAGATTTAATAATATAAATAACATAAAAAAATTCATTTTTTTATTTGAGTACATAACATGTGCATAATATTAACAACAGATTATTTTGTACATCTATGTAACACTTCAGATCATTTTTGTCAGATTATTAATTTATGAGCCAAATTATTAATTACTTAAGTACTTGTATTATGATTTACAAAGTTATTAATCATAATATGAAAAATCTAAACAACTGGTATGTTTTATAACAAATTAATTGATTAAAAATAATAGAAAAAGAGAAGAAAAAATTAAAATAACTAAAATATTTATAATTTAAAAACATACTTTAACAAAAATACAATAATCATTCCAATGAAAAAATATGTAATACCTATACTTTATTTGATTATAAATAAGAACTGTATTGTAATATTAACATTTTCTAATTATTTCCGTAACAAGCTATCCTAAATATTTAATTAATATAATTTTAAAAATTTGTTAGTAAAAGATTATATAGTAAAATCCCATTATATTTAATGCTGAAATATTAAATTTTTAATTGGAGATAGTTAAACTTTGAAATATGTAAAAATTTAATATATGTGAATATTATAAAATGTTATTACAATTAAAAAAAAACTAAATAATAAATTACACTTTACACAAAAATAATAATAAAAAAAAAAAAAACTATTAATCACAGAAATTGATAGGTGGAATTTATGACCTCCCAAGTACTAACAAATAAGTATTAATTGGATAAGTACATTTGAATAATAGATATTGAAGTTTAAACTAAAAAATATTAGTTTTTGATTCCTATTTTATTTAAATATAATTTTTAATTCCTGATTTTATCATTTTTCTTAAAAAAAATTGCTTGTTTAGTATACAATGTACTGTTCCAACAAAAAACTGAAAAACATGATTAGAGATATAGGGGCCCAAACTTTAAGAAAATAAAAAAAAAAAGGATTTTTAACTCGTATATGGTTTAAAGGCCAAATAATATTATTCATCATAAATACTATATTATTCAGAAAGCCATTTAAAGTTATACATTTTTCAAATTTAATTTTTCACCTAAATATGAACTTGATATGATGTACATATAACCACGCAATTATTTGTTATTATATTTTAATATGGACATACGAGTATTTTATGGATACATTATTATTATAATTATCTAAAATTTTATTTATTAGTATTGCCAAATATTGTATGTTCAGACATGTTATATTTGTTCTCTTAAAATAAACACAATGTTAATATGTCTATTTAAAATAGTTGTATGTAACAATGTTTAGACTAATTATTGTGCATTCAAAAATAAGATCAGCTCATATATAATTACAAAAAAATAATACAGTCCTAATAATTTTGAACGCTTGATATTTGGCAGAATCGTAAAAAGAACCCAGATTTTCTTAATTGGACTTATAAAACTAAGTTTTGAGAAATGAAATTATTAAATTTGGGCTTTAAGTTTTTTTTTTCACTTATAAACGACCCAAAAAGTTTTCCTTATAAGTGCCTATGTAATGATAATATAGAAATAAAAAATTTGAATTATAAGTTTTTTAATAAATCCAAAAAAAAAAAGGATAGAAACAAATGTTTGTTTGAAATATTAAGCGTATGCAAAAATGAATTGTGATCATTAATAATTGATTTAAGTAAACTCAATAAATTAAGTGAAAAATAGCTCAATACTATTATTAAAATGACTAAAAGTAATGATTTACATATACATTTAATTTTAACTGTTTAAAATAAAAAAAATCAAATATCATTAAACACAGTGCTTACAATTATTATTAATAATTATTGTATAATAAATATTTTTTTTTCTACAGAATAGCAAAATGCATGGTAATTATTTTTTTTTATATATCTACAATAATTGCGATTACTATAATAAGGCTCAAGACTCCCAGCATTTAGAAATATTAATGCTAAGTTTTGTAATTTAAAAATATTTAAATAAAACATGTACTTTATAATTTAATTTCCATTTTTAATTTTCTGTGTTATTTAAATGTCTTTAAAAAATTAACTTAATTAATTAATTAAACTGTTACTACCTATACTATTTGAATAGTAAAAATATAAAATGATAAGTCTTGAGCCTTAATTAATGGTTATTTATAAATAAATGTATTTTATTCTATATTAAGGGTGGTTTATTTATTTTAATTTTAACCAATTCTAATGATATTCATATGACTTACAAAATAAATATAAATACTGTAATTTACAAACATTTCAAACTCTTAATCATCAGACCTTAAACTCAATAAAAATATAAAACTCGTTCTTGGGCAGGAACACTGAGCAATCTCCAACCACGTTTTATATTCATATATTGTATAACAGCACGAATACAAATTAAAAATCCAAATGCCATAACTAACCACCAAAGCCACGTATTTGAATGATTTTCTGATGATAGCTCTGCCATTTCAGTATTACGTTTCACTATCATTGTCCATTTAGCTAATGATAATCCAAATCCAGCAAGTGCACCATAACGAGCCGCAACAGTTTGACATAAACACATTAACACCAAGAAACCTACCCAATTGAAGAGTAACGCGACTGGAAAAACAATTAAAAAAAAATATATTAATAATATAATTTGTATTGTGTTTTATTAGAAAGTAATAAATATAAATAATATTATTTATTAATAATAATAAAAAAAATGTATTTGTACCCAAAAAAGCAGTCAAAAACATATAATCTGTGCCTAATAAATTAGTGTCAATTTCACATGGGTTAGGCGCTGCATCAATTGTAAGAACAGTCAATGTTTGTGCAGGCATCTAAAAAAATATATATAGTAAATAATACATGAAAAGTAGAATGCAAAGTTAAAATATATATATGAATATTTCAATTTAACTCGGAAATTTTCAACTAATTATAAATCATTCAATATCAATAAATATTGATATTTCTTATAAGCTCAATAACTTTAATTTTGATCTTGATACAATTTGTTTAATTTATTCAGAGATTTTACAATTATTGTCAAAAGTTATCAAGATAAAAAAAAACTAATGTTAACCTTTGTATTTATTTGTTTTAAATTATATTCTATTTTTATCTTATCAATCTTAAAAACTTAGTGAACATATTGTTTTCTTTTTACTACTGCCAGTATTCATATGTATTAGTAAATTCAGATTAATATTTATTAATAAAAGAATAAATGAATTAATATTTAATATGTGTACGATTATTACAACATATTAGGAATGTTATAAAATGTACAATGCTCAACTACTTTCATTTCAGATGACGCTCAAAGGTTAAAAACATAAAAATATTCTAGTTTTCAAAATACAAAGAATATAAGACAGGTTTAGTAATTAAGGTATCAGAATGTAATATAAATAATAACTAGAGTTTGAATTTCAATGCTTTTAAAGTATATAATTTGATTCATGTAACAGATATTTCAAAAATGAAAACTTTGATTTTGAATTTTTAGAGCATTTTTACACTTTATACAAATTGATAATTTAAATTTAGGTGATTAGAAATATTAGGCATCTAAATTAATTTGTTTTTAATAAATTTTAGGTATTTTTCATAACATATTGCCAATTGTACTATTTATGACTGATACAGTTTTTATCTTATCTTTATAAGGTGGTGTGTCATTTCGACTCAAACAACCTATAAAAGTGAGACTTCTATATTTTTAGTTTTTTTCATTTATTTATTATTATTATTTCCGGTTCTAGTAATAACAATTAAAAAAACAAAACCATAGCACCTAGGATATATCATTATTTTTCGTAGAAATTCACATTTTTTTTTTAAATTATACTTCAATTTTAATCATTTTCTATTCACAAAATAATTTGGAAATTATAAAACTTTTTTTTTTGGATTTATCCTTTGTTTAATTACTTATTTTTTTATTTAAGTATTGACAAAATATAAAATAAAATGGTTAATATCTCTATAATAATAATTGTTGCTGTATATAAATTATATTTCTCTAATCGTAAACTAAAATTATACTATTCAGCATTCATGTTATTGTGGTTTAGTTCTACTACATTCTATTAAATAAATCTACCATTCTAATAATATTTATCTGTTATGAAAGATTTTGTTATATTTATATATATGTATAAATATTGAAGCAAAATAAAAATGCATTTATTTTTAATTGTTTTTAACATGTTGTATATGCTAATATTGGTTTAAACAAATATGTCAATCATACATATGAATTAATTAAAATATATAATTTTTAAAATGATAATTTTAAATTAAGCATAAAATTTAAATAATTATATAGAAAAATATTATGTAATTACTTCTTGCGGTAATGTCCCAATACTAGGTGGTCCTCCAACAACTCTTCCCTGAAAAATACATTTTTAATAGTAAAAGTGGGATTTTAAAACTAGAATAAATAACAATTACTGGCAATCTAGGAGACATTTCTCCTTCCAAACGTTTTTCCAGTTGTACTTCTTCATAAGTTGGTAGCTTTACAAAATCTGGGTTGCCGTCTTCATAAGGGGGAGGAGCAGAATAGTCTAATCTAGGGGGTTGCAAAGCGTAATTCTAATAAATAAAAAAAAAAGACATTAAATTCATTATTTTAAGTATCAAAAATTGTAAGAAATTACTTGAGATGATACTGGTGGATGCACAGGAATTGTTTGGATAACTTCAGTGTTCTCATTTTCTGATGCATCTGTTTGATTAGTAGTCGCAACATTTGAATACACAGGAGGAGGAATGTCCTACATAAATTAATGTTATTCATATTTATAGTACTAATTTATAATTTTTTATTTTTGGCATTAGTATAATTATTATTCATCTAACCTAAAATTATAAGACTATCATCATGAATTGACAAAATGAAAGATAAAATGCAATAATGAAAATAACAGACAGTAAAAATAATGTAGAAAATGTATGTAATAGAAGAGAGAATAAGAGGTGAACCTAAAGAGGTTAATTGGATGTGATAGCAATATGAAATTAACAGCATGTGTAAAGGAATGAGGGGATGAAGCTAAGTGAAAGTTGAGAGTTGGGGTGTCTGACCTCAAATCTTGGGACTAATAGTGAAGAAATTGAACTAACATAATATTAATATTCATTGTGATGTGGTAATATGTTTTTATTTAAACATAATTTATGTAAAACAAATACTTAAAAATTATCATTACTTAAGAGTGTACCTAACAGAAAAATCTAAACAGTTGTATTTTATTGTACTTTATTATTTAAAATGGGAAGATACAATGGACACCACTTCTTTTCATTACTGAATAACAAAATCAACAGCCTAATTTTGATGTTTAACAAGATTTAATTTACTACAGTTATGTTGTTTTATAAAATCAATCATACAGACCAAAAAAAACAATACATTCATACTTGTAGCAAATAGTACAATAATACCCATTGTGGAATATTAAAATATTAATTTTCATATTTTTAGCTCATAAACTAAGTAAGAAATACATAATGCCTAATCATTCTATTCAAAACTTAAATAATACTAACCATGATATGGTTTTCTGTTTGTTGATTCATATTTCATAGATATGGATATTTCAATACTGTATATCTAGTAAAAAAATTACTCATACAAAAACATTTATTACAGTTATTAATCAATCATTAAAATCCAATGTAGTTATATTATACAAGTAAAACAACTATTATCTTCTGAAATTTAATTGAATACGATACAATTTTTTTAATTTTTCACATTTTTTAATTAAAATTATAATAACATTAATAACATCCTACAATTAAAGCACATAAACATTAGACAGAGAATAGGTACAACATAGTCAACTAAATGAAAAACAAACATATGTTTAATTTTTATCATTTTGGTGAATTATTGATAAAGATGTAAGATAACGGTACAGTGCGCCCAAGAATAAAACACTGAAAACATTGAACTGATATTATTCTATAAAAAAAAATAATCATTGCTAATAAAAATTGGTTTCTGAGCAGAGTTCGATTAATAGTATTGTTGTGTCAATAATGTGGGTTTTCTTGGCAACAATGATTATTGTGTAAAAAAAGATTAAAATAATAACAAAAAATTATTAAAAACGGTTTCCAATGGTAACTTTATTTTTAATTTTTTTTAAGAACCATTTTCTTCATTGTCTCGAATAATAATGAGAATTTCAAAAAATAACTTTTTCAAATTACTAACTAAACCCAAAATGCAAAAAGAAAGGTCTCTTGTCATGTTTTGATTAGAGGAATATTTTTAGGAGAAATTTCGTACACAATACAAAAAAAAATGAACATTGTAAAACCAATACATTCCTCACTTCACTCAGAATTTAGAATAGATAGCTGAAAGTGTATTATTGTATTTTGAATTGTTCCATTTCCTCTCTCATGGGTTATCGAGACAAAATAGACATTTTTCATAATAATTTATATAGTATGAAAACCTATACAAATTATGAAAATAAATCGATAATCTTGGTGTACAAGTTTATAAAAATATCACTATAAATTATTATTTATTTTTTGTTTTAAATTAACATAAACTAATAATAGCATGCGAATAATACTTAAGTAAATTTTTTAAATTAATTTAATAAACTATTTATGAATTATTTTGAAAATTAAATTTGAAGTTTGAAATTATATATGGTTTCCTCATTTCCGTAGATATAATTCTCAACGTTACGTTCGTTGTTTTCACAACAATTTGTTATTCATTTTCTTCAATATATTTTTTTCTAAGATTTTCGTAATGTAATGTATTGCATAATTTTAAATTAAATAATGCGGTTTTTTTAAAAAGCTTTTATAGAACACCATAATTTGGACTTTAAAGTTAAAATCGCGGTAAATCAACTGTGCCAGCCTTCAACTGAATTATTTAAAATGTGTACAAATCCTTCATATTCAAATTCAAATATTAATTTGATAAAATTAAAATTAATTTTCTTAAATGTAATAATACTCAAATTTGTCTTGGTCTAATATTTGTAAGGTGATTTTGATTAAATACTGGGTGAAATATTTTGATAAATTTTTAAAGAAAAATGTACATATTTTCCAACTAATAGTATTCCAACAATATAGTCAAACTGAAATAGTTCGTAAATTTTTCTTTATATTTAAATCACTAAGAAATATCTAACAATAATCTTAAAACTATTGTCTATAAATCACTTGTTCTTTCTTTAACTTCTTATGGAATTGATGAGAGATGGGATATATCACTCCATTACTATATTTGTAATAATATACAAGGTAATTTTTTAAACATGCTGGCCCCATTTTTATTCATTCAGTAAAATTATTCATAAATTCAAATTCTGATTTTTGGAAACCTAAAAACTTTTGTTTCAAATTTCAATTATAGTACATCAACATTCTCAGACAAATTTGTATCAAAACATTTAAGTTCTCATTTGAAAAACCAAAATGTTTAACGCCACAGGATACTCTTTAAATTTTGTGAAAAGTCTAAGTAGATATGCGAAAATATCATCATTCACTGCACTTAAAAATTTCAAAAATCAGAATTTTAATTTATTCATAAATTAACAATAAAAATGGGGTGAGCATTCTCAAAAATCAGTATAAGTATACTAATTAATTAACTATACAGTATATAGTATATACAAATAATCCTCACCTCTACCACCTATGACAAAATTATTCGACTCTCAATGTAGACGATACAAATATAAATGAAAATTAGATATTCAAATTTTGATTATATAATTATTGTTAAACACGAGGTTATATAAATTGTATTACCAACCTAATTTTAATCTTGACATACTTACATTTAAGCATAAGATGGGTTCATTTAAAAATTTAATAAAAACAACTATACCTATTAAATATAATATCGTATACATGTAATTTAATTATTTAATTCATATTTATAATACTTAAATTAGTTATATTATGGAGTATAATAATTTCGAAATTTAAAAAAGAAGTCTGAGTAGGGTAATAAGCTCTTATTACCCTGTAACTAGTCTAGTTTATTAATAACAATTTAAGGGTATTTAATCTATATTAACTTTAATTAATCGTTTAGATATTAGGTTAAGTCTATGTGTGAACATTTATATTATTTAGTATTATAATAATTATAAAATTTGTGGAAGCTTTTTAAATATTAAATAATAGGTAATTAATAATATTATATTACTAAACAACGTTATAAATAAATTAAAGATTGCAACCTTACCACAATGGTATATTAGATATGTATAAACCATGTAGATGAGTAGTAATCAAATATGATTTGTTCGAAGATCATAAGTCATAATAATAATGTATAATGTAAATAACATATAAATTGATCAAATTTGCATGTTAAAAACTTAAAAATGTTTCCTTAACGAATGTTTAATTGAATGTTCGAAATAAGTTGTGTGTATTCCAAAGAAAAAGTATCTATAGTGGTTATTAGGAGAGCTGATACAGGTGGAATAGAGAAGAATTGGTGAGGCTATAAGACAGTTTAGAAAACAAAAATAAACAGAGTACCTACCCGATGATTTGATTTAAGTGGGATAAAACAGGCAAGAGCAAAACTAATTTTGTAATATTATAATAGTTATACAGTTTTAAAAAGTTCACCGAATTTCCAAACAAAATTATCTTTCATAGATTAATTTTTTTAAGAAGATATTTCGATTATTCAAACTTTCGTGTAATACACTTTTTAACACATGACCATTATTTAAATTTAAACAGTTTAAACATATTATGACCTTCAAAAAAAAAAATAATAATAATAATAATAATCGAACATGTACACTCCCATCTAACATTTATATCTTAAACATAATTGATTTTTTTTAATGAAGGTAAACATCTTGTCTTTAATGCGATACCTATGCACTTAGGTTCACAAGGGCGCTAAAGGGAGAAAACAGGTTCTTTTATATTATAATTTCATGGGGAATACGGACGTCCACCACATTACCATAGCTCATAGGTTGATACTATGTTACTACTATTACAGAAATAATACCTATATTATTACTATATTAAATTATATAATATTTAACACGTAGGTATATAAAGCAAAATTATCATTATTTTCTAGGCAATCTGCTTTTTGATGGGTATAAAATACAATATTTGCTATAATGAACAAATGAAACAATCTAAATAAAATGTATTAAATGGTTTTGATCATTTCTATTATTATTTTGTTATAAATAATAATTATCAACAATGTTAAATAATATATTAGCTGACCTAATATAAATCTAATACACCGATGGTATATTATTACAGTTGTTAAGTAGTATAACATGTAATTATTTCCAAACGAAAACATGGCCAACATCTATTACAATATCTATAAATAACAATTGGATATTGATAACACACTATAGAATTCAAAATTAGTACACTGTTAACAGATACTGCTCACAGGTGGATCACTGTAATAGGTGAGAAATTGGGAAGGTAGGAAAGAGGGGAATTTAATTTATATCTTAAACAACGAAAACGATTCTGAGTGGATCTCGGTAAATAGTATTGCTTTTTCAAAGTTGTGCTGTTGGCACTACTTTGAAAAGCTCTAGCGGTGAAAATAAAGTCCAACAAAATCTCGGATTGTTTCAACCATGTTCACCAAATTATGTTCGATACTTTTTATTTGGGTAAAATTTTCCTAACATAAAGTTGTGCTGTTAGAGTGTAGTTAGCAGCACAAAAGTATCTAAAGCTCTAACAGAAAAAATAACGTTCAACAAGTTACCAACAAATTTTTTTGATGTATTTTATAAGTGTCTGTTATGGTTGCACTGCTAATTTTATGGGGTCATTTTAAGGTTATAATGGTGATTGGTTAATAGAGTTACTAAGGGATTCTGCTCTCTGCTAAGTTCATTGGCCAATTCTCGTAACAAAACAAAATATACAAATGATGTAAATCTAAAAAACGTTTTGTATAATAGACTATAAAAAGATAAGAGACTTATATAAAGGACAATAACCGATTATTTCTAAAATCATTTTAACAAAAATACTACTCATGTATTGGCTATCTAGTATCTATAACAGTATTGCTGTATTAGTACTTTGGTGCTGAACTTACAGGTTAATACAGAATATAGATTGAAACTATATTATGCAAGCATGTTTAATATTCCCATATTTATACTATTTGTATTATTATCTATTTTGTTTTAGGTTCTATCGTTTGTTAAGACTATAAAATTTAGAGTTTTAATGAGCTAAATCTATACAAAAAGGTAGGTTATTAAAATTTTTGAAAAAAAGCTGGTATTACTGATAGATGCTATGTTCTAAAGGCTAAGATTTTTATAATTTACGTTAAAATTTGAACTTTAAATGTTAATAAAAAAATGATTATACTTTAGTTAACTTTTTTTTGATTACTAAATACAATTTATATTAAAACTCCCCTTAAATTTTCAAGCATTTCTGATAAGTCAAATAATATTATCCATAGAGTATCTGTAAAATAAAAATTACAAAATTAAAATGTCTATAAATAACTCAAAAATAACTCAAATGTGTATACATTTTTATTATATCTAGAAAAGGCAAATATAAGTTTCCTGTCTAAATTTCAAATCTCTATGAATATATTAAATTGAATTACAACAGGAAAACAAAACTGAAAATAATAAAGGAATTATATTCGTACATTTTCCGGTTCTTTCTAAAATTTTTTTTAGTTTTTGCTCAATTATTAATAAAGTTCCTTAGTCAATCAAAAAATGACTTTCTTACCCACTATATTAAAAATTGTAATAAAAAAGGTCCCTTGTTATTTTTCTATTTAATTAATATCTTGGGTAGAAAACATAACCCGTAAACAAAATAAAAATATCCTAACCCTATACATTTGTTCATTTTTCATTATTCATCTTTTTTTGGTTTTCGCTATTATTATGAGAACTACTTGGAAAATCATAAAATGACCTTCTCAATGCACCTACTAGATAAAATTACCTTTGAGATGGATCAGAGAGATATATAAACCCCTTTAAATTGTTTTTAAGTGTTATTATTTTTTCAAATACATTTTTTAGATTCTGAGTGGAGCGAATTTATAATGTTGTTTTTATTTTATGTGAACAACTGTTTAACAGAAATATTGTTCCTATTTACAAGTGTACACTTTTTCTGAAAGGAAATCTGACTGGGGAGGTACTTTAAGGAGGTCATATTTTGATTTTCTCAGGAGTTTTCTCATTATGTTGGAAAACCGGAAAAAAACGAAAAATCGGCAAAATAGGTACAATATTGAACAAATATTATTAAAGAAAATGTTTAATGCATATGTAGGTAATCATTTTACTAAAATATGACATATATATTGTTGACAAAGCAACATTAGCAACTGAACTACGTTCAGATTCGTTTTTCATTAGCAATGGTTTTTTGTTGAGCATGGATATACAATAAATTTCTTCTCTACCTAACCTTCTAGCCTATCTAAACCTAAGCTTCTCATCTACATCAGTGGCCCACCCAAGTGTAAAGTATGTTCGTTTTTTTTTTATTTTGAGCATAATATAGTCGATTTAAGAATGTTGTGAAAAAAGAATTGAACGAACTGATTTAGTTTCGAAATTATAGTCTTTTGTAGTTCTGATATTATACGGATTTTATATTTGTTAGTGTTATGTTAAATAACTCAATATTGCTAATTTCACATTATATCTATCGTAGTCTAGTGGTGATACGTACTTGATGTCATCCCAGAGACCCCAAATTCAGAACATTTTTTTTACAAAACCACGTCTGGTATAGGTAACAGAAATAAAATTAAGTGTAATGTAAATTTTTTTTTTATGTTTTAAAATTAAATTTTGACGAAAATTGTAAATATTTGGGCTTTTTAAAATATGTACAACTGAACTTCACTCTAAATCGCTTTTCGTTATCAATGGTTTATCGTTGGTTACAGGTATAAATTAAATAACTACGTATTCCACCTTCCCCACTACCCACCTACAACAGTGGCCACACCCACCTCCTGTAGCAAATCTTTTTTTATTTTGTTTCATGAAATATCAATATAAATTATTAAGCAAATCATAATATCAATAATAAATTTACACTTGTGTTATATTTTTTTTAAGTAACGTGTAACATTATTATATGATTTGCTTTAATTTTGTTTTTCAAAGAATTTTTTCAAGTATTTGTACTCGAAGATTATGTTATAATATACTTTATTATATATATTTCGTCATTGTATTATAAAAATATTTTACCGGTATTAAGTTTCATTATTCGGATAAAATAATATATTTTATGGGTACTATTTAATAAATTTAACATTACCCATGAAAATACTGCTAATTAAACATACGTGTTTATTAAAAAAAAAAAAATGTGTTTTTGGATTCAATATGGATTAAATCGATTCTTAAAAATATTTGTTTGTATTGTCAGCCAATTTTTCACTGTAATGAATTGTAGTGAGTATTTTTTATAATTTTTTTAGTATGTATTTTAATATGTATATCAATTTTCGGAGAACTAGCCGTAGCTAGTTAATAATTTACACAGTTGATAGTTTATATCCGTCGAATACAGTGTGAAGGTTAATAAAATAAGGTACGTCGTCAACATGTTAATTCCCATTACTTTTTTTTTTTTTTTATTAACATGACCAATTTTAGAAGTAATTAATATTATATAAGTATGAGTATCATAGACGTGTGCGGGAGTATAATAAACTAGACAAATATATAATAATATATGACGGCCTTAACCGTGCACCGCATAGTAATCGATATTGAGGTCTTTGGACGGAAAACAATTCGGAGGAAATAATAAAAATTAACACAAAACGTATATATATATTTATATAAATATATTCAATAATAATTTAATAATTTAGTATAGTATCTATACCATCGTATGGTTTCGATGATAAATAATAATCAATAATTTATAGTAAAAACACTAGGCCTTTGTTTAAATAATAAATTACAGGTCATCAATATTATGCCGCTCTGATGATGGTGGATATTGAGACCAGCATAATAGTTAAATTAATAATAAAAAAAATAACAAGTCCTCCGAAAGTGGGCGCCAGTGCAGTAATTTTGAGTATCTCGTTAGCGTCGATCACATAAGACATTTTTGTCGAGCTACTCTTTGTGTGCTGGTGCTTCTTGGCGGTGACGTGCGTATTTATATTAAAATATAGTAACATTTTTGGTAAGGAAATTTCAACGAAACAACAACTTTGTAGTCCGAAAAGGTATTATTGGGGGAAGATATCAGTGTACGCGGTCTTTTGCAACGCCTTGTTGACGATATCTTGAGCGATGGTCGCGACTACCTCTTCTAAAGCGGGCTGTAATTCTTCCAAAAGAACTGGCCAGTTTTCGTTGAGGATCGTGTTCATGCTGTCGCCTACACAAACAAATGGACAATAACAGTAAATTATTGGGAAACTATTTTTTAAATACGGTATTTTATTTGATTAAAATGCAAAAGTAATTATTCTTACCGAGTTGTTTATTTCCGTTGAAAAGGTTTTCCAACTTGATGTTCAATTTCTTAATGTTCACTAATTTCAGGTCGATTTTCTTGATCTGGACATAGGTCTTACCGTTCTTCTGATACGGAGTGCCGGACACGTCTTTTAAATCCAATATAGCATCGTCTATAAGTGAGAAGTAAGAAATATTTTTCTTTAGGCATGAAACAATGAAAACTTCTTTATCTGAAAAATACTAATAGGTACTTACGTAAGGTAATGGAACACGGTCCGTTGCCGGTGATGGGCAACACGAGTACTTTGCCGTTGACCGTGTATGCTCCTGTGATGACGATAGGCTTGGCGAACGCGACCTTGCCAGTCATCCTGTAGTTGTCCACGTCGACCTTTAGCGAATCGATCACTGTTCCGGTCAGCCCGGTTATCTTAACGTCCTTTAGCTTCAGGTCGATGCTAACCGATTTGGTAGACCCCTTACCGTGATCGATTTCCAATGACGGAAGTTCGAACGGCTCGAGTGCCGGAATCCTCAGTTTCGGGTATCCTTCGCTCAGATGCGGAATCACTTCCTGTATGGACGTCTTCAGACATTTATCAAGGTTAGGGTCGTTTTTCTTGCATAGATTGAACGACAATTCTGTAAAACAAAATCATAGAGGGTACTGAAGAAAATGTTACACACCTAACATTATGTAATTTCGTTAGAACTTAAAAAAAAAAAAACTGTGCCCACATGATATAATAAATATTTTAAAATCTATAAGTATTCGAACCAAAACCGATTAATAATAATATTTGTTTTGGACATTTTTCGTCAAATAATAGTTGTAAAAATAATAATAGTATCCATTTTCTACTTTATTATATTATTAATTGTTTTGAATAATTTCCTCTTTGAATATTATTCTTGTTTGATTTCTCACCGGTATTACTATGATTTTGCACGAAATAACTAAACTGTTGTGGCCTTGGCTGGCTAATAGCACATTTACACGTTTTACACCTTCCGGGATGATGTACTATTATTAATATTTCGGTCACGTTCGTGTTTTTTTTATTTCGATTGGCTGGTAAATTTAATTATTTTCGTAAAATATTAAGTACCTAATAAAATAATATATAATGATTCAAACATATTATAATTGCAAAGATTTTGCACTACATTTGATTTACTATTTATGAGTAAACAAGTAATTAAACAATCATTATATAATATTATTATGTAGGTAGCTTTGTAATATAATTTAATATTCTGAATTTCTGAATCTGTAGTATCACGATAATAGTCATTCCTGTTGGTTATTCTTATACTTTTTGAATTCAGATTAATAATAATTACTAATAGTATTTTATTATATTTTCTTAGGGCTTAATTGACGAAAAAATCTATTAAAAATGAATTTATATTTATATAATAGTTTGTTCATTATTATAAGTATTACGCAGGTATTATATAAATATTTAAAATCTTCGAAAAATTGGCTTCAAATGCTTTAATTTTCGTTTCACTGTACTAACCATTGGGTACCTAATTTTCTAAAAAAAAAATAAATAGATAACTGAAAATATTCGTTATCTACATGAAAATTGGAAATAAGTGTGTAACTAAAATAATTATAATTTGATATTATTTTTATAAGTTTAAGTTTATAACAATATTTCAAATTATACACATTTTAATATTGTTAGATAACGATTAACAATCTCGTAATATTTTATATTTGGGAAACCCGAATAGAGAAAAAAATAATCGTGAAACACGAACTATCTATAAATTGTAATTTTTTAAATTATATACAACTGTGTGACGATAAACTTAAGTAAATTTACTTTAATAAAATATATTATAAAAGAGTTAAGTAATAATGATTAAAAAACGTAATATTAATATATTTTTACAAAAAAGTTTTTGTTAAACCGTTTATTAACAAAAAAAAAATAATAATAGTAGTAATAATTATCAGCTTTTAACTGCTTTATAGTTTTACCTATATTTTTTTATCCAATAATAATAATGAAGAAAAATATCAAGTTTAAAATATAATTTATACCAATTTACCAATTAAAAACAAACATTAAATTTATTATCGAAAATCTTAATGATAATTATCATAATTGATTGTGATGAGTTATCTATGAAAATATAATATAATAATTTATTGTATAGAGAAATGTTTTACTTACGTTTTTTTGGAGCTGGTGCGGCAATTACAGAAGCAACGACGGCCAAAAACAAAGCACTGCAGATCAGCAACGATTTTGCCATTTTGGTTTAATTGAAATATTTAAAATATAAAAATAAAAATTCCAAACTAAATCGATATCAGATCGAAGCAGTGCGAATTATGTTTTGGATTCTTTGAGTTTTCGAAAAAACTAACGAAAATTTAGGAATTCCCGAAGTTACTTCTGCAACTATGAAACCGTCGAGTGATGTGTGATACCGCAACCCTGTGTTCGAATACCTTTTATACCCATGCGACTGTTCTTGTTGACCTCCTCAAAACTGGTTTCATAGTCACAGCTGTAGGATTGTTTTTTTGTCCGCGTTTGTATACATTTTCAATCACAATATAATATGTATTTTTAATTATTTTTACGTAGTATATATAGTTTTCGTTAGTTAGTTAAGTAGTAATTACAAAATTTTAAAAGTTAAAATCAATTTAGGTTGCTGCAAATAAGAAAAAAATAATCTTTCTATCGGATATCTGTATAGGCTAATTTCTGTTCATTAGTTATTATTACAAAAAATTACACCGAAAATTATAGCTAATATGTTTGTCATATAATAATATAATATAATCAATATGTTTGAAAATCCAACGATGTTATTATAATTTTACTTTGGATTTATTCGTAAATGAAGTTAAACCAAGTATTAACTGTGTTAAATTTGGTGGAATTAAAGTTTTCAAGAAACTCAAACAATTTCATCAAATAAAGTATCACGCTGTTTATAGAAAACTGATAGGGAATAATTTTGTTAATGGTTAAATTATATTTAATGGTATTGACCAAAATTGCCACGGCGTGACAATATGTCTAATGATATAAAAACCTTAAGTGTTATAAGAACAAACATGTATGTTAAAATATACGATTAAATAGGAGATATTATTAATTAGTTTTAAAATCGTTTTGTACAAATTAATAATATCTCCTATTTATTCATATATTTTAACATTATTATTATTATTTTAATATATTATTATTATTATTAATTCGTATAAAACATTTTTAAAACTAATTAATAATAGGCTCTACTGTAGATATTATATTGACAATCAAGTATTTAATGAATATTATAAACTGTTATGCCTCTATAAAGTTCCTATAATTTCTGTAATATAATATTTTATGAGTTTAAATGAAATATAATTAATAGTTATTAATTATATTATTAAATTATCCGGCTATATAAATGAAATAAGTTTTAATACTTTACCTAACTTAACCGATTGGAATTATTCTAAATATTTAAAACAGTAAACAAATTACAAAAAAGGCATTTAAAGTTTTCAACTTTTGAATTTCATAAACCAACATATATTTTTATTTTATATTCGAATATCGACCATTCATCTAGATAAGTTGGTATACGTAAACTTGTATTGTCACAGTTATTGATCCATAAATTGCATAACTATTTAAATAATATATGAATTCTATGCCCTCTTCTTTCCACCAGTCTGAAATTAAATTTTTTAGCTCTAAAATTATCCCTAAAGTATTGCATATATATTATATACTGTATAACAACAGGCTATAACATTATACACCATTTATAAAAAATAAATATAAGTATATACTATAAATACAAACATTTGAATGCAATAGATACGTATTTTAAGACGGTATTTCTCTGTAGTCGTACATCATGCATAATATTATTTCTATCGTAGAATTATCCTCATAAGTCATAAGTAATAAAGTAATAAAAAATAGCTATTATGCCTTTATCCTAAAATGAATATTATAATCAAGAGTTGCATTATACCTTACCCTACGTACGTTTCATTTTAAAACATTGAATTAGGTTACAATAATAATTAGTACAAGTAGGTAGCTACTTATACTAAATGCTTCACAAATTGCCAACGTTTCCTCTACATTTTTAAATTAAGCGGCTTCATCTCTAACATTTTGTTTTCTTTAGCTATCTCGCACATAATATTATAGGGAGAAGTGCATTCCGAATTTCCGCGATCATAACTCCTTTGGTTGAACGTTGGACTTAATTTACATTATATAAAGAAATATATTATTTACTTTGAATTCTACAACTAATGTTTTTAGTATTTTTTTTTTTATCAAGATATACTTATTTTAATTAAAATTAATTTCTCTTAATTTTAACCAGTTATAACTAATTAAGAATTGAAAATATTTAACAAATGTATTAGTAATAGGATCCATATTTAATAATTTTCTTTATAAAATGTATAATAGGTTCCTTAATCCTAAAAGTCAACCGGAATTACTATCTTGGAAATGTAGAGCGTTATATTACGTGCGAATCAGACAGAGAAGACAAATATTAATAAAAATTCAGTAAAATTGGAAATTTAGTTAATTTTGGATATCTCGGTCGAAATGGCTCAGCTGAAAAAACAGAGAAGCTGCCCGGACCGGTATAACTCATTTATTACAGCTATAATTATTTATTTTATTTTAAGATTAATACTTTATATTCATACTTATATTTTTATTTTAAGTTTAGAATTTAGAACATTTGCTATACTTATACTGCAGTTCCTAATCTCTACAAACACGAATAAATTAAAATATAAAATATATTATACTATCTTTAAATATAAATTACGTCTTTAATGATAAACTAACAATTGTTAAAAATTGTTTCACACATTTCAAAATAGTGGAAAATTACAGTCGAGCTCCCAAATTACGCTTATTGTATATGGTTTGATCGTAAATAGATGAGGATTTTTCAAATAAAAAACCCTAGATTCGAATAGTCCTATTTTTCCAAACAAATTTTTAATCAATTCAATTTTTCTTAATCTCAAAAATTAATTATCTAATATTTTGATTAAAAAATATGGTTTTTTCTCAGTTTTTCAATAAATTATTTTAACATTGAATAAACTTGACTGATTTATGAAGAATTTTACGAAAAAAAAAAAATAATAAGATAATCATAAAAATTACGTACATTATAAAATATGTATATTCATTTCAGATTTTTTGATAAAAAAAAATAACCAACATATTTCACCACATTTTATTCTAAAGTCATCAGGCTGAAATATTTAATGGTACATATAATTCATATAGTCATTTATAGAAGAATATTGGAATATTCACTAAACAAAATTAATCGCACCAGCCAGATAGTTCTTGTTCGATTTTCCGTTTAGTTTTCATAATATTATAAAAAACCGGGCAAAAACATAGGAAATACGGCATTTAGATTTTTTTGTTTTTATTCCGTTAAAAACTATCGTGGATATATCTGTAGTTTTCATAAAATACTTATATTGATCTTTTGTAGACGTGGTCAAATTTTCATAACATTCTAATTTTTTTAGGCTATTTATAAGTATTTGATATTTTCGTGTTTTTTTATGTGATAAGTATCTGTTATTAAAATTATACGATTTAAGAGAAATGCTTGAACATTTAATACAAGGTTCATTATAAATTGAATGTAGTGGTCTAAAAAAAAAATTTGAGTTTAATGAATTAGTTTTTTTTTCTATAAACGTTTTAAGATAAAATGTTGACGAAAATCGTAAAAATTACGGAATTTAAAAATATGTCTTACCAAACTCGCTCCGAATCGTTTTTCGTTAACAATGGTTTATCCTTATGTATAGATATAAATTAAATAACTTTATGTATCTTATACTTCCCCAACTTTCAACCTACAACAGTAGCAACACCTGTCCCCAGTATCTACTTTTTTTTTATTTTTATTTTGTATGTATTAAAAACAAATATATATCATACGTTTCATGTAAATAGTGATGAAATCAATAAAATAAAATTTGTTATCGATTTCAACAACGAAAAAGGAAATAATATTTTTAGTTACTTATAGGTATTAAACAAATAGATTGTTTTTTAAAAATTTTTCATCCAATTATTTCAAAATAATAACATTGAGTGATGGGTGAAATATTCATTATAATATTTTATAACCACACGTCAGAACGTATAACATTCAGTTAAATATCGCCTGATTGCGCATCGAACATAGTTATGTAAATTCCGGCCAACTTCCGATCGGACATAATCATCAACTAATTCACTTCATAGGAAATAGGGCGAAACATCCATGTAAAACAATTATTAGGTAATAATTATTCTTGCATATTTATTGCCCCCATGAATGATGTGATTTCAAACTATGATAACCTGATGCCTATATATTTACTGTCTCAGTACAACTAATATATCTAATACATCTATAATTTAGCAACAAATTGTGGCATTTTAGTTAAAATTTAAGTTAAAAAATAATTGGTATTGAGGTACAAAATTTAAAAAGAAGAATATTTTGATTGTATGACGTTGCTTTTTACGAAAATATTGTCATACAAAAGAGTCGTAGTCTTAATGTTAGTTTTTATTGTTTGTTAATATTCCTCTTCTTTTTAAATTTTGTTAACAGATGCGCTTAAACTCTAATTTTGTCCTAAACGTTGAAATTTCAATTTTGAATTTTCGATTTTGATATGTTGCCCACTTAGTTTGATTGGGCCAGTAAAAATGTAATTATCACATCCTCCATAAAACGATTTGCAACGATTCACAGATTAAAATAAATAATAATTATTTGTTCCGAATGATATACCCATAATCTGATTTATTTGCCCGATGATGTAACGTAGGTACTAAATCATTGGGGGTTTCGAATAAAATATTTTTGTTACTCATACATTTATACAATAATATATTATTGTAGATTTACTGAAAAGTATTTATAACGTAGGTACATTCTCATTTTTATTTTTTCAATGTCAATCGATCGCTTCTATTTATTATTTATTAATTTGTCAACAAGTTGACATTGAAACCGGCAGTAGCGGTTACAGCGGCGGTATCATCAATTTAATAAAATATATTATACAATCGTCGTGGTTGTCGCCATAACGAATATCTGTAAAATATTAAAATAATATTGGCAGTGATATCAATCGGTTCGATGTTTCCTGGTGTATCCATAAGCGTGTGCTGCAGTCTGCTACAACTATATGCAGTATCACATTTATATTATTATTATGGGTGCGTTTCTGTTTCAGAATTGTTATTAAATTTGCTGTATTGGCAACATATTCTTAGATACTTATAGTTAGTATAGATAAGCATATATGTTATCGACTGCCAAACAGCTGTCTGCAGTATAATATAGTTGAATGGGGGAGGTATAGTGCCGAGGCTGACTCGCTCGAAAATATTCCAGTCTACTACCCGTTTGACTGGTCAAAAAAACAATCCAAAACTTGTTAAAAGTTTCAAGGACGTTATCGGTGAACATTTCGATCGAACACATACAAATTATATGCCTAACCTAATCTACTTGATGATTTTTTTTTTCCATTGAATTCTCACGAGGAAGTAAAAAACGATACTATACGATAATAATTCAATCGATAGACACGGGGGAGTGACTGCGGCCAACGATATTATAATATTATGCTGCAGAAGAAACGCTGAGGCCGAGGTCGACGCGTTTCTGCAGATATAAATATAGACGATCTGACACTGATAACGTAGTCGTATACATTTGCGGAAGATAAAAGGCAAGACTTTTTTTTTAAATCCTAACATTTTATATTTTTAGAGTTTTCTCATTAGTATTTATGAAATTTTTTCTGAAACAATTCTGATATTACGTATTCAATTACAGTGTATGTTTAAAACTGCAGATAAATAATTATTATGTATACAGAAATAAAAAAAAATTACCAACTCAAAACGCTATCCAATGCTAGGGCCATGACTAGGGAAGTGTGAGAGATGGTCACGCACCGGGCTACAAGAATACCATTGAAATTGAATATTTTCATAATAAATGTGTGAATGAACGTTTAATGGACAAGTTGCGAGGTATTTTTTGCGCAACAGTAGCAGGGTACGCAAAGCACCGAGTATTACATTGCTCAACGTTAATCCTTATATTGTTTTATCGGAACAAGTCTTCTAATCGAAAAAAAAAACCCTATTGAAATATATACGTCCATCATAAAAAATCTAAAATTAAAAGGTTGGTTACAGAAATGGACGATCGTTTTGTTTTTGAATTATCTAAAATGGAACTTAGGAGGCTGAAAACACTTTTAGTTCATCATAGTTTTGAGCATAAAAATGTATATGAAATTTAATTTCAGGAACTTTCAAATGTCTGTTTTGTGTAATGTTAAAGTATTTCAAGGGTTCGTCTTAGATAGATATTGCTGTACAATATACAATTTATAAATATATAATTTTTATATACCTAATTGTGTACAACATAGTACACAATTGTGGTCTTTGAGTATATTTTTCGGGCGAAAATTCCATAAGAGATTTCCAAGGTATTGAAAATATCATTTTAAATAATATTAATCGTAGAACAGGTTATTTTATTGAAATTACTGAATTCTTTATTTCAGAAAATCATAATAGGGGAAAATCCTTGTTTATGAGATTTTACACTTACGCTTTGGACAGTAAAATGTATTAGATTATAATATTATAAGTTATAACTATCACTATTCAGCAATAGTTATTGACTCACGAGTAATAATTTTATAATCAAACGTAATTATGTCCTATAGCAAATTTTAGATCGCTATACACTAATACATTGCACTTAAATATGTAATATAATTGCATCTTTAAACTGTAGTGTTTAAATTTTATGTTATAATTTATAATAAAATATTATACCTACACAAGTTGAGTATATATGAGACTGATGATTTTGATTCTCCGCCGTCAGTGTCCGTCTTGGTATATTATATTGTTTAATCAATGGTATTGCCTATATTACTATAACATATTTTTTGGATAAAATACGATTCATTGTAATTATACATTGTACTGAAATACGGTTCGGCGCAAATAATTATCGGCCAAAATATTATCCTGCTAAATTACTTATGTCTAATCAATTATTTTTCGGTTGAAATACAAATTGGCCAAAGTAGTTTTGGCTATTTTATGCATTCCTGTATAATCATGAAAGCCAGTATTTTTTTTATTCTGCCCATATAAGGCATCAAGTTTTGAAAAAAATCATCGGGGGCACCTAAAGATGAAAAGTACCTCCAATATTCAAAAATAGGGTGTATAGGCTGTAACCATCATCAATAAGATATATACTTATGAAACCCAGAAGTTATCTGGCTTACAACATTTTATTAATTAATACACACATAATAATTCAAAAGCATAAGTTAAACAGCAAATTTAAACAATGAGTTAAAAATTAAAATTTACGCATTTAAACATGATGTATAGATTTTATTGCATCGTATTCATGAAAAAGCTAGTGGGTAAAGTATTTTTTTAACATCATTAAGGGAATATTGGCCACATCATTGGGCAATAAATAATGCATCTGAGTCCTTATGTGAACTTGAACATCTTACGAAATCCTGTTTTTTTTTTGGCTATTTTTAAGGCAAAAATATTTGTTACACATGTTAACTTTATGTTTAGGGGGATATGTTTTTTAGGGGAGATATGTTTTTTTAGGTATATAGTAGAGGTTATATATATACTAATACATGACATATACATTCAAATTACCTGAAAAATATACTGATACTGCTGATGGGTCATATCTATACTCAACGATAAATCATGAAAAACGATTCTGAGTAAAGTATTATTAATCGGATTTTAAATTTTGGTACAGTGAGGTGTTAATTCTAAATAATTATTAATCATTATATAAATTTGATCCCAAATGTTTGTATGCATATGTATTTGTATGTTTTTTCTAGTGTTGGTGTGAATGGGTATCCTATGAAGTGGTTGCTTCATGGCTAAATTAGATGGGTTGTGTGGTTGTATGTACGACATTTTATTATAAAATATATTAACGAAAAAGGTGAAGTACATGAACATGTATAATAGTAACCTAGTAACAGCGCCTCTCGGGGTTTGGGCAAGACGAGATTTTTACAATTACACTATAACTATACTACATAGAAACCAAAACTTTACGGCGTCAATGATGTGGTGTTCAGTATACAAATTATTATTATCCCAAACGAATTCGAATGGATGTTTACCGCTCGGGCACTCTGTCCACGTCATAATGACGTCTATGCCCGTTAATTTTCATAAAATGCGCATACGAATAAAATATTATAATATTATTATAACATAAAATTATATTCTGTATGCAATATATTAGGAACTTCATAAAACAACACCACACGTATTATGCACGCAACTGTGTATAATACGAGTACATTAATATAGCTGCTACATATAAACCGGCTGGATAATATAAATTATAAAATCGTCGCGAACGCACACGCGTCGTTCCGATTACGATTCGACTTTTTGACGGCAGCCCGAAAATGGCGTTTACGTCCCCTCGTGTGCCCGAAGCGTCCGAAAACGTTACTTCCACACCCGCGCACGAGATCGGCCGGCGGCGGCTACCTTACGTACGACATCTACGAATACCGCGACAACCTAACCTAACTTACCGAACAAAATATCATTATACCGTGTTCCTGTCACTATCCGCAGCGTGTACCTAATACAGTATCTCCCTGTACATTTGTATATATTAGTCGGTGTACGGGTGTCCAGTCGGTACGGTGTTCGACACTTCTGTACTTTTTACGATATTTAAAAAAAAAAATAAACACTTTTTTATTATGTTGTAAATCGTTTTCGTCATTCTATAAAATGTTTTATAAAACGAGTATATTAACGTCTATTGTATTACACATTTTTTTTAGTTATTCCATCGAAGTAGTACCTATATAATAATAATTGACTGCCGTCATAATAATAATTATATTGCCGATTTAATATTCCGCGCAGCTGTATTTTTTACTATACTTTTATATAGTATACAACATAACGAATTATACGATATTATTATTGTCACGACTTCTTCGAATAAATAAATAACTGCTGAACGCCACCACCACGAACGTTATCAACGGACAAGGTTATTTAATAATTGAAGATCGAGGCCATAGTTAATCTTATATTTTACCAACAACTTCGGGGTTTTTTTTTTTCAATTTTTCTACTCGTTTCGTTAAAATATTCACACCTATAAAGGGGTTGTCCATGAACTTTACACACACACACGTTATTATATTTCTTAGGTTTTATTATATTTATATTTTTATACACGTATTTACAGACACCTGCCAGCATCATGGCTTCGATGCTTTACAACAAAATGGGTCTCATACCCAAACAGAAACCTATTAGAGTAATGATAATGGGACAGCCCGGCGTGGGAAAAACCGGTAAATATACCTACATCTATGCTGGAAATGTACAATAAAAACGATTTACTTGTAGACTGCTATAATTAATAATAAGTTGTATTGAAACGCATTTTATCGCCATTGCCTGAAAACATTTTTCCTTGTCTTAATCCAAATATTATTGGTACTTGTAATAATTTAATGTGATAATTTCTAGCACTTTTAGTGAGGTTCGTGACCAAACGGTTCATCGGCGACTACGACTCTAACCTGGAAAAAATGTACATGTACCAAGTGACCATGGACTCGGAAACCGTGAATTTTGAGATACTGGACACTGCCGCATACATACAATACGTAAGCGCGTAAATTATAGGCATCAGCTACAGTCTCTTGTATACCAAATGTATTTGCTCGTGTTAGAAATCGTGCAATATGGAAATGAATATGCGCTGGGCCGATGTGTTTATTTTGGTCTACTCGATAACGGACAAATGTTCATTCGACGATTGCAGTAGGCTCAAATTCCTGATCAATTACAACAAAAAAAAACGTCGACTTTCGACCAAAGTAAGAATCAAATCAAAACATTCAACACGTTGATTATTTTAATTTTAATTGAATTGTCAGAATGCGATATTCTGATACGAATTTTTAAATTTAATTAATGTGATGTAATTCAAATTCAGTTAAAATAACCGTAGAGACATGAAATTCTCACTGAATATTATCACTTTTTATTCTTGGTTTATTTTCAAAATATTTTGTGGATTTTTTAATTATTTATGTAGGCATAAAATTGTAGTGGGCATGCAAAAGTTCTTGAAATTTTTACACGAGGTTCATCATAAGTTGCATTTTATGAAACTCGTAAAAGTCGGGGCATTTCAAAACATGTTTAATTGTACTCTGAATCGTTTCTTGTTTACGATGATTTATCATTGCGTACAGTTATAAATCAAATTGTTTTCCTTAATATTATCCTTCCTTCTCAACTTTGTATCTAAAACAGTGACACATCCATCAGCATAGTCTCAAATATTAGGGACTTGGGGCCAAATCCCCCATTTCCCCCCCGGTTTTCCTGTCAACAAGGTTTTTAATTTTTATTAGGAAAGATATTGTTGACAACAAAAATGCCTTTTTTTACGTTGTATATTGTACAAAATAACAATACATACATTTTTGTTGAAGCGATCCTTTTCTTGTATGATACGCTTTACAAATTGGTTAAGAGAACCATAATGATCGCCTTTCAAACATGATAATTATAAATATCGAGAGAGAAATGTCCAATAATATTAATAATAATGATATATTTGAAAAGTATGTTGAATTGAAAATGTAACGAATATAGTTAAATATAATAATATTTTATAATTAATATTTGTTAATTATTTTTATGAGTACAACACTAAAATTTCAAATTGAAGCAAATAAATTTGTTTGGTGCTACAGTCCCCCCACATCTAGAATTTTCACATTAATTGCGCCCATGCCCATCAGTATATCAGCTATCTTTAATTTTAACTTTAGTTGGGTAGTTATAACCTTTTTGAACCTAAATAACCAATTAATATAATAGTGTAATAATAACCAATAAAGAATTTTGAAGGGCTTAAATAGTTTTCCTGGTTGTTGAAAATTATCCCTAGTATCTATCAAATTATTGAGAACCTATATATCTATAACAATATAGCTTTATTTATTATATTTATGTAGAAAGTTCTTTTTGTAAATAAGATGAAGTCATGAGTTATTTTGTAATTCTATAATAATTTTATGTCTAAGTCATTGTTTATTAACGGTAACTGTTGAAAAAACAATTTTAACTGCAATTTGGTCTGATAATAATTTTGAACACCTATAATCGACTCGTGTACCTATTTTAAACAAGCGTAAGTTAATTTTTGAGCTTATCTAAATTAAGTAAAATTAATATTTAATTACAGGATGAATTATATTGTATACTAGATAAATACAAGTTTTAGTTAATAGAACACGAGTGTGGAAATTTATCATCTGCAACAATTAATTTATAATATTACGTTAAGGATTCCTTATAAATGTAGTTTTGTTTTCCAATTCAGTGACCAATTTATTGTGATTCTATTGCAGTTCTTTTAAAACCGGTTTGCCTAATATTTGCTTTAAATCAATTTATTTTAATGAACATTGTAATTTTAGATGGTACCTAAATCTCAAAACTAACTAGATCTGAAGGGAGTACATGAGTTGCGTTCCAAAAAAAAAAAATTACACGAATTGGGTTCATATAGACCCTGGACTCAATTCACGTATTTTAATCAAGGATTCATAAATCTTAAACATCTAATAAATAACAATTTGTTTATTAAATGTATAATAATTACTAATTAGTAATATAATATATAAAACAATCGATATAAATAAACAAACAATATTTTAGATTCTGAGTGGAACGAGGAATGTATTGGTTTTACAGTGGTTTAATTTTTTTTTTTCTATGGACAATTTTTTTACTAGCAATTTTGGTCCAATTTACAATGATAGCACTTTTTTAAAAGTAAATCTGAATGGGGAGGTATTTCAAGGAAGTCATTTTTTCATTTTCCCAGGAGTTTTCCCAATAAATGGGAAAAACTGGAAAAAAATATGGGAAAACCGGGTGAATGGGGAAAAAGTTACAAAATTTCACCATAATATGATATATTTATTGTAGACAAAGCAATACTATCAACCGAAATCCACTCAGAATCTTATTTTCATTGGCAATGTTTAATCGTTATTTATAGATATGCATTAAATTTCCGTCTATATCCTATATGTTCCCAACTTCTAACATACAACAGTGGCTGAACCCGTCTCCATTATCCTTAGACAGCTTTTTTTATTTTCATTTTCTGTTGTAAACAACTTTTTTACCAAAAATCTCGTAGATTTTAAGAGTGACATATCTGAAAAAAAAATAATTGTTTGCTTGGTTGGTAGATAAAGTTATTTTTTTGATTTTTTAAAACCCGTAAAAACGTAAGAAACCTCTGGAAATGATCGGAAATAACGGTCCCATTAGTTTCAGTTTTGTTTTTCTGTTTGTATTCGATTAAAAATATTCGTAGGGATATACCATTTCACAGGGTGCATATATTAACTTTTTCTGGGTTTGATAAAATGTTTTAAATATTCTGGTGATATTTGAGCTATTTGTAGGCATTTGACATTTTATAATTTTGTTTTAATTTTTATTCGGTAGTTATTATATAGATAAATTTCTTTGACTATATATAAAAATATTCGGAAATTCAATAAGAAGTTCGTAGTAGGTAACTCATAAGTTGTTCTCAATGTTCAGAAAAAAAAAATGGGTAATATTACTTAATGTAGTATATTTTATTTAATAAGGCGTTCAAATTTTGATGGAATTTTCCAATATTAGGCACTTCAAAACAGGTGTTAACCGATATTTGCTCACAATGGGTTTTCATTAGCAACAGTTTATCATTACTTACAAACATAAATAAAATAACTTTATGTATCCAACTTTCCCAACTAACTACCAACAACAATGGCACATCCATTTCGAGTAAGTATAGGCTTTTTTTTTTCGAAAATTTTCAACAAATTTAAAAGAGTTTAATTTTTTTACTATCAATACTATATGGCTCCTCTTAGTCCGTCTTTAATTTAGACTTGAACGTTTATAATATACATTTTAAATTAAACAGGTACTTTTATCAAATTTTGTAGTTTTGGATATTTTAATTTTATGACATGCAATTTCAATACAAGGTTATATTTGCCGTCGTATTAAATAAGTTTAAATATTTTTTATGAGCACTTAAAATGTTCACCAATTTCTTACATACACTATAATATATTAGTAGTAACTATAATAAAATTATTTCGGAATATTTTTATTTGAGTAAGAATTTATTATGTTTTAAAATTTATTAGGAATTATTTAAACTGCGCATAAGATAATATGTAATACGTAAAAGCTGTAGCGGTTGTATCAAACACTAAAATCTAACAATTCTTTCTATTGGATATACATAGTAAATTATAATAACTGCAGAATTTAAGGCTATTTGAAGTGAATAATTGTGTTATTCTTTTATTTTTTTTTTATAATATCATTTTTCCGAATATCTCAAAATGTTTATACCGATATTAAATTATTTAAATAAACATAAAATAATAAAGTATTTTTTTTCTCCATGCAATATTTTATTAACCAACGCCAACGCGATTCAAATGCGACTTATGTCATATATTTCAGCATATTTAGATTTTGATTTGTAAATCAATCGATTTTGGTCTTGCAACCGATACGATAAGATAGTGAACAGACTAAGTCTAATTTTATTTTTACTATTTTGACTACCTACTTAAATCATAATAGTAACATAATTTAAGTAAAATAAAATAATTGTTTAATTTAATTAATTTTATAAATTAAAGAACAGTGTATAAGCCACGAGTCTTACTATATAACAATATACATTTCTTTTTTACAACATGTTTAAAAAAATACAAAAATACCTAAACAAGAATAAATAAACAAATGTATATAGATAAAAAATAAAATAAAGAATATGAAACAACTGACAGATAGAATATAGGTACAAACAAATATATCAATGTTAAAAAAAGAAGGAAGGAAAAAAAAATCCAAAATTTGAAAATAAATTAAAGACTCCAGTACAAGTATGTTTTATGAGGTTTAATACACACAAATACAATTTATAAATGCAATGAAAATTTTAATTTGTTTTTCCTTCCAACCATCCGTTTAGATTCAGAGCGGACCGAAAGATCTATTGGTCTTATTATAATTTTTTTTATTTTTGTTTGAGAGCAACTTTTCTACCAAAATTATTTCTCTAATGTATCAAGTGTAGCACCTTGTCTAAAACAAAATGTATACATAGTTGGCGCATTATAGGGGTCATTTTTTGATTTTCCAAGGGATTTTTAAAATAATTTGAAAAAACTGTAAACAAAATTGTTGTAAATGGCAAATATTTACGGCACACCGCAGCGTTATAATTTCATTACTTTTAATTTTTGCGAACCATGTTTACTAATTTTAAAAATTAAATAATATCACTTCAATAAAAAAAACGCTAAGTAACCTTTTTTGTGTTATTTTTAATCTACTTCGTGAGTAAGAAATTCATTTTTTGATGTTCTTTGTAGTTTCTATAATAATTGAACATAGACATTGTAATTTTGAGAATTTGCTATGTAATTTTTATTTGGTAGGTACTCTGTGTATCAAATTACTTAACCAAACATAAATGCTTTGATATTTAACAGGAGGTTCATTATAAGTTTTACTTAGTGGGTCAAAGAAAAAAGATTAAAAAAGATGCACATTGAGTGCAATGTAGTTTTTTTTTTAATTAATTAGATTTTAACAGGGATATTATAATATCTTGACAATTATTATACATATGTCATTGAGAAAGAAATGTAAACATTGGCAAGACTCACACTACTAAATTCGGCCAGATTGGAGTATAAAGTTAGGCGTATGCATAATTATATTTACGTAATTATCTGAATAAAGGGCGCTGATGAAGGAAAAGTTGGTACCAAGAAAGGAAAAGAAAGATTTTAGCTGAATTCTATAATGGTTAATTTATAAGGGTTTTAATATCGAATTTTGAATAAAATCATGCAGCCTTTCAAAACATTTATGACTGAATTTCGCTCCGTATCGTTTTTTGTTAGAAATTACAGCCGTCTCTATATCAGCTCTATTTTGTTTTATTATTCATATCATCAAGGTCACCCATAAATCAACAAAAATATTAATAACCCTGAATGATATCCTCCTTAGAGTGAATTTCATGGAAGGAATATAATCTATGTTACTCACTTTTATACAGTGATCACTTTAAGTATTGATACCATCAAGATCAATTAAGTTGAAGAGTTCAAAAGTCACGAACAAACAAACATTAACTATTTTATTATTATTGTTAATCTAAGGAACATTTATCTGACGTACCGGTGATACTGGTTGGCAATAAAATAGACCAACAGTACGATCGGATGGTTACTTATGCCGATGGTAAAAAACGGTCCCAAGAGCTCGGGTGCGTGGCTTTCCATGAAATTTCAGTACGGGAAGATGTCGATCAAGTCAGTTAAAATTATACATTTAGTTTTACAACTAAATTACTCACTTTTTTACGTCTGTTGTAGGCGTACGAAGTGTTTAAGGAAGCGTATACATGTTGGAAATCGATGTCTTATAAGAATCCCAAACTGAAACGTTCCTCTTCGGATAATGGTGCAGAAGCGTTCTTTAATTCGGCTTCGAGATTCATAAGTATGTTTAATATTTATTTATTATGTTATTAAATTTGACCTTCATTATTGTATAATATCTACAAAGAACTAATACTTTTAAAATGTATAACCCTTTTGCATTTTTCGTCATGCAAGTGTAGGTAAATTCTTCCTAAATTAAAATCCTTGATATTATAAATTATGTTTTCCATCGTGTAACCTTATAAAATATGTACCTGCAATATGCGTATGTATAACATGATTTACCTTTACTTGAAGTTTAAAAACAATCAAATGGTATATAGCTAATGAAAAAAAATAGCCAAACCATTTCAAAATATGTTAGTCGAACATTAAATTCGAGTTTTTTAGAACGGATATATGAAAAATGTAAAGATTGATAACTTCTAAAAAAAAAATTAGAAGAACATAATTATCAATAAAACGACAGGGAAATTGCGTACGAGGTACAACAAAGAGTAGTTCGATGTGATGGAATTTGCACCAACAACTAGCTTTGTTTAGGTTTAAAAGATCTAACGGCTAAGTTTCATTATGAGAAGAAGTGAGGACGTTACAACTACAGCATGGTATGGAAATCACAAGGAAAAAACCTATAAAGGAAGAAGAAGGAAAATGGTTGATTGTAATAGAAGGAGATCTAAAAGTTCTAGGAGTTTAAGATTGAGTATAGGTAGTTAAATAGCCCTTAATACTGAAAGAAGAAGAAGATAGATAATTCAAAAAAGGATCAGGTAGTGAGGTGCAGTAATGGCAACAAAAACTTTTAAAGACTGAAATAGTAGACACAGTGCTCAGTTTAAAAAAAAAATAAGAGGGATTATAAAACTAAAAAAAAATTAGGGGTGCTTGCCTCTACATACTCTTCTTATACCAGTTTTAAACATAGTGATTAATAATTTACAAAATAAAAACCATACTTAACGACACTAAAACAACACTGCAGGCTAAATTATATATATGTGTATTTATTTTAGTTTGTACTATAATAGATTTACTATAAACTTTGTTTTTTTACAATAATTTCTGGTCAAAAATAAGTGCTGTAGGGTTGATGCAGTGAAATGAGGAGGTCTTTTAAATTCCAAGCGTAGCTAGGGAGCAATTTGTTTTACTAAAATGTTTATTTTTTTACATTTTTTTTTTAGTCTGTGGACACGTTTTTCCCTAGTAAACTTGCTCCGATGTATAAATGTTCCACATTTTCTGAAAGCTCAAGTTGTCTAGATTGTACTTTAAGTACATTTTTTGATTTTCGACGCCATTTTTTAAATAAAAGCACATAAGTGGGAAAAAACGTAGGAAAACGTACAATTTCACGATTTCATTATTTTATAAAAACACGGACGACGATTTCTACCAAAAAAATTGTTTAATCGAAAAATCACAAAATAAATTTTTTATTGCCTTTTTGATTTACTTTCTTACAGTATCAACGCCAAAACTTTTGAGCTTTTAAGGAATTTTAAGTTTTGGGAGTTTTTTTGCTGTAATTCAGTTACAAATACACCTAGAGACTTAAAAATTGGAAATAATACTTATATTGGACTTACCTAGACGTGGTAAAATTTCCAAAATCATCGAACGACTTTTGTTTTTTCTAATAAGTCCCATACGTTCTACTTAAAATAATTACATATTAGAGGTACGCTAAAATTTCTGGAAAATTAGTACGGAGTTCTCCCCAATTCAAACGCTGAGTAGACATGTGAGAAGAAAAAAAGAGAGTGTTAATTATTAGGAGCCTAAAAAGTTACAAATTTTTTAACGAAGGACAGCAGTACGACGAAACATTCTATATAATATATTGAATAGGTATTATAGTTAATTAAGTTTTTTAATTTTTAAATTTTATTATATTGTTATATGGTTAGTGGTAAAGATATTGGTATATGCAGTAAGCAAGGTGTAACAGGACTATTTGAAATATTTACATTTTAGTTACATGTAAAAATACCAAATAGTCCAATTACACTCTGTATATGTAACTAAATTATGTGTATTGTATATAAGAAAATTTGAAAATATTTTTGAAAAAATGTGTCATTTATAATAAATATACACACATAAAACGTAAGAAATGTTATCAAACTAAAATGTTAATAATGCGACTATATTAAAAATTAACTGATATAGGTACCTAAATATATTTGAATATTTCACAATCAAACCACTATAGCTTTATATATGCTGAATAGATATCCCTATTCTCTGGTCCTTATAGTATTTATTGCTGTTTTGATATAGTTTTCTTGTATTTCATATTCACATAATATGTGAACATGATATTATCAATGCATGACATGCTAGGAAAACTCTGTGCTGTTAGTTTTAATTAGAATAGGCGAACATTTTGTATTATCTTTTTTTAAAAATATGAAAAGCAGATATTTTGTACGGTCGGCTAAAAAAGTGAATTTCAGACACTTCCCGCAGTGATAATAAACTGATAATAATTTATCAAAGAAACTGAAAAATATATTTTAGAATATGAGCATAAGTTGCTCAACACTTTCGATCAATCAAGCGTGATCATAATTGTGATATCAGTATTGGTATGGTGTTTGAGTACACAGGTGACCGGTCAAAATATCTTCACAAAAATATCTCCGGCCAACATATCTTGGACAAAATATCTCCGGTTAATAATATCTCCGACAAAATATCTTTAATAGAAATATTACACAGGAAATATTAAATAATCACAATATTAGTATTATATAGTATTATCTGAAATATTTCATGATTACAAATTCCAGCGCTAGGGTTAGGTATGGCGTGTGATACGAATACAGCGAGAGTTAATTATGATGCTCAAGTCAGATGACTTGTTAAATTAAATTATTTTTTAAAATATTTATTTAATTTTTGTTCAATCTAAACTTTATTTTATTTTATTTAAGAGGGATTTCTCACAATCTAAAATAGGTAATAAAAAATAATCATATAAATCCTTGAGATTTTTTCAGGAGACATTTTATCTAGAGATATTTTTACTGAAGATATTTTGTCGGAGTTATTTTGACCTGAAATTTTGACCGAAGATATTATAATGAGTATATCTTCGTGGGTCACCCTGTATATATGTATGTATAATATATATATTATGAGTTGAAGCGGATACCTTAATTCACGGCCAATCATCATTGTACAGTGTACATAAAATGCCGTCGTCATTAATATAAAAATATTACATTACATTATATTATACAAGGCGTATCATTTTCAAAGCGCAGTTAATTTTCGTGAACAAAAAAAAAAACCGTTTATCTATATTATATTAGTATCATGTTAATGCCCATAGGGACTTCTATAGATGATGCAGTAAACACATTATAATATTCACTATGTTTTGTTGTACACAATAACAGCAATCACCGTGTCGGTTGAAGATGAATAAGATTTTAGAAGATAATAATACACACTTATGTGTTCGTCTGTATAATTTACGGCTCGTTCCGAATATGGCGTTTGCAAAATTAAAAAAAAATAAACCACTATAAAGAACGATGACGATGACGATGATAAATAACTCCAATATCATTCTGATGAGACTGCAGATGCCATAATATATTGTATATGTATTATAAAAAGAGAGGGGAAAACCCCCTGAACGGACACAACGTTTTAGAAATTGTGCAAAGTTTTCTTTAAAGTTAGGTTATTTTGTGTAAGGACTAAATGTATTGTATTTTACTACACTGTTTAATGGATTTTCTTATAAATATTGGTTCAGGACAATATAATGTGTCGAATACCAGGTGATCCATTTATAAGTGGGTACACTCATTATCTCAGAAAGTATTAACTTTTTCTGAGATTTGTTTTCTAGAACATTTAAGAAACAAGCTGCTCTAAAATTGTATATTTATGTTATTTTTTGTTACCCTTATTTTTGGAGGTAAAACCACTATCCACTTTTAATTTTCAAATAGCTACCTATAGTAAAAATTCTATAAATAATTAGAGTATTAGAGTAAATAAATTTTAGTATTGAAATTTATTTTAACTAATATCCCATCTATTTATGGATATTTTAATATAGGTTATCATTTGAAAATCAAAATTAGGTAGTGGGTATACTTCCAAAAATAACATAAATATAAAATTGTAGAGCAGCTTATTTTTTAAATGTTCTAGAAAACAAATTAAGGAAAAATTTAATATTTTCCGAGATAATGAGTGTACCCACTTAAATGGATCACCTGATGTAGATAGTGTTTAGAAATAAATTTATATTTTTTAGCATAGACGCAGTTATCGTATTTAGGTATACACTATACAAACAACGTTAGCCCCAATAATAATAGTAAATAATATTAAAATCGTCTTCTTCCTCTTCGCTCTTATCCTACCACGCGTATAGTTATCTATCACCTGATTCGTGATCATCATTTACTCAACAACTCCTGCATATCTCTTAATAACATATCTCTTAACAACCTTATCTATTCTGCAATTTATTTTTACCTATTACCGCTTTTCCGGACTCTATCTATCTCATCTATATGTTTTACTCTTTCGTCGTTTTTTCTTTTCTCAACACGCCTAAACCATGTAAATCTATTATTTTTTACAATAACGTATGTAATAATATTATATATTTATGTAGGCTGGCCATTGGTTTTCGGAGAGAGTGCGGGTAGTTCGTCGAGTCGGTCCGAAGACACGCCGGAGTTCAGAGCCAGAGCGTCAACGGAGGGACACGTGCAGTGGCGAAAATAAAGGATCTTACGCTTTACGTCTTTATTTTAAAAGGCAAATATATATTTATAAGTGACAGAAATATTTGCAAGCTTACTTTTTGCAAATTATAAAAGAATTAAATGTGATTTTGTTCAATCAGTAATCATAATATTATTGTACCTCTCCAAAATAAACACTGTTTCTGGGATGCAGGTAAAAAATTATAAAATAATGTAGGTAAACATAAATATTAACCCTATATTTTATTTTCCTGCAATAGCCGTATAAAAAATATTTTATTAATTTAATATGTACGCTTCTAGGTTGCAACCTACTTATCGACCCTGGAGCGAAATTACCAGAATAGCAGAGGTTGCGTGTTACACCACTAATCAGTTTTTGTATTTTCCCAGAGACAATTTAAAAAATACTAAATATAGTGTATGTAAACATGAAATATATTTAAGCGTTTAAAACATATATATTAGGTTTGGCCTAGCAATTTTTTTTTAATTTGGCCAAATTGTCAGTTTTAACACCGTTAGGCGGTACACACGCTAAATGAACAAATTTGCAGTGTTAGTCAGGCTCAACACAGTTTTTTAAAATAGAACATAGGAATTACGTTACATTTACCTACACTGATAACACAAAAGCAAAACAAAAAACATTTTTGTTTAAAACACTATTCATTATGACCAGGATTTGAGACTTATATCATTTATATAATAATCAAAATAAGCGCAGAAAAAAACACTTAAATACTTCATTATAAGCACTTGAAAATATTAAAATAAAGAAAAAATGCGAGAAAAACTATGGGCACAATTTTTTTTTTTATATTCTCCTTATTAATTTTTACATTTAAAAACATAAAACATTTTATCTTTAAAAAAATTTAAAAACTTTGACAAAAACAAATTGGAAAAGTGTCCTGGTTAAACGATGTTTCTAGGAGTCTACTGCACTAGGAAATAGGCGAATTTAAATAAAATAAATATAACTTTAATGATATTGAGAATTTTAGTACTTATTTATACTAATAAGTATTGAGGTGTGCAGTGTTATTTCAGAAAATAAATGTCCAAAACGTATATAAATCCCGGACACAGTATCGCAAAAACAGATTACAGGGCCCGTGAGCAGTAGTTTTATTGGGTCCCATTCAAGCAGTTATACATATACACTTTTTGCTCTCGGGACATTGGATTGATGAGTAAAAAAAAAATCCTGATACAGTGGTACTGCTAATTGGTGACGCTGTTATAGGTGGGAATTTGGGATGTTAGGATACATAATGTTAGGCATTTAATTTACATCTGTAAACAACGATGAACCATTGCTAACGAAGTATAATTCTGAGCGAAGTTCAGTAACATGGCGTTTTAAAATACTGTAATTAAAAATGATATAGAATAATAATATACAACAATAGGTACAATAAAAATATTAAAAACCTCCTGTATATTTTTGTGTGCCACAGTTTCAATGAAAAAATCTAAATAATTATAATCATAGTTGGTAAAAGTGAGTGGATGTTTAAATGGTAACTTGATAAGTTCCTCACCAACGACCAAACCACGTTGAGTATATCAGTTCTCGTTAGATCACTGAAGTTAAATAACGTCGGGCGTAGTTAATACTTGGATGGGGGACCGCTTGGGAACTCTATACGTACCGCTGGATTTTTTTTTTAATCTTACAATATTATTGCGGGATTTGAATAAAACCCCGTTTACCGTATGGGTAACGAGCACTTTAGCTTTTCTTAAATTGTTTTGTTTAGTATTAAGGACTACAATTTGTTATTACCATTTTTAATTTTTTTAATTTTATAATTATCATTTTTTATTTAAATCCGTTTTATTATTTGCTTACTTTAATGATTATGCTATATTGCTCAAATTTATTTATTACTGTAAATTGTATTGTTCTATTGGGCTCCAAGCCCATTAATAAATAAATAAATGAAACATTTTTTACTTTTTATTAAATAATTTCTTTCATTTTTAAGTTTTTTTTAACTCTTACTTAATAAATTATAAATTATCAATATACATATATGTATGTGGCCATTTAAAAATTAAAAGTAGGTATTCGTTTCACCACCAAAAATAAGGATGACAGCAAAACAGATAAAGTAAAATTTTAGAACTATTTGTGTTAAAATTTAAAAAAAAAAAATCCAAAAAAAGTACATAATTTCCCAGATAATAAGTGTCTTATGACAGATTAATTACCTTGCATACATTTTTATATAAAAAATTGTAAAAGAAATGTGTAGTTGCTAATTGTGTGTCGTGTAAAGGGGATTTTAGGAGCATTATTATTATGGGTCTGTGATGTATCTATAATTTTAATATCTTCAAAATTGATGGTCTTGTTGTGCTTATGATCACGAGTTACTTGCGTATTTAAATATTTCCTACCGCTAAAGCCGAAGTCAGATGAGGTTTGTAAATACGTCACCGGTAAATACCCGATAATCCTACTACCTGATTAATTACAATACGTATATTCAATGTAACTAAAATGTATCCAACACGAATACGGTACAAGTTATTATTATACTGCAGAGAGCATTGTACCGTATAGTTTTTAACGGTACAATAATATAAAGTATGGCACTTATTAAAACATTTATTTCAGCCGCTTAAAAACATGATGTGCACAATTTACTCGTTTACCAGTTAAATTATAATTTGTATGACAAAATATTATGATTTTCACATTTGACGGGTGAGTATAGATAATTTGTTTTGATATAAGTAGCTAGGTACTTATTATATTATTAATAATTGTTATTCTCAACCTACGGTTAATTTGTTTATAATTTCTGCGAGTCCGTTAATATAAAATGTGTTCTTGTCCTTGAGGCGTAAGTATAGGATTCATTCTACCAAATGTTTATTTCCTTTTTTTTCTTTGTAAATTATAAAGAAAAATTAGTTGGCTTACTGTTTAAAAGTTATTAGAACCGTTGAAAAAAAGAGACTACAATTTTGTTTTAATTTTTCGTATCAAGTGTTATTATATTCATAATTGTTGGTAGGACCACAATTTTATTATTTTTATAGATGTGAATAATGATTACGGAAATAATTGGGAAAAAATAAAATAAAATCACCCAAAAAACGGATAGTAGGTAATCTTATTATAAATAGATCAAAAACTATGAGGTTGTATTTTGGCATTAAGTAAACTATATGAAATTAAAAGTTACTAGACTATTTTATATTTGAGAAGTGTTTAACATCTAACCTGTAGGTATCTTGTAATATCTTTTCCTAATTAATATACTGTCATTCAAATATATTAACCTATTCCCAGTGCCAATTGTTTTATAAAAAAAAAGCATTTTCTGCACTGGCTCGTATAAAAATAAGCATAGAACAAATAGTTCTCAGGAAAATTTTACCGAACTCGTGCATGATTTTTTACACTGAAAGTGACGTATCTATAATACCAAATTTATTCATGCGTTTTTTTCTATTTTGTAAAATTATACTTATATAATTATTATACCATAATATTTTATATTATTATATTAATATGTTTTTTTTTTTATTATCAATAATATGTTTGTATATATAAGTTGGTGTTCTATAAACATATTTGGCCCCAGGTTCTGAATACTTTTAATTCATGCCTTAATAAAATGAAGCACCATTTGTTTGGCGGTGCGACATCGAACCTCTCAATCAGGCGCGGATCCAGAACTAAAATTTGGGGTGGGTCATTTTTTTAAAAGGACAAAACATTTATACACAATTAAAAAAAATAATGAAAGTAAATATCATTAACTAAAATTAGAATTTCATTAATTGTTGTTAATTTTTAATATTAAATGATAAAGTTTTTTTTCCAAATCTAGAAATAATGTCATCAATATTTAATATATTTTTTTTTTTATTTATTTATGTTTAAAAATTTCCCGTTTTTTTCAATTATTGAGAAAATCAAAAAATGACCTCAATGCGCCAGCTAGATCTAAAATGCAACAATAAAGGTATCTTATTTGTTAATTAAACGCAACAATAGAAAAAAAAACATCACAATAAAACCAATACATCCTCGTTTTACTCAGAATACAATAGTTGGACATATTTCCATAAATATATAGATTGTACGAATTATCTTTTCGAACCTACAGTAATTATCGGTAACGAAGAATTGTTTCTATCAATTAATGTTGGTTACTTGGATTATTCATTTAAACACGTACGTTGCGAGTAGCCACAACCCGGCCATATCGAAAATTCCAGTATCTAGCACCACGGGTACAGATACTATAGTTGCGCGACGGCGATGAGCGACGCCTAATGTACTTATCAGATCTGACAAAAATAAGTCGCGTCTTATTGGCGCTCTCTACAGTCATTATTATACCATATTATCTTAGTAAATACGAAATTAGTATTAACGCGGATATAGATACTGCCACTGGATATTGATAGTACCCATGTCCGCGGTATTAGCAATAACAAATATTTAAATAACGCAATACCAAATAAATAGGTAGATACAAATATGGTGTAACTTTAAAATGTAATAATTATTAAATGAGGATACATATGTTTATACATTATGATTATATTATAATAATATTTGTGTTGTACATTCATATGTTATATTTAAATAAATGTAGATAATTAGGTACCCCTCATGTAGTTGTTAATTTTGACATTTTTTTTTTTTTTTACTTTTATTAATTTGTTTTTATTTTCATTATTTCTAGCATAACTATGTCGTCTCAGACGCACTGTTATATACGTTACGGACAAAAGCCGAAATCTCAGAAATCTCAGAAATGCCCGGGGCAAAACGCGAAGTGTCCACACGATCCTTTGGTTGTAAAGTCGTATGTCGGCTTTTGCACGGGCAAACCTAATTGTGAAACCTCATTTGGGGAAAACCATATATTATTGTTCTAATATAGTTCAATACGTTTTTATTACGATTATAAATGACCACACGTACCTAGTTAATTTATCATTGTTATCGAATTTTATCAACTCATTATATTATAGGTACACAGATTACACCTTATCTAATATAGAATATTGAATCCAGAAGGATATAATAATTGTGACAATATTGTATTGTAGTTTGTATTTCACTGCGTTTATGCTATGTTGGTTCAGTAGCTAAGTACGTTTATAGTAATGGCTAACGGAATGTATGCGTCTGATTTTAAAACTAAATTTGAAAAAAAATTAAATAAAATACAAAAAATGAATGTAGTGCTCTAAGAAGTGATATACGATACGATGAACTCATAAAAGAGGCTGAACAAGCGAAGGTCAATTCAAAGAAAACAACAAGCGAATACTGACGGCTAAATAGATATTACGGACTCAAAATTGGTGAGTGTAAAAAATTAATAATTCCACCATGACAACCATGGTGGTCGATCGAGCTTCCTACCTATCATTAGAAAACAGTATCGTTTTACAGGCATTTGAGTGGACGCATGTTAAAGCACGGAGAATGTATTTGTACGGAATATTAGTTTCCGGAATGTATACACTCTGACTGCATTTTACCGGAAACCTTATAAACCCAGATTGTATTTTTCCGGAAACAAAAAATTTGCGAACTATAATCACGGACCGTAAAAACCTGGAATTGAAAAATATGCAAAACGTGTTTGTACGGATTCTGTTCCCGGATTGTAATCGCTCGGAACGTATATTGTCGGAAAATAAATTATTAATCATGAACCGTATAACCTCGGAATCTTGGAAAACGTTAGAACCATTTTTGCATTCTCGGATATACACAACCGGACGCATATAATCAAACCTTACATTGCCCGTATATCTTTCTACCTTAACCACGTTTTTAGATTCGCAGCAGAGCGAGAAATGTTTTGGTTTTACAATGATGTTTATTTCTTCCTAGTTATGCCATTACCCCTCCCCCTCTAAACGGGCATCAGCTAGTAGATTGGTGATAAAATGAGAATATTTAGAAATCTAACTCCAACAGTCCTTAATATTTGTTATTAAAAACGATTACGATATCGTTTGAAAATCAAAAGGATTTCAACCGCAAAAATATTAAATAAGGGCAACTAAAATAATGGTAACGTAACTTCTTAGAGCTACAAATTTCTGAAGTTGTCAGAAAAAAAAAAAAAAATCCGAAAAACGTTAATATTTTCCGAGATAATGAGTGTCTTATAGATTCTATAATATAGATACTGTCTGTATAGGGTTCGTTAATGAGCGATCAGAACTAGCAACGATACCCGTAACTACCTATATTTTTTCCACGAAATCCAGTTCTTAATCACGAATCGGAAAAACCTGTTTTCCGGAATTATGCGGCCCATGACTATACTTTTTTTTTTTCCGAAAACATACAATCCAGATTTATAAAGTATCTGTTGAAACACAGTACGAGTGTAAATCCGGAAATAAACAATCCGTACAAATACGTTTGACATGTTTTTCTATTACAGGTTTTCACGGTTCGTGACTATACGGTTCACAAGTTTTCTTTTTCCGCAGTTCTGCATTCCGTAAAAGTACACTTTTATTCCGAAATTATACAATCTGAGCAAATAAATTCAGAGATTTTACGGCTTCCGTTTGAGTATAGAAACGACAACAATACGATTATTATTATTCCTAAACGGATTCCCCGTCGGCCGGATCGACATGATAGTAATAATAAAACGGATAAAATAATTTCCTCGAAAACAGCTGTGCGGAAACCGATTAAACGCACGAGAAGAACAGCGAAATCTCAGAAAGAGAGGTCCCTTCGTCTGCAACCTTGAGTAAGTGTCTTATTATAGATTTACTTGTCAACAATACGATTGTCAGTCGGTTTGGAATTAAATAGAAATTGTGATTTTATAAATAAGTGACGAATAATGATGTGTGCTGAATAAAAAAAAAAAATGTTTTCTATTTATGGAACACATTGATCGCATTATGAGTAAAATTTAAAAAATTAAAAACACACTTATACATATGACATTAAATTTCAAATAAACATAAGATACCTATTCTGGATGATTTTGGGAGGGTCACGGTTGCTATGACCCCCCCGGGATTCCTCACCTAATCTCATAGAGTTACAAATAATATTTGACCACAACTTCACTGTTGCAGTATGCAGTATAATAGTATTAGGATAAAATCGATACCTTTATATAGTTTAAACTTTAAATTATAAATTATGATATAAAACATATTTCAATTAATCTATGATCTTTTTGATACCAATAGTTACATTATGTATATGAAAATTAGCCAACAACAAAAGATTTACCTATCATATTTTGTTGTTGCCTAAAACCTAAAAAACTCATAATATTTGAAAGAAAGTTTCTAAAAGGACCAGGGCAGCCACTGGTATAGGTAATTTAATGTATATCAACAAATGTCAGCAACGATAAACCATTGCTAATGAAAAAACGATTCTGAGCGGAGTTCAGATGATAGTGGTGCTTTGTCAACAATATATACCTATGTCATATTATAGTAAGATAATTAAATAAGCTTTATATATTTTTTTTAATAATATTTGTTAATGTTGTATCGATTTTCCCATTTTTTCCCAGTATTTTCCTGGTTTTTAAAATTTGCTGGGAAAACTTGAGAAAATCGAAAAACGACCAATTAATGAAAAAACTAAAATTGTTGGTAGAAAAGTTGTTCAAGAAAAAAGAAGGCCGTAATATTTTTAACGAATACCTATTAGTACATTTTCCCGTTTTTTTTTTCAGGTTTTCAAATTTATTGATAAAACTTCTGGAAAAATGACCTCCCTTAACTCTTAAGTACCTCCTCACACCGATTTCCATTCAAAAAAAGTGCTATACTTAAAATCAGAGCAAGATTTCTGGTAGAAAAGTTGCGCGCAGATAAAAAAAATAAACATCTTTATAAATCTTCTTCGATCCACTCAGAATCTAAAATATTTTCGACAATATAATACAATGTCGATTTAAGAACATCTGGAAGAAAAGCAAATAATGGTGTGTACAAGTTGTATGACAAACTAGGAGAGTTAGATGGTTTGCAGAGTTAAAAATTTATTTAAAATCATAACTGCTTTGATACAAAAGAAAATACTAACTAAATAAATTCTTTGTTCTAGTCTGTGGACACATTTTTTCCTAGTAAAATTGCTTCGATGTATAAGTGTTCCACCTTTTCTGAATCCTCAAATTGTCTAGATTGTATTTTACGTACATTGTTTGATTTTCGACGCCATTTTTTAAATAAAAGCACTTAAATGGGAAAAAACTTAGGAAAAGGTACAATTCCGCAATTTCATTATTTTATAAAAACACGGACGTTTTTTACAAGAAAAAATAATATAATCGAAAAATCTTCTTGATTTACTTTCTCATGGTATCATCGCCAAAATTTTTAAGCTTTTAAGGAAATTTAATTTTTGGCAGTTTTTTTACTGTAATTCGATTATAAATACATATAGAGACATGAAACTTGGTAATAAAACTTAAGTATTATAATAATAATATCAGTCATCAGACGACCTTTTTTTAATAAGCGTTTTGAAATCAAATTTAAATGAAAATCGCGAAAAATATTAAGGCACTTCAAATTATGTATTACCGAACTGTGCTCAGAATCGTCTTTCATCAGCAATGGTTTATTGTTGCTTACAGATATAAATGACATAACCTTATGTATCCTACCTTCCCAACTTCTCACCTACAACAGTGGCTGCTCCCCATCCCCAGTATCAGCTTTTTTTTTAAAATTTTAAATTGATTTTTCAAAATATTGACATTGTGATTCAACACCATAATCAATTGACTCTTTCATTTAAAAAAATGACTTATTCAAGTGGGAATAGTTTTATTGAAAGAAAAAATAAAAATAAAGGAGCACCAGATATTCATTTTGGAAAGTTTTTATAAATTATAGTTTGTAAGACACAATTTATAAGTAAATTTGTTTTATTGATACTTAAAATTATAAACTTATATTTTGTATACAACATTATGTAATTTAAGATAGTTAGTTGAAAATATAATCTATGATTATTATATAAAATGAAACGTTAGTTAGAACTTAAAGATATTGGTTTGTTATCTTAAATCAAACCTGCAACCTAAATATAAATATCCTAATATTACTGATTACAAATGTGGTAACCATCTACAATCACACTAAAATAATTGGATTACATTATATGTCAAATGTGTATAAATTGTTTTTCTAAGTTAATAATTTAAAAGCTAGAAAATGATTAAAAAAAAACACATTAATATATAAATATATACATATTACAAGTATGTATGTATTCTACATATAATATATATGACATGTATATTAGCAATAATAATAGAAAAAGAACCTCGTATAATTACTACGACTGATAGTTAATGCATAAGATATAATATGTTTATAATATTACATTACACGCATACACAGTCCTTAATAATATAGTCATAATATAATATTTATATAAATAAAAAAAAAAAAATCACTGAAACGTCAATTTGTACATTGTTAGGTTTCATGTATATTTATGATCAACATATTTACTAAGGGTGTATATTATAAACCTTATCATTACTAACAGGGGATAGAGAAACACGCATTTCTTTACATATGTTGCCAAGTAGTAGGTATCAGATTATGTGTGGAATCTAAATACCTCGATATTTCTTCATGTAGTCCATGTCCAAGCCAAAGTATTTGTAATTTACGATACTGATCTTTACATAGATGCAATGGGTTACCTCGTTTCAAGCCCTGATCAGTTTCACCGTACTCGTCAATATATGGTGGTAAAATAAAGCTTCCTTTATTCAAAGTGGCCAACAATAGAACTTCACATTCGCGTACTCGCAGGAAAATACCAACACCACAACCACAGGTGTAAGCATGACCAGAACATGCTCCAACCTATATAAAAAAAAACCTGATAAATTATTTAGTTTTATACTTTTTATTACAAAATCTAATAATCATATAGCTTTATTGATAATCTATAGATTATATTGTATTATCAATTATGTTGGATCATATTTTAGTACCACTAAAAAAATTATCCCTTCCCCTTAAGCCGTGTGATGCTCGTTTTTGTTAAACAAAATATCCATAATTCTTAAATAAAAATAACTACAAATGCAACTGGTTCCAAATGCCATACAGATGATCTTGGAAATATTTTGAAAGAAACAAGAATAAAATACTTCTCATTTATATATTTCAATAAATATTCTCTCAAGGGTGAGAAAATTATGGAAAACTAAGTGGGAACAATCAATTTGCAAAGATATAATAAAATAATATATTTTTAGTATTAAAATTGGAAATGATTAATTTAATTGGATTTACAATGTTTTAATTATAAATTTTGTTTTTTGTTGTAATTCAGTTGAAAATATTTGTAGACTTGAAATTTGGACAGAAAACCTATATTTGCCTTTTCTTAACGTGGTAAAATTTTTGAGTAATTTATAGACATTTTAATTTTGTACGCAATTTTTATTTCGTATCTAAGTAAAATTATTAGACTAAACAGAAATTCTAGAAAATTTAATACGAGGTTCATTAAAACTGGTACTTTGTAATAAAAATAAAATTTTGAACAGCAGCTAAATTACTGGCTTATTAATTTTAAATATTCATCGAAATGAAAACATTAATATAGAAAATATTGTTGATTAAACCAATTGCAAAACGCTGCTTAAAACAAAAGTTTTTTGGACTTCGTCATCTAATTATTATTATTTTAGATTCGGAGTGTAACGAAGAATGTATTGGTTTTAGTAAGATATATATTTTTTTTTATTTTTTTATCCTGTGTACGAAAATTCTACCAGAAATCTTGCTCCGATGTAAACAATATAGACCCTTTTCTTAAAGTCAATTTTTTTGGGCTGGTACTTTAGGGAGGTCATTCTTTAATTTTCCCGGCAGTTTTCCCAATAAAACAGAAAAAGTAGGGAAAACGGGAAAATTTACGAATATATTGCTTTTATTATTTTTTACATTTTTTATTTAATGTAATTTAGATAAGAATATTCGTAGATTTGAAATTTAGACAGAAAACTTATTTGTTTTTTTTAGACATGGTAAAATTTTCAAAAAATTTAAGTCATTTTTGACATTTTTATTTGGTAGTCACTCTGTGGTAAAATCGACTTAACAGAAATACGGGAAAATTTAACAGAAAGTTCATTAAAAGTCTTACATTGTGGTCTACAAATTTGAGTTTAATGTAGTTAGTATTTTTTATGTAAAGGGATTTTAATATCAAATTTTGATGAAAATCGTTTAAATTAAAAAGTATATGGAACAAATCTAATTTTTTAATTTTTTTTTTTATGAATATATGTATGCTGCCAGTTTAAGAACGATAGTGAAGTCAGAATTGAGCGGACTGACTAAGTTTCGAAATTATAGCTTTTTGAAGTTCTGATATTGTATATTATGTTAAATAATTATATTAATAATCTTTAAAGTATGTTTGTCGTAGTTGAATGATTCATACCTAATTACCCTAGGGTTTGTTAGTTCGAACCCGTGTTTAGAATAACAAATTTTTTCCCTTTTATTAAGACAGGAAAAATGTATTTTAGGTGTACCTAAAGAAAAGTACCCTTCGATTTGTTGTGCAAACTTTTCTACTAGAAATCTTGCTCCGATTTTTAAATGTAGCACTTTTTCTGAAGGTTTTCTGAAGGATTGGTTATTTTTACATTTTCCGATGAGTTTTCCCAGCCAATGTGAAAACCGGGAAAGACGTAGAAAAAGAGGGGAAAATCGGTACGATATTAAACAAATATTATTAAAGAAAATAAATAATGCCTATTTAATTATTTTACCATAATATACATATTGTTGACAAAGCATCACAAATCATCAACTGAAATGGGCTCAGAATCGTTTTATCGTTATCAATGGTTTATTGTTGCTTACAGATATACATTAAATTCTTTATAACAGTGGCTCCACCCGTATCCATTATCTTAGAACATTTTTTTTGTTATTCATATTGTCACATTATTATTAATAAATATTTAATGTGAAAAAAATTTAACTTTCAAATTGTACTGTTTTACTGCATTTGTACAATATATCTTCAGTCTTCTAAGCTAACATAATTTGAAATGACATCGGATATAAAGGTTTATAAAGGTTATAAAGGTTTTAAGTTTTTGTTGACTAAAGCAGTGGTATTGGAGTAAAAATCGTTCGTCCCCCCATCGAATTTACCCAGACACCCCCGAGAAATACTTTTAACAGAGCTCCGCTCATCAACAGTGGTCCACCCATCGTGCAAAGTATATCAGTCTTTTTTTCTTAGCAATCTTTAATATTAAATTTAATTATTTCGCCCCACCCCATAGTCAAGGTCTGGGATGCCCCTGCTATGCTTATGATTTATATTATTAACTTTTTATGGCAAAAATAATAAAATATATTAGCTCCTTTGTCCTTTTAATTGGAATTTAAAAAATGTTTTGTGATTGATTGAAATACTGAATTTTAAATAATAAATAATTAATAAACAATTAAATATAATGTACCTTAAATTATTATTATTATATATAATATAATGCACTTTAAATTATACATAAATATGTAAAACCAAGAAACTAAGAAAATGACTATACATTGTTTATATGTTAAAGATAAAACACTACATGTATTTGTTACATACTCAATATGGCACAAACAAGGAAATAATGAGGTTATTATAAAAAGTTATTAAAGGATTAGGTTTGTAAAGCGAAATATTCATTAAAGAATTTATGAATAACAATTTTTAAAAAGAGAGTTGATACTAGGAACAAGCCATTTTTGAAGGCGGAAAGGTGGAAAATTGAAAGGGTAGAATACATAGTTATTTAATTTATACCTACAACCAACGATAAACCATTGCTAATGAAAAATTATTTGGAGCAAAGTTCTGTAACACATGTTATGAAAGGCTGTATATTTACGATTTTCATTAAAATTTAATTTAAAAAAATATTATAATAAGTAAAAAAAAAATACTACAATACACTCAATTTTTTTTGACCACTTATAGGTTATGATGAACCTTCTGTCAAATTGTCAAGCATTTCTGTTAAGTCTAACAATTTTATTCACAGAGTATCTACCAAATTAAAATTAATTAAAAATTGCTAAAAATAGCTCAAAAATGGTTTAAATATTTTAAAAATGTTGCTTCGTCTAGGAGAAAAACCAAATATAAGTATTCTGTAAAAATTTCAAGTCTCTACGAATATTTGTAAACTGAAAATTAAATTCAAAAAAACAAAATCTAAAATAATAAAAAAATTATTTTCGTAAAATATTTGGTAATTTTTTGATTGGAAGAATATTTCTGGTATAAAACATAAGTTACAAAAATGAAAAACAATGTAATCGGTAACGCTGCAGCTCGCTGTAAATATTTGCTGTTTTACTAACAATTTTCTTTTGGGTTTTTCCAATTATTTTGAAAACCCCTTGGAAAATCAAAAAATTACCTCTCTTATATACCAAATAGACAATTTTATCAGTTAGAGTTGAACATAATAGATAAACTAGCACTTACTGTGGCATGTTTGATTTCTGTTTGACAACAATAACTTTGAGAACAAAGCATTGCACCACATACTAAACACATGGTTGGATTTCTTGAATCTTCATGACTGCTATTTGGGCAAGTAAACATTGATACAGTATTAATTAATTCACTATAATCATCCGGAAGTTCTACTAATTCATTGATATGCGTCCAACTTCTAAATTGTACTTTTTCACCTTGCTTGATTTTGATTAACTTTTCATTTTCAGTCCATTTATTTACTATTACTTTGATATATGGTTTGTCTAATAGTTCTTTGCATGAAGTGGGTAATCCCAAATAACAACACATGTTATGGTATGTATCTCCATCAACTTCTGTCAAAGCATGCGAGGCAGGGACACCTGTAAGAAAGTGATAAAACAACGAACAACACCGCAAAAAAGGTATTGCACAACTCTCTATTAAATTCCAAACTGCTACTGTATTCTTAATACTGATTCCACGTAGTTTTAAAATGTAATCAGCTATACAACGCGTGTCTTCCTCTTCTTCTGGATCAAATTCAAGCATTTCTTCAAAGTCTTTTTCGATGTCAATTGTCAACATGATCTGTACTAAATTTGCAACAAACATTAAATGAACAGTATGGAAGTCTAACATAGTTCCTCTAGGGGCAGGACCAGGAACTTCAGTATAATACAAACTAGGCAAAGCCATAGTCAATGAAACTAACATTCCAAAAGCATCCCAATCAAGTATTCCAATTGAGTTATTTCCACCATTATCAATAGCTAAAGATATAAGTCGAAGGGCGTGTAAATTAATTTCATGTTCCTTTTTCCATGTTGAACTTAAAACCCCTGAAACACGGATCAACGCTTCCAGGCAGTCTTTTTGCCGACATGATAATTCACCAAATAACGGTTTATTTTTATAACGGAGAATCACTTCATTTGAATGTATTGTATATGCACATGCTTTCCACGTCATTAATGGGATTTGGTTATTATCTGGATGTGGGTCACTGATAGTAGCTGCTTTTGAATAAATATTTGTGGCAAATTTTAAAATTGTATCAACTAAGCTAGTTGAGAGTACATTGTTTTTATATACAGACACTTTAGGCACAGCCATTGGTGACTTTGGTGACTTATTAAACATCAGTAATTGCATAACAAAATCATTAGTTTCGATCGAAAATTCATCAGCTAGTGGCAAAAATGTATCCTCATATTCTTCTTCATCTTGTGGAGGTTCATTATTATCTCGTTCTATAGTTGTTTGATTAATATTATTATCCAACACATTAGCAGCAAGCAATTGCATTGTAGCTTGTTCTCTTTTATAAGCAGGCGGTGGTTCTGTAATTGGACTTGGATTTATAGATGGTTGAGTGTTTGAGTCTGTAGCTTTAGGCTTGGCAACCTTACTTTGATTTAATGCTATATTTAATCCATCATACCAAATTTTAAACGTCAAATCTTCGAATGTCTTATCTGGTTGAGTAAAACTTGAAATAGGTGGTAATAATGGCATAACAGTATTGCAAAGTCCTTCACAAAGTGGACATAAATATTCACTTTTATGCACATCAAAACTTAATGAATGCCTCAATCGGTATGGTCTTCTATTCTCTTTAGCTAAAATCATATCAAAATGTTTTTGCCAACAGGCAACATGCATAACATGCCCACAAGTGGAAATATAAGGAGAAGGACCAAAATTGGCTGGTATAAAGTAGGGGCGAGAAAGGTAATCATTATAATTTCCTATACGATTTTTTACTGGACAAAGAACAGATGATTTTTGTACAAATGTAGCTAAAACCATTGCTTGACTGTCATGGGTAACTTGCTGTTCTTCTTGGCACAATATACATGTATATTTACTATCAAATGTACTTGATGCGGTTTGATTAGGACCCAGACAAACAGAAAGTTCCACAATATTTTCTAAAATGTCCATACTAGTCGAATCATTATGTGATTCTGAGCAAATGGACGTGTTTTTAAACAATGTAGCATTATCTTTCATAAAATTAGTTTGCATTTGGGTCATCTGAGCCATAATAGTAGCTCTTCGATCAGCTGCCAATTTTGATCTTTTCTGTTTTTCCAGTTCAGCATCATCACAACTTTTTACATCTTCTACGTTTTCAACTTCCTCTGTTTCCTTACTTTTTTTTCTTGGTGCAGACACTTGTCTAAACTTATTAAGGGTCCATACGGCCAAATCTTTGTAAGCTTCAACTCTAGGACTACGTTTAAGCTCATCAAGTGCAACTTCTATACCATAAATTTCAGAACGTTCAGTAAATTTAAATGATGGACTGTGTTGTTTTTCTTCTTCATGAAGAGCATACCCAATTAAATGAAGAACTTTATGAAGTTGAGATTCAGAAAAACTTCTACTTCTTAAATTTACAGTTCTTTCTAATACCAATTTCATGATGTAAAACATTATATCACATTGCAATATATCAGCTATCTTTGCAAAAGCATTACTGAACAATGGTAAACTAGGAGGAGGACAACATTCTAATTCGCTGGCTGCTTTTTTTCGTTTTCTTTGTTCTTCTTCAGATTTAGACATTTCTTCTCTTGAATAATGGTAGAAAAATACATTGTAATCATCATAAAATATCGGTTTTAATTCATAAACACCTTTTCCTCTAGTTTTTTTGAAAACAGCAACTTCATTAATGACTTTTTCTAAACATTCTTCATCTTCAATTATATTTACGAGTGTTTTATTTAATTCTGAATGAGGCATAGGTTCTACACACAGCTGTTGTATTACTTCTTTTTTTATACAATCATCAAAAGTTACTTTGCCTACACCAGGAGTATACCTTTCGCCAACAATGGTAATGATTAGTGTTAAAAATTCTTCAACCAAACTAATTGTTTGACGAATAGTTTCATCTTCTGAACCATTTAATAAATTTAATTCGAAATCGGGCTGGGCCCACTTTAATAAATTAAATTTATTTAGCACATGTATTAAAAATTCATTACTATCAATTAATGAGGCACCCATTTGAAGTATAACAATATCCTTATCTAACATTTCCATCCGACATTTTGAATTGTGATACAAATATATTTGGTTTAAAAGTGAATATCCATTACGCCTCCACATTCCTGCATGCACTTGTGATATTAAAACAAGTGCTCGGAGAACTGGTTCAATTATTTGTTCAGGAGATTGTCTTGTAGTTTGCAGCTCAGAATGATCAAAACTTAGATCATAACGATCCAAAAATAAATGAAGGCCTGCAAGAAATCTAGACAATGGAAGATGTATAGATACAGGTTCAGTAGATACATCAAAATCAATACAGGTGGCTTTATAGTTCATTAACTCTTTAACTATATTTGGTCTAAGAGGATCTAAAACTGGATTTTCCCAAATTTTCTTTAAAGTCATTCTGTATACTTTTTTTAAAACAATACAATCTGATCCACACCACAACAGTATTTTTGTTATTAATGGTCTCAGTTTAATATGCAAATTGAATGCTGTTTCCCATTCAGGTTCATACTCCATATGTTGACCAACTTGTCTAGTAACAGTATCCATATTTTGCATATAGTTAAGAATGGTAAGGACCAAAGAAACAGCATGGCAAAATGATATTCTTAATTCAGCGGTCCATTTTTCAGGTACACAACCTAATAGATAACGAATATCTCCAAGAACATGTTGTGCTCTCTTAAATGGCACGGTTGAAGCGTTCCGTTCAAATTCCAGCTTTCCTTGTTTATTTACTTTATGCGAACATTCTGATAAAAATGTATTTAAGAGTTGATATAAAACATCATGATGTGCCATTAAGTAAGTAGCTAATGTGGGAACAGTAAATATTTGTACACCCAATGAAGCAACAGAATAAGAATAATCATGATCATCATTAATAAAGTCCTTCATAATCGCACTATAATTTTTTGTAAAGACCTTGGCAAATTCTTTTTTATTCGCATATTCTATGAACATACCAGAAATAAAAAGTTTATGCCAGTGTAGTCTAGCTGATTTCCACAATACAGTGTCTTTCCGCAATATACTTTCTATAATGCAACCTTCAACGGGTGTAGATGCAAGTACAACACTCGAAAATACTGATCTTAGCCGTTCTGAATATCCTAATAAATTCTGCATCCATGTCAACAACTTAAGAGAAAACATTTGATGAGCAATAACATCAGAATGAACTACTACTGTTTTTAATGGTTTGCCACCGTGACGTGATGTAAATTTTTCTATTTCGTCTTTTAAATCTTTACATTCAACAAAAGTAGAACATTTCACAACTGCTCTACCTTCTCGATCGATAGATGTAACAAAATCAATAGATGTTCGTTGAGGGCATTTAATGAATCTAGTCAATGTTGTTATAACTTGATCAAATGTATGTGTCTCATCATTATACAGAACCGTGCAAAAACTATCTTCTTGATTTCTATATAAGCTATATAAATCATCCAATGTTTCATCAGCATCAAATCCGACAGGTAACATAGGAGGATGTTCTAAAGTAAGTAATGCACGAGTATACCGAAGAACATATTTAAATATCAAATGAGAACGTTTTTCCATATCGGCTGTTAATAAATTGAGGTTAACTTGTTTCTTTTCTAAGCCCAGTTTATGAGTTTCACAATATGGATCATGTTTCCAAGCTTCTACATCACCACAATCACAACATCCACCTCCATAAGATGTTCCCATTTTGTACTTGTGGTTTTTATGAGAAGAAAGTTTAAAACATTCTACACATAAAACACATGTACTGTCCATTCCACATTCTCGACAATTATATGTTGGTTCGCCCATTTTGAATACTCTACCACATACTGAAGGTGGATAATTTTGTTCAGATAAACAATCTAATACTCTAATACCACTCCCATCAAATATAAATTCCTCAAGTGCAGCTAATAGTATGTTTTCTGCCCTAGTTTCATTAAATGACCATTCTAAAGAATCATTTCCAAATCTATCTTTCATTCGCGGCACCCAAATTTTCCAATAATTACGAAAATCAGATTCAGTCAGGGTATTAGATTCAAATTTTTCCAGCCACTCAGAAGGAACACCAGCATGTGATTCATCATCTATTTCCATTGGTGAAATGAATCGGCTCATTGTGTCATTGAGTACCCTAGAATAAAAATAATTTTCTTTAAAAACGAGGTAATTATTAGGAAAAAATAGATTTTAATCAACGATGATTTATTTAGACAATCAATATACAGAATTTTAATTTTAAAACACAAATTTAAATAATTTTATTCATGAAAAGATAAGAAAAATTTGCATTTGTCTCTTTGTCCACTTGACTAAACTTTTAGTTGTTAAGGTTCTTCTGTACTTTGGACTAAAAACCCTTCTAAAATCTAAACAAATTACATAATTATTTTCTATTACATGAATTCTATAGGAAATGGGAAATAAAATGTATGTATTATTATCTCAATATATTTCAGTTAATTTTTTTTTTTTTGTATTGATAACAAATATTTTATAATTCTACTTGTTTTTTTATGATTTATTGTCTACATGTTTATTTTATTAAAAATAAATTGATAACACAATTTTATATTCATAAATTCTACTAGCGTAAAAGAAAATTTGGAAGAAGAGTTAACAATAGACTAGAGGAATGGAAAATAGTACAGAAATAAAATAAAATATATAGAATATGAGTTTAGAGAAACAGAACAAGACATCTAATGACAATAAGTAGTGACATAATAAGCGAGGTTGAGAGCTTTAAGTAGCTAGATTCTTTTATTTAAAATAATAGTAAGCTATGACTTGAATGTGAAACACAGAATTAAATGTTTTTGGATTAAGTGTCAGGTGTTTTATGTGACGAGAGAATTCAAATGAGACTTAAAGATACACTACAAAAGTGTTGTGAAACCAACTATGTTGTATAGACCGGAGTTTAGGGCAGTAAATAGAAAAACAGAACAAAGAATAAGTGTAGCGGAGGTGAAAATTATTAAGTGGACGAATGGAGAGACGAGACAAAATAGGATAAGATATTAATACATAACAGTTAACTTAGACATCGCTTAAAAAGTAGACAAAATGAGAGAAAATATACTGTGATAGTTTTGCACAAGGAAAAGAATCTGAAATAGTAAAAATTTTAATAAAAATAATCATAGGAAGAAGAAGGAGAGCGGAAGACTAATAAGAGGTGGTTAGATGTGATTCAGAATGATATGAGGACAATTGGTGTACATGAGATGGAACATCAGATCAAATGGAAATTTAGAACAAGGATGGCAGACCCAAATAATTGGTATGAAGGAGAAGAAGAAGAATAAAAGTTTTTAATATTAACTTTTCAAGACTTTTAAATTATTTTTACTATTTTGATAATTACTTAAAAAAAAAGAAAATCTTCGAAATTAAGCGTTTTATTTGTATTAGTATTTAAAAAAAAAAATGTTTTTATTATTATTACTGTTATTTATAGTATTTAATCATAACTTAAATTAAAGAACTTTATATACAATGTCAAAGATTAATTGTGTGTGTAAAAAAAATTACGACAGGCTTTTTACCCGTTTTTACAGGGACCAATAATTATCGTAGAATTGTATATCTTCCAAAAATTTGATTTATAATAAAATCTTCAGAAATATGTTTCATACTAATCTGAATTAATAAAATATTTACAAATTAATTTGGAAATTTAATATGGAAAATTAATATAGATAGTATAATATATATATATATATCTGTGACTGGAACACGAAAAATTGTAATTTACCTACTCATCAGTTTGTGCTGGTCCCAAAATGAGTCTTATAAACGGTGTCACTGTAAATTTATATTATATTATCAATAGAAATTTGAACCGAAACCAACAAAGTTTCTAATAGCTCGTGCACTAGTTCCGCATTTTATACAAAAACTGCGTACTAATTCTGAGATGGAACTTGTTTTGTCATTCGATGTGCACTAAGTGCAATATTTTTAATAGGTTGAAAATGCTTTAGGATAGGACAATCCGCTTGAGTCTTATTTAGAACTCCTTATGCTCACTTATACTCTTTGACTCAACCACATTTTTCACCTCTTATAACAAGTAGAGGTACCATGGGAGTATTCTGATCCCTAACCACAGGAAATTAAATTAATAACTATTATTAATAAATATTTCTATATATGAAAAAAATAAACTTCTTCTGTTCTCCTTATGTTAACTTATTGAAGGTTTTACATTTTTAATAAAATTTTAACTTAGAATACTTAAAAACTAAAATAGTATTAATTTAGGATTATAGTTCATCGGTGTAAAATTAAAGAAGGAAATAAATATGGTATCAACTAAAATACCCTAAAAACATTTTTAAAAAATGATAATTTTATATCAGGAAGAAGAGCAACCATTATTAATTATTACTGACCAAAACACATAATATGAGGATTTCTTTGACGAAAAAACATAAAATAAGTACATGCATATTTTTAAAAATTAAGCAAAAGTATACACAATACGTAAAATAAAAATAATTAATTATAAAGAAAAGTAAAGTAGGTACTCTTAAAAGGTAGAATACAAAATACTTAATATTATTCTTGGACTGATCAATTAATTAAATTGAAAAGAATCAAAAGTTGGAACAATAAATAATAAAAATGCATCATAATGTAAAATATTTCAAAAAAATTACTTAACACAAGTACTAATACATTACAAAGACATTGTTGATAATGCATAATTAATGTACCTAATCATAAACAATTTTGTTTGAATATATAAATTTAAAGTAGGTGCATCCTTTGAGTCTTTTTAACATTAACAACAATTTACAAAGACAGTAAAAATGCATACTCATCATTTTCTTGGTTATTTTTTTTTCTAAAATTAGAACATTTAATATGAGATGTGATTTTTTTTACTCAATATATACACTTGGTGAAACAATTATTAATTACAAGAGTCGAAAACTGTACTATCTTACTAGTAAACCACCCAAATTGTTTTTACTTCCACAGTTACAATATTTATTGATAAAACTAGATTAGTCAGTGATTATAAATAGGTACCACCATAGAGTATGGTTCAACCTATTACTACTACTACTACTAATATAACAATTGTTAATCATTATTAAAAATTGATTAAAACAATGAACTATAAGATATTAAAAGAGTAACAAATACAATTATCCCGTCAATAGAAGTAGCAAGGCATTCAGCAAGCTGATATTGATTCGACACTGAATGCGCAAAAAAATAGGTAATGTAACAGACATTTGTAAAACAATGCAATACTTACAATGGTGTTTTGGTCGATGTATAACGCGATACGTGCCCGTGAAAATCTCACGATACGTGAATGTCCACCGAAATGTCTTCGTGCAAAGCGTAGTGTAAACGATGGTCAAAAGTTTTTAATATTCTGCGTTGTCGTTTTAATTTCACTTTTACATTGAACTTTTCACCATTTGATAAAAATAGCAAGGCATCAATCCGCGAACAGCTGTCCACAACTCGTCGTCCCTTATGTGTTATGTGTACTGTACGTAAAATAATTATGCAATATTTTATCAGTGAAATCACACTAAACAAAAACCAACTTCCCTGAATTTACTACATTGATCGTGGCAGCGCTGTCTAGGAGTTTCGAGACAGGAGATATTATTTGTTTTATGTGACGTCGATGATTATAACCACTAAGATATCTTAGTTTGTGATAACTGATTTGAAAGCTTCGTATTAATCTTCGTATTAAAACTGAACTACTGAACACAACTGAATAAAATAACGTCTTGTTTTATTATATTATATATAACATTAAATTTCTCAACTGTTGTAATACAATAATCAAAAATTTTAATAAATATTGGAAATTAAAAAAAAAAAGGTTTCCTGATGATAATCAAAAGTAATAAATAAATAATTATCTATGTTGATAATCCATTGACTGTAGTTTGATTACCAAACAACATTCTGTAGTTAATTGTTAATACTATTATCTGTTATCAGTGTTATCTACCATTATCAGCTATAATAAAAGCTTAAAATAAAACTTGAATCGCTTGCATGTTGCAGTTGTTGCGTTATTTATAAATTATAATCCTGATACCTAGCCACCCGGGCACAACGAATTCCAACAAGTGAAGCAAACAATTCAGTGTTTCAAAATGGCTCATCACTTTAAGGAAGAGGATATTGATGGTAAGTCAATGATTAGCTATATATTTTAACACCATTATTTAATCCTTGTTTATTACTACCCCTGTACATATTATTATGTATGGTGTATTTAATACTTTTTTCTTGTTTTGTAGAATTCAGAGAATGTTTCTATCTATTTGCTAGAGAAGGAACAATTAATAAATTAGACGAACTTAGCCTAATTATGCGATCTCTAGGAATGAGCCCAACAATAACTGAATTGAAGAAATACTTCTCAGAAAATAGTAAGGCTAATTAACAAATTAATATAAATATAATATTTATTTAATCACAAAATAAAAATTGAAAATCTATGATAGTTATGAACACAATATAGCTCTTATTTTATAGGTACACTTTGTGTTTTATAATTGTAATAATTAAAATCAAACTGACATACTTTGAATGACAGGTAGGCCACCATTGTGGGTAGGAAGTTTGAAAGGTGGAGGGGAAGTTTAATGCATATTTGTACGCAATGATTAATCATTGATAATGAAAAAACGATTCTGAGCGAAGTTCAGTTATACATATTTTGAAAATATTTTGACCGTAATATTTATGATTTGAAAAAATACATTTCATGCATTAACCATTTATTATGAAAACACATAAAAAAATCAAAAAATTACCTATCTAAAGTATCATCCTACTAAAATTTCTTATAGAAAAGTTGTTCACAAAAAAAAAAAAAATATTAAACATCTTTGTAAAACCAATACATATTCATATTTTTAAATATTGATTTGATTATGGCATAAATATTGTAGATAGATACATAGATCAAAGAAAAGATTAGTTCAATTACAACGATTAAGAAAATGATACTACTTTGATTATTCTATCATTATTTTTTAGATGGACAATTACATTTCCCAGAATTTCTAAAAGTAATGCACAATCATTGTCGTATAGAAAAATTACCAAATGAAATTTTAGAAGCGTTTAAAGCCAGCGATTATCAACATACGGGTACAATTCATAGTAGACATCTTAAACATTTGTTGCAAGGATGGGGAGAACGTTTAAACAGCAAAGAAAGTATATTATTGATAATACTAAAGTAATTTTTAAACTAAATTGATTTAATTTTCAGTTGAACAAATTTTTCGAGAAGCCAATGTTCATCCAAATGGTAGAGTTAATTATGATGAATTTGTGAAAATTGCATGTGCTCCGATTCCTGATTATTACTAATCTTTAAATTTATAAACAAATATCATGCTGTGTATGTGTTAAACAAAAAAACAAAATATTCCCTTCAAATCATATTAATAGTTTTAATTATATTATAAACTGTAAATTAGTTATGGTGTTATGATAATAATATAAGTTTTTTTTTTTTAAGTTAGATAAGCATTTAAGAATGATAACTGATAATGTTCATTTAATCTTCTATTATATAATTTATTTATTTATGAATATTATTTTACACCTATAGTTATGACTAAAATTATTAAACTACTTCTTTTTAAACAAAATTGTCTGATTATGTATTTTGTTGAGTTTTTCCTGAAAATAGAAGCTATTGCACTTTATTGAGTCTGTTGTAAATATATTTACAGGGTAATTCACTAGACATGCTCAGTGTAGTTAAAGCCGATATTTTAGAATACTAAGATTTTTCACATTTAAGGAGTATCCTCTGGTGAAACCAACTTAAATTTTTCAAATAGGGACCTATATATTTTAATGCAAATAATAAATCAGATGATTTTTCTGAAAGTATTAATATATTGTAATTGAAATTTAAATGATAATTTTCTGAATTGTTCTACTTAAAAAAAAAAACTATTATTAATATTAGTTAATGAATTATCAACTAAAAAAATGTTAAATCTAATAATGTCTAAAATTAGATTGTAAATACTAAAATGAAGATAGCAGAATGTATCAGTATTTAATTATAGAGTTATTACCCAACCGTTATTTAACTCATGATAAACCTACAATTGCTTTGTCATAAAGATTATATATTGAATGATTATTAAGTAATAAGACAGTATATATACAAGAAATAAAACAACCTAATACTGTCAATCTTGGGACACCAAAAGTATTCACAATTTCATTACTTAAACAATTTTCTATTTTAACCATTGGAGTTATATTAAAAATGTTTGATTTAAATAATTTTAATAAAGTTCTTACCTCGAATATCATAAAACCCCAGTTTATTTATTATTATATCTTGTTTTTATTGAAATTTTACAGAGCAGTTTACTTCATATAATACTGTTAATGGTAACAAAGAATAATAATTTTGTAATTTAAAAAGAAACAACACCAATGATATCAATGCCATTACAGATAAATTAAGGAACACATAGATTATATAATAATTATAGTTGTTACAAAAGTAAAATAAAAACTGTAACTTGTTAGCTTATTTACCATAATATGACAAGTTTATAATTTAAATTAAAAGAGCCCCTAAATATATCTGTAGTTTACATTCTTTTATGGTTGATTGATATTTTATGACAATTTTGAAAGATTGGATACTTTAAGAATATTTAAATAATTTAAGAAAAATGATCAATGGAGGACAATAGGTAGGACAAGCAAATATAATATGATAAGACTAAACAGAAATGCTTGAAAATTTAACAGGTTCTTTTAATGTTTTACTCTACGGTAAAAAAAAGAAATTTAGTTTACTGCAGTATTTTTTTTTATTTTTTAAAATCAAATTTTTTGATTTTCAAAGGAATTTTTGAAATAATCGAAAAAAAACCAAAAGAAAAGTATAGGCAAAACATCAAATATTTACGGCGTTACCGTTTATATTATGTTAACACTTCATACGATGTTTTCTACTAGAAATATTGCTCCAATCCAAAAATGACGAGTGATCGATTTTGTTCCTTATACCTAATATTTTACCACTGACTAAGTAAGTCATTTTTCGTAAAACGAATTATATGATTTTTTTCAAATTACGACAACGATTTCATTATTTTAAATTTTTACGGCTTATGTTTTATACCATAAATATTGTTCCAATAGATAAACGAAACGACAAGAGACCTTTTTTGTTGCATTTTTATCTGTTTCATGAGAAAAATTATTCGTTTTTTGATAAAGTTGTATTACGTAATATCGTATTATTCCTATCACATAGAAAGGCGGGAAAATATAGACTGACGATAAATTGTTTACAAAATTACAAAATTCTGCGCGGGCAACTGGCGATCTGTTTTTAAATTATTTTAAATTGTTATATTAAGTTTATAATATAGTGGAAGAAACGGAAATTCTGATCGAACAAGTTAGAAAATATGTGTTCTTATTCTGGCAACCAATACCTACATTACTTACATTTTCCCGTTTTTTTTTTCGATTTATCATATTTGTTGAGAAAATCGAAAAATGACCTCTTTAAAGTACCTTCCCAGTGAAATTTTAAAGAAAATCGCTATCATTATAAGTTATATATACTTATATCATATAAAATGCTAGACTTTATCAATAGAAATACGAACGACTTTAAAAGCACTATAAATGTCTTTCTTCTTGAGTCTAGACTCATTATGTATAAGACTTAAAGTAGCTGATATTGTGTTAGTTGATATCTTAAATAACTTCGTCGACTGTCCTGATTTATTATCGGAAATTTGTTTCCGTATACAATGTAAAAACACTAGGAACCTATTTGAAATTCCTCATTACAACACCAACTATGGAAACAAATTGTTTTCTCTTTTTTATTTAAAATGTTACAATTATTTATATAATTTTGTAAAAGGGTATTTGCCTGTAAACAACAATAAAATAATTAATAAATAGACAAATGTTGTAGTCCATGGGGCTATTGTGGTGAACGATGCCTTTTAGGTCCGGCGGGGACGATGTGTCCCACTGGATCATTGTGGTAAACGGTCCCTTTCTGGCACGAAGGAGACGATGCGCTAAGCTGGGTCATCGTGGCCCAAATCGCAGGTATCGCACCTAGCAGCATGAGTTTATGAGAATTTAATTTCATCAAACATCATTTATTCATTGATGATAATGATAGTACTGTACTTATAATATGTGCTATCCCCTCTTCAGGCAATTATTATAAACAAAACCCTCCCCGAAAAAAAATTCTGCGTGCGCTACTGTCCCAAATAACTATATCTTACCTACTGCAGTATTTTACCTACTGGGTAATCCTGTATCCTATCTGACGAGCCAACGGAAAAGGTAAAATGTAAATAAATGATATAATTAAATAATCTATGAGCACATGTTTACAATACATACTTTTGTTGTAGAAAAAGAAAAAACTGTTGCGAGTGTCAGTTATTTTAGTGTGTTAGACTTTGCATACGATTTTTACATAATCTACTTAAACTATTACCTATATATATCTTATAATTATATTAACATTGTAAAGTGAGAGTTCAAACAAACACTTAGAGACAATCATGAAATACTTTTATTTCTTCAATACATACATTTTTGTTAAAATGAGGTATTTATGTGCAACCAATTTGTTTTTCTAAACATGTGTAAAATTTTATTATAATTATTGTGGTAGAAGCTGAATATTAGGAGGCGCACACCAATTGTATGCTCTCTTTCCCATATTCTCTTTAATTCTCTCTAATCATTTAAGGATTTAAGTGCTTGGTTTTATACGTTCATATAAAAATAGGTATTCAATTTAATATTTTATGTTATGAATATATTATGTAATAGTAAATTTCATTATACAATTATATGTTAAAATATATTTTATCATCTCATTTTTTTATAATTTTATATGACCTCTAAAAATAAAATTATATATATTATTAAGTTAAAAAAAAATCTCTGATACATCTATCTATAATAAAAATTGATATGAAGAAACTATTATGTAAATTAAAAAAATATACATATAATACATATGTATATTTAATAAAAGTCATATAATTAGTTTCCTGGCATACTCAAATCATTTATTTTTCTATTAAACGTTAGCAATTACATACTCTATAAGTAGTAATATTGTATTTTCAAAAATGACTGTCATAGTTAGAGTTGACACAAATGTTTCAACTTCAGATGTTGATGAAGCATTTTTAATTGAAAGTACTGAATCACTTGCTAATACTTTCAAAATATCAAAGTCTGTAAGTATATATTGTAACAAATCAAATTTGTTATTACTTATTAATAACTTAATGTTTAATTTCATGATTACTAAATTGTACGGATAACATTTAAACAAAAAAAAAAATTCTTTTTTTTTCTTTTAGGATATTTTAATATTTGTTAATGCAGACCAGCCTATTCTCATTGCTGGTTCTGAAAAACCAGCAGCAGTTTTAACAATCTATAGTACAGATGGAATTAATGAAGTTAGTAATAAACTCCATTCAGCAACATTGTTTTCATTGCTAACTAAGTATCTAAAAGTCAATGAAGATAGGTGAGAAATATTTTTCATATATTTATTATTAATTAACAAATTAACAAGAAATACTAAGGATGATTAACTAAAATTCCAATTGCTACTTAACTTGTATAAAATGAAATTTACTAACTTAAAAATATGTTGTGTATTTACATCTGGTGCACGCATTGGAAAAGTAAGAAAAAAGGTGCTATAAGACTAAAAAAAATTAGCATCCCATACAATTATTAAATTCAATCAGTATGTAGAAACTAAAGGGCAATGCCCCATATGATTTTTGCATCTTATTCAGTAATTCATAATTTCCGAAAACAAACATTATTAAATATTAACACTATTGCAGGCTAATTTCTTGTTTACATAATAAATAATATATATTTTAAATTTACTTTATGTGTTTTTATTATTTTTTCCCTATGTAAACAACTTTTCTGCTAGAAATCTTGCTCCAATTATCAACTATGGAGTTGATGATTTCTCATAAAAATTGTTATTACGTTTGTGCAACGAGGCGGTTATTTTTCGATTTTCTTTGTAGTATTTTTAATTATGCGGAAAACCCTTCCACCAAAAACCGCCTGGAAAACTTTTAATTGTTACATTTACAAATTAACGGTTTCTGTTATATTCCATTTTGTTTATTTAGCCCAAAATAATTATAAAGGCCAGACATTTTACTGAATACTTATAAAGGTATAGTCTCATTTGTACAGCGCTTTGTAGACATATGTAGTACAATTTTCAAAACATTCTGTCAAATTTTCATTTATCCCTAGATTTTATTTTGTTTTAAGTGATTAAAATTGTTTTGGTTCAGCAAAAATGTTCAAAAATGTAATACAATTTTCATCATAAGTTGAAATTAATGGAAAACAAAATTCAGGGTATTGTAGAAATTTTTTTTTATAAGTGATAAAAGTTCAAATTTTAATGAAAATGCAAAATATGTAAAAGTTGAGAAAAGGATTTTATAAAAAAAAAAAATAAAAATGAATATTTTATAAACAGTTATATTATAAAATATAATAATCACATGAAAAATACATGATTTAAGGGGTGACATCGCCTCCCCCCTCTTGTATCCACCACTGCATCCCTAACATTCCATTTCAACCAAATATTAAAGTTACTCTAACATTTCTGAAAAATGAGGTACTCGAATTTTGTTTTACACGTTTATATTGTGTATAGTGTCTGCCAAAATATTCTGAAACAGTATTTACTATTTTGTCTTGTTAGCAAAGTAATCCATAAAATAAAGGTCTTGCTCGTGACTCTTGACAAATGCATAATATTTATTATTTACAATTAACAATTTTTAAAATGTCTTTAAAAATAACTCAATCACTTTTAATTTGTATATTAAAGAACCCATGAATGAACTGTTTTTTTTTTTTTTTTCAAAAAATACTTTACAGTAAAAACACACATGCCTCAGTGTTTAAATATTGATCTTTTTTTTTTTACATTGGATAGAGGATAACTTTCTTCCAAAACCTAAAAAAATCTCCCTGTAGTATAATAAAAAAAAAAAAAAAAACAGTATTACGATAGGCATAATAATATATAAATATATTATGAAAATTGTAATCTTAAACATTAAAATATACTGTTATAGTATTTTTTATGAATGAAACTATGAACAAAATATTAGAATTAATATTAATCGCGGATTATAAAAAATAATAATTGTAACGGAAATGTATGTGATAATTAGATATTTTATAATGCAGCTAATTTTTTAAAGATATTTTAATTTTTAACACAATAAATTATTTTCAATTAACAATCATAATTTCATTATTATATTATGAAAATCTAAATATTAACAATTTTGAATAGATATCTAAAAACTATAGGATTTTTTTATATAAATACAGAAATCTAATGTTTTTTTTTGTTTTAGAATTTCAATTGCATTTTCTGCAGTCGAACCATATAGCATGGGAGTCAATGGAAAAACATTTGTTCAATAAAATATGTGTACTTGTATTACATAACTAAACCATTATTCTAAATCAATGTTAAAAAATAAATATTAAATACAATTTATTATTTCGTTATTTGTTATTCATTTTTGTGAAAAAATAAATAAATTTGTATCTTAGTAAGTTATAAATACTGTCAAATCAACTATCAACTGTTTTATTGTTATGAAATAGTACCTATTATTAATAATATTCTATTAGGCATATAGATAAAAAATTATACATTTTGTGTCTTTTTTGGATTTTTATTTCATATTAATAATTATATCATATATACTACAATTAACTGCAATACAAATAAAATCAATTTATGAAAAAAGATTGGAAAGTAGGTGTAACATTCTTTAAGTACTACTAAATAAATAAAATATATTATCCAACAGTTTTATTTTAAAAAGTTCTTTCTACACTTCATATTTGCAAAGTCATTTATTAATTTGTCAAGATTTTGTTAATTTGTTCTTGACTTTTCAATATTAAGTATACTTATACTATTTAATCTTTCTTATGAAATAGAATTTCAAAGATAATTTTAATTTGGAGAATGACCTTTCGGCAATAGTGGCAGTAACTAGAAGACTTATATAATACATGCACTTAGGATTTCACTATAAAGTAAAGATAAATCATTTTTAATAATAAAAAATGACAATTCTTGAATTATTTTCATTGTTGACCGTCAAATAAACTATTTTAATGAAATGAATTGTCTGATTAAATCTGGTATCACATCATTATTGTAAAATTATATAAAATGATAACAAGACAACTATTTCTGACTCACTCCTGGCCAATTAGATATAATAATATAATATCAAAAACGTCCAAAGAACGTAAAATTGAAGAGGATGCCACATTTGCGCATGGGTTGTCTCCGTTTTCTAACGCTCACATAGCAATCAATAATGGAAATGTATTACTTTAAAACGTTTTTCTGATTAAACGTTCAAGAGCGAGCGAATATCTTTATAACGTTTATTAAGTATATCGTACAAGAACTTACGTTTTTTTTAACGAATTTTTTAAAACACCAAACATTTTTATCATTTTTTAGTAAATGTTCAATGAAACATTTAATTTATAACGTTATATCTATGAACCAATTGTTGAACATAACTTAGTTTAACGTTTATCGAAAAAAAATTTAAAAAACAAATTATGGAACCGAACCAATAATAACTAACGTTTAAGATCACTCTGGGCTATGGACGTAAGATTGAAAATCAAAAATACTTAGCTATAAATATAATTAATGTACTTATGAACAAGGCATATCAGTTATTTTGATTTAAGATTTTGAGTGGAGCGAAGAAGCTTATGGTTTTACAAAGATGTTTATTTTTTAATTTCTTTTTTTTCTGTGGACAACTTTTCTGGTAGAAAAGTTGCTCCGATTTATAACGTTAGCAATGTTTCTAAAAGGAAATTTGATTGGGAGGTACTTTAGATATGTCATTTTTGATTTTCTCAGTTTTCCCAACAAATGTGAAAACTAGGAAAAAGTATAGGAAAATCGATACATTAAAAAATTAATTATTTTATCATAATATGAGATATATATTCTTGACAAAGCATCACTATCAACTGAACTCCACTCAGAATTGTTTTTTCGTTGGCAATGGGTAATCTTTGCTAATAGATGTACATTAAATTAATAATATAATAGTCACTGCACCCGTCCCCGTTATCCTAGGACGTCTTTTTCCAAATGTTTTTATAAACTTTAATCAGATGTTTATATTGTTTGCATCAAAAACAATAGACAGAAAACAGAAAAAAATTATTTATGAACTATCATAGACGTAGTATAGGGTATTTGGATGACAGTTTTTTTTTCAAATATTGTTTTGTAAAAATATTACAATTTTTTATTGTTTTTACTTTTTACGCTGGATCCTCATTTAGAAATAAATAACTGGTCACGGAATGCAATGCATACCTTATGTCTCCTATTTTGCAGCCATAACCCATTAACATAGGTTATGATTAGATTTAACAGAAAAATAAATAAAGCACTTAATTTGTGGTCAAAAAAGGAAAATTTGAGTTTTATGTAGTAATTTTTTTATAAAGGAATTTTAATAACAAATTTTGACGAAAATTATTGATTAAAAAATTATGTAGATCAAATCTAATTTTTCAATTTTTTTTTTTTCAATTTACATATATTGAAAAAATGTATATTGCCGATTTAAGAACAATGGTGAAGTCAAAATTAATTGGACTGACCCAGTTTCGAAATTATAGCTTTTTGAAGTTCTGATATTATACGTTTATTATATATTATGTTAAATAACTAAATATTGTTTTCTTTAAATTATATTTGTTGTAGCTGAATGGTTATACATACCTAATTACATCCTAAAGATTGCTAGTCCAAACCCGTGTTTCGAATTTGCACTTTTTATCCTTTTTTACCTAAACAAGAAAAAAACAAATGCATTTTGGGTGTACCTAGAAAGTAGAGACCCAAGCTATCGTTTGCTCGAACTATTTTATTCGCAAAATACTCCTCGATTTGTTGTGCAAACTTTTCAAATATAAATCTTGCTCTGATGTACCAAGTGTACATCCTATTTTTAAATAGGAGTTTTCCGAATTAATTGGAAAAATGTACAAAATACATTAGTGAAACATAGCAATTTTTATTTTTCTATAGACCCCTTTTCTATCATCAATTTTTCTCCGATTTACAATAATAACACTTTTTCTAAAAGGAAATCCTGCTGGGGAGGTACTTCAGATCATTTTTTTATCTTCCTAAGGGTTTTCCCAGTAAATGTGAAAAACCGGAAAAATATGGGAAGACCGGGAAAAATGCAGGAAACACGGGGAAATCGGTACAATATTAACCAAATATTATTAAAGAAAACATATAATGCCTATTTAATTATTTTACCATAATATGATATACATATATTGTTAAAAAAACATCACTATCAACTGAACTGCGCTCAGAATCGTTTTTTCGTTAAAAAATGGTTTATCGTTGTTCACAGATATACATTAAATTATCTACAGCAGTGGCTGCACCCTACTCCATTATCCTAAAACGTCTCTTTTTCAATTCAATTGTTGATTTGATATTAATTGATTCCTATGTTTTATCAAGAAAAAATATATACATATTTTCTGTATAAGTGACAATTTGTCCATCAATTGTATTGCTATAAAATTACATTTTTTATACAATCAATAAGGTTTTTTAAATAATGATTTTCGTTATAAGTATCTTATATTATGATTATCAGCACCTATCCAATAATTTGTAAATTCTCGTTTTAAGATATTTAAAGACGTTTAGACAATATATTTCTAGTTAAGTTTAAGAAGGCAGAAAGTTAAATACTTTGAACTTGAAAATTCACCAGGCATTCTCAAAGTTAATTTTTTTCTTCAAACCATGATGTAATAAGGGCACTGTAAATATCAGAAACTATATAATAGCAATACAATAAATAAAAAAAAAATGATAATGATAATATTCAATTTTGTTTTTTATAATTATATTATTATTGAAAAAAGGCTGTGAAAACTGTTGCAGTTGAAGGTATTAATTTTTATTGCGTCATTAATTTAATTAAAAAAATATTCATTTTTTCTAAATAAATTACACAACAGATGATAAAAACAATATTTGAATATAATAAAATATCTACATCACATAATTTATTTACGTACGGGCTATGACTTTAAACTTTATTAGTGGTTCTATTACTGTCGTTGCCAAATAGATATTCTCTTCTCCCAACACATCACATTACGTTAATATATAAATTATTAATATATATTTTATTGAACAACATGCCAACTTTAAGCATTGTTACTAATTTACCAAAAAACCAAATACCGCCAAATTTTCTAGCTAATGCATCAAAATTAGTCAGCCAAATATTGAAAACACCAGAATTGGTAAGTTAGATTTTTCATTTATTTATGTAGTATTCAAGAATTAATATTGTTGTTAAAAATTAGTTACTTAATAACTAATTGTAAGATCCTTTAGTTGATCTCATTAAATATCATTGCTTATTTTATTATACTAGCAGGTTACTATTAGGTACTTAATAACAAAAATATAAAATTAAATTGTTTAACTTAAATAGCATGTTGCTGTAAAAATTAAAGCTGGACAACAGATGTTTTGGTGTAACAGTGATTCATTATGTGGATTGGGAAATTTAGCCGGAACTGGAATTTATGGACTCGAAAAAAATAAATATTATTCTTCATTATTATTTGATTTTCTAGAAAAGGAACTTGGAATACCAGAGACCAGGTAAGTAATACCTAATACCTACGAAACAAAGACAAGTAATTACATGTTCATATTCAAACTGAAACCTTTTTATTTGGTTAAAATGTATACAACATTACAAAATATTAATAACAACCAATATATCTAATAGTAAGAGCATATATTTATATGCACTAAACACATTTAAATGCATGTGCAGCTGCTATGCCCTAAAAATTGATAAAATAAACTCTAGAAACAAACAAAAAAAAACTGGAAATAAAATACTTGTAAATAAATAAAGTAAATAAATGTATAAATAAAAATGTATATATAAAAATAAATAAATTAATGAATGAATACCTGGAGTATTATGATTAGTGTATTATACAACCGGTTTTGAATAATACACTAATCATAATACTCCAGGTATTCATTCATTAATTTATTTATTTTTATATATACATTTATTTACTTTATTTGTAAATTTTATTTTATTAAGAGTTAATCCTGGCAAAAACATTTTATATTGTTTCAATATTGTAATTTGCAATATTTTTAAAAAAATGTATCGTTTAAAAATATTTTTTCATACATAGTACTATAATAGTAATCAGATCGCCTGTTGATATATATATATCTAAAACAACTTTTTTTTATTTATTGAGTTAAAAATGTCTTTAAAATTTTCCAAATCCTAAAAATTTCATTGAAAAATAAAAATGATAAGATGCCAAAATAAACCTGTGTACCTACCTATAATCTACATAGAATCATTTCAATATGAAACACATAATAATAGAATTATTTTTTTATTTTTACTTTTTTTTTTTTATTAATCAATCCAAATATGTAAAAACATATAAACATCCTAAATTAAAATTTTTGAAGTTTTTGCTCATTACTTCCAAACGAAAATCGTCAGACTTTTATGCTACTATTTATATGTTTCCACAGATGTAGTAAGTATCTATTCTCAATATGACAATTAAATCTACTCGAGTAATTTAAAACATTTATGTATTTAGTTAAATTCAAATTTTTTTTTCATTGCAGGTGAATCTTTAATATTATAAAAATTTAATTTACTAAATTATCTATTAACATATATCTAAATAAGAATTTAATTTTGTATTGTAGACTTTATATATCATTTGTGGAACAAAAACCAAGCAATGTGGGAATTCGAGGCACGACATTAGAAGCTTTAATTCAATAGATTGTTAATTGACAATGTATGCACTATACTAAATAAATTGTTTGTTTATGAGTTAAGATTATTGTTTAACAAAATTAATATTATTAAACCTTCTTAATCTCAAGTATAATGAGTTAAATCACCATTAATATAATTTGTTTTGGAAATTATTATTTTGAATTATAATTATTTATAGGTATCGAGGAGTATTGTAATAGTTTATTGTGTCTTATCCAATGATACTATGAAATATTGTTAATTCTAGATATCTAATATGTCTTATGCAGCTTAAATGTTAGGAACTCTTTAGTAATTGTGTGGAAATTTGACAGTCCAATTACAATATTATAATGGTAAAATAAAAACATAATTTATGAATAATATCATTAATTGTAAACATTATAGGTATTATGGTCAAATGAAATACATTTTTAAAAAATTTCTTTAGTTATTTAGGGTCAGCTAATACTCTAAAATAGGGAATCTCTGAATAAGGAGGGCCAGATTGGATAGTAAGAGAAGCTGAGAAGAAAAATTGGAGGATTAGGTATGAGACAGGATTGTTCTAGTGCCTGATAAACCAAAGCAAGAAACAATATTTAGAAATATAAAGATATGTAGGTATCAAAATAGATTTCTATTTTAAATATCCAATTATTATAGCTTATAACATGTACCAAATAAAAATATATTACCTACCTACAAATATAATAAAGTAGGTACCTAGTAAATTTTTCACATGTGTAAAGACGTATGTGGAATAATATTAATCCAGTACATTCATTCTACAATAGTGAAATGACATTACCTATAGTAGTGATGGTTCTTAATGTGGGCGGTGCCTCCCCCCCTTTAGGGGGCATTTCAGAACATTAAAAGGACAGTAAGTTTTGGGACGGTGAGCTTTTAAATGTGGAATCATGATGGAAAAATAAAAAAGCACCAATGACATCAGTTATATAGACCAATAAGCAAAACACAAAAAAAGGACATCAACAAAGGTTAAGAACTACTAACCTATAGCGTTCATAGGATACATGTAAAATTCCAGGAAATTAATTAGACCATATTTTTAAAAAAAATTGGAAATTCTGAAAGGACAATGTATTTCAAAATTACAGAAGTGTGGTTGATTTTAGAAAAAAACATTAACAGGACACTAACACTATTAATATATCTATAGTTTTCTAATGTAGCTATATCAGTCATCTTCATAAAAAATAATAATAATAAATACAGTTTTGCGAGATTTAAAATGCTACAATTCTATCAGAATTGGGAATTTAATTAACCGTAAACTAAATTAAATGATTAATGAGTTAAGACAACCAAAATTATAATCAAAAAATAAACCACGTCTCAGTCAAGCTGGGCGTCCACTAGCCAGAGAGGTCGGTGATGCACGGTACCATAATAAAATGCCTGTAAAGTGTAAACCAGTATCTTTATTCTATGGTGTAAACTAATACAGATCCGTCCACAAGAAGGTCGGCGCGGAGCGACGCTACGTGGGGCCGCTCTCAGCCATCGGGAGCTCTAGCGACCTAGCGAGGTCGGCGTCGCTGACTCACAGTCTACCGACACAATGAACGGAAAACTGTAAAGCGGCGGGTTTTTTCAAGTTCGTTTGCTGTCGGGTAGTATGCAAATATTGTCGTGATGCGTGCGCGCTAACGCTTATCGTATGTTTTCAGTTATTACGCCATTGTTTAGTTATCACGTCTTAAATTTTGATACAAATATATTATTTTAATTTAAAATCGTTTAACATTCAACATTTCAACATCAATTATTAGGTATTAACCAATTATCAGCCATTTAGAATTTTATTTATTTCATGGACTCACATCTTTTTTTCTTTTGATCTCTACTCCTCTTTTTCTGCCACCATTACCGTAGCAAGGAACAGCATTTCTTCTTCAGATCAGAAGATTCCATTTTGTATGTAGTACCTAACCATATTATATAATATCTATGATAAATAAAATGTATTAATATTATAATATAAAATTGATATAATTATAAAATTCAACCACGAATTAAGATATACCGAACGGAAAGATCTATTCATAGACTTAAAATATTTTAAGTCTATGGGTCTTTTCAATGTTTTTCTGAGTCCACCCGTTCTCACTGTTCGGTGTGACAGCTAGCGCTATAAAAATCAACTAAAACCAGATAAAAGTTTAGACTGGAGGAGTAGGGTATGTAATAAATTGCATATCTATTTTATAAAATATTGACATAGCTTGTACTAAGTACACTAGATGGTGTTAGTGGCCTTGCCAAAAGTAAGAAGGCTCGAGCTTCGCTTATTATAGACTTACAATGTATTACAACTCTTTGTACTTATAACACGTTCGTTCGATATCCTGTATATCTTAATTCGTTACATAAACTAACAAATTATGATAACTTTCACTGATAATAAAATGAATTATATTATTTATAAACAATAATACATGTACCCATATAGGAATATCTTAAATCGTGACCCATAATGTGCTGGGGAGTGCGTAAAAAATCGAATTCTATTTCACTCGAACCGTATTTAAGCAGGAAAATATTTCAGCTGATAGTATTTTATCTGAAAATATTACCGACTGTAATATTAAGAGATAAGGTCAGATCTTTTAAAAAACAATTTTGCGCGATAATAAAAAAATTAATAAAAAGGAGAAAAAATCTGTACATTTTATTTAAAAATGAAAATCATGCCAAGTAACCCACTTCTATGTTATTTGAATTTGTAATCAATGAAGTTAATTGGAAAATATATTGGTTTAGTTTTGATAATAAATCCAACAAATTTAAGTTAATGTTTATCAACACCTGAATAATTTAAAACTTAAATAATATATATTTTTATCATAGAAAATATTCAAAATGTTGTCATTTTATTATTTTTTATTTATTCATAATTGTGTCGGAATTAAAACTCAAAATTTGCACGTTCTTTCAAATTTTTTTTTAAAATATCGACATTCAAACTTCCAAGTTTTCTAATTCAACATTTTCTGATTAGAAACAATGATAAAAAATGTGAAAGTAGATAATTAGTAATCTAAAGTTTCAGGCGATTCGGTTGTTTTATTTTAACCGATGTACAAATACTATCGGCGGAAATATTTTTGGCTAAAATACTGTTTGGATGTTTTATAGACCCCGGGTGACTGCCCTAAAAGAAACATTTTATCGAACTACCACGAGCCATCACTGTATGTTTTAAGACTGTAATATTTTGAGATTTTTGTTAAAATTTTATATTAAATTCTTATAAAAAAAATTCTACATTACATTCATCTTAGATTCTGAGCGAAATATTCTTTTTTTATATAAAATTAAAAAATAAACATTTTAGTAAAACCAATAGATACATTATTTACTACACTCAGAATCTAAAATTGAAAAATTAGATTTGTTTGTTTTTTACTCAAACAATTTTCGTCAAGAATTTGATATTAAAATTCCTTTATAAAAAAAATACTACATTGAACCCAAATTTTCTTTTTTTTGACTACAAAGTACCCACCAAATAAAAAATATGTACAAAACTCGCAAAAATTAAAAAAATTGCTCAAAAAAGCTTAAATTTTTGAAAATTTTATCATGTCTAGAGAAGACAATTATAATATTTCTGTCTAAATTTTAAGTCCATAGAGTCGATACGAATATTTTTAACTGAATTTCAACAAAAATATTAACATTTTTATAAAAAGCTTAAAAATAACTCAAATGTTTCGAAAGTTTTTCCAAGTGTAAAAAAGGCAAATATAAGTTTTCTGTCCAAATTTCAAGTCTCTACAAATATTTTTAACGTAATTACAACAAATAACAAAATTTAAAAATAATAAAAGCATTATTTTCGTAATTTTCCGGATTTTTTTAAGTTTTATATCCTGGTTTTTCACAGGTATTATGAAAACTGCTTAAAAAATAAAAAAACGACCTCCCAAATGTACCATCTGGACAACATTTCCCCTTTAGAAATAGTGCCTATATCGTATATCTGAGCAAGATTTTTGGCAGAATTTTTGTACACAGTATAAAAAAGAAAAACACATCTTAGTAAATCCAATACATTCTTCGCTACATTCAAAATCTAAAACATCAGTACATATTAAACAAATATTATTATTATAAAAGAAAATATGGTCTAGTCTGGACCGTTAGCTTAGTGTAATATTATTTCATAGGTAGGTAAGGTTGATGTTAATACACATTTGGAAATAGACCTCTCAATACTCACAGCCGAGCAATCATTAATCAAATGGTTTATTATTTGAAATAAATAAGTAGTTACATAAATATATTAATAAATTAATAATAAAGAAAAGGATTAAGATATTTTCATTTGTCAGTTCATTGAGGCCAACATTGATATAGTTTTTATATTAACTTTGATTATGTAATTTGAATAAAATTTTTTTTTACAACCTTTGGATAAAATTGTTATTTATTACTTCTACATTTTAAACCTAACATTTACATGCCATAGTGTATTTTACTTTTTGTAAAATAATACAACCGTTAATTTCTTCTATTAATAATATAAGCAGAATCAAAATGCCAATATTGCAAATTGATACTAATTTGCCTAAGTCTATTATACCATTAGACTTTAATGTTCAAATATGCGAACTAATGGCAGATATATTCAATTCACCATTGAACGTAAGATAATAAATGATTAATTAATAATATATTTTTATACATCTATTTAAAACTTAAATGGCTGATTATTGAATAAGGATTGAATTAAGGAAAAGTTTTTTTAATTTAAATTTTCAATATTCATGTAGTTGAAAAAATTATATTAGTAGTACCACTGAAAAATTAAATATATTTTAGTATTTTATATGACATTATTATCATGTTAATAATTAAATATGAAGTGTATTATTATTAAATTTAACATATTTATATATTTAATGTATATTTTAAATTATAGTTTTGTGTTGTGCATATAAATACTGATCAAGAAATATATTGGTATGGTATAGAAGGTCCATGTATCTTAGGAACATTAAAAATAATTGGAGGTTCTGGAAAAATCGGTCCTGAACAAAACATTGGACATGCAGAAAAACTCATAAAAAACATCAGTGATAATTTCAAACTACCAAATAAGAAGTAAATAATTATTATGTGTAATAATTATTTTTTTAACACATTTTTTAAATTTTATTTTAGCATATCAATCTCTTTTGTCGAACAAGAAGCAGCAAATGTCACAATATTTGATACTACTGTACTTAATTTTTTACAAAATAAAAGTAATTAAACACTTTTATACAATATAAATACATTTTGTTTACATCAAGTTTTTTATAATGATAATCAATAATTATTTAAAAGAAATCTATAGCTCTCGAGCGTTTTGTAACATTAATATTCAATAGATTATCGGTTAAGTTTTGAGGTACTTCATATGAATTTTTCTTATTAGTTGGAGTTAGTTTTCTAATGTCACCTTTTAACCCAGAGATGGAAGGTGATCTAGATGGAGTTGTATGTGGTGATGGACTATATGATGCTCTTAAAGCATTATCTCTACTTCTATCGCAACTCAAACGACTGCAAACCAACCGTTGAGCTGCTGGTGACATAGAATTCAATCGATCTAATGGGCTATTCATTAAATTAGATGGTGAAGGCCTAGAACATAAAATAAATAAAATTTAATTAAAAACAATACCATTTTTTTTTTTTAAATAGACACTTACGTAGATAATTGTTTTCGGGCTGTTTCTAAAGCTTTAATTTTTTTATTTCTATGACCTTCACTAGCTTTTTCTGCAAGTGCATGTGCTAATCGTTCACGTTTGGGTTGTTCGGGTATTTTGAAAATAGGTCCTGAATTATGAGGTATCAATGGAGTGTCGCTGCCATCTAAACGGAAGGGTGTCCCTTCAATTTCTCCCCAAGTCATAAATGGACTTTGATTAACACCAGGAGCAGGAGATGGAGTTTTAACAAACCCATATCCATTTATTTTAGGAGTAGAAGAAGTTAATTCTTTGCCATCAACTCCAATTTTTCCATCTAATTGTCTGGTTTGCATGTGCGCTAAACTGCATAGTTGTTGCTTGTTATGATGTTCATCAAATGGATTCAACCGTAATCTTGTGTTAGAGTGGTCAATTTTTTGTCGCATTGAGGCCATATTTATGAGTTCTTCTTTTGTTAATGTAACTCCGTCAGGAACATACATTATATAATTTTTATTTTTAAAAGTCCACGAATCCATATTAAATGGTCGATCTTTAATAGATGCTTGGTCTTCAATAGATGGCACTTCAAGTTTATCAACTGTTTCTAATGCCTTTTTTTCACCATCAAATAGCCAAGCATTCTAGAAAAAAAAAAAAATTGTATTTAATATATTTTATTTTGTAGGTACTTGTTTATTATCACTCTGTCAGTACACCATAGTAAATTTATTGTACCGCCACTACTATTTGTTATCGACCCACCAAACAATATACAAAATATAAATAATAAATATAATATATATACCTTAAAAATGGAGGGTTCGGTAAATTGAGTCTCAAAAATAAAATGTTAATACAGAGCTAGGTGAATTACAGCCAGGATATTTTTTACTAGTCGATGAATTGCTTTTTTTTATTATACGTATTTATTTATTTATTTTTATTTATGGAATACATATTAAAAACTTGAATTACAACAGATGCAAGTTTCCCTCCAAATTTCTGGGCTGAATTTTCACTAACAATAAATCGGACAACCAATAACAGTTGTGAGGCATTTAATTCCAAATTAAATACTCTAATTATCACTAGTCATTCAAATATTCACAACTTTATTGATGTTTTAAAAAATATTTAGTCTGAAACATATATAAAAATATGAAATAATGGAAAAATAAAATCTTGTCAAATTATTGAAAAAGAAAATTATATCCAAGAAAAAATGATTAAATATAATAATAAATTATTGACTAGATTCGAATATGTCAAAGCCATTTCATTTAAATGTTTACTTTTTTAAAATATATAATATACTTTTAATTTTTTTTTTGCATAAATACTTGATGAATAATTGAATAATTGACCAACAAATTACCTATTATATATAACAGGAAAGCAATTTACTTAGTTTTATAGAAATGGGACACAATTCAACTAATGTCAAAAAAGGGTATGTCTGTTCCTATATTTTGTACTTATTCTGTGATAAGTGATCTATTTTACACAATGAGAAAATTATATTTTACTTCATATTAAACATTTGTACGTTGCCGACATTCATTATAATTATTACCCTACCATATGAAAAATTATGAATTACAACAAAACAAATTTCAATGATTTATTCTCAGTAGTTTTTAATGATGATATAGGAATTAAATTTTACACAAGAAAATTATAGTCTAAGTTAATGAAATGTGTGAAAAAAGTGTGTAAAAATATAATGTCTATTAAAGGGCCACAGTGGAAATGTCAGAAGAGAAATCATAGGATAACTAGTTTTAGATTGACAATATATACAATTGGGCCTGAAAAATGACTTCAGTAACATTTTGTAAGTGAAGGGCTATGGGGAAAATGATAATAGTAAAAAAAAAAAATAATAAAAATTGGATATTATAATATTGCATATAACCTTAAAAATCCCAGCTTCCACTCCCAAGCAACTTATCCTTTTTTTATTCCTCTTTGCACCACAAATTACTCTCATAATAGACCAATGTTTAAAATGATGTGTATTGATAATGAGGACCCATCGTTTTATTTTTCATAATCAATTATAACAATGTCTTTATGTTAATGTAATTTATATGTACTTCCCTATTATTATTATTATGTATATATTTTTCTGTACCTTGGGTCATAGTCGGTTTTGTAATAAAATAAATAAATATTATCATTTTGTCATTTGAAGGGCTATGGGGAAGAATGTTAATAATCAATATTCCTAAAATGTTCAGTATTGCAGTTTTAAAGTTTCAGAACTATATTAAAACCTTATTAAACCGAATATATTTAAACCTTGACTATGATCTTTATGCCCCAACTTGATTTACATATCATTCGGCTAGAAAAAAATGACAAAATAATATTATAACTAAGCTATTTTTTATTTTTGACTATTATCGTATTTCCCCATAGCCTTTCATTTGTTTCCAGCTAAATTGATAAGCAAATCAAGTTGTGGCATAAATATCACAGTCAGTAATATAACAAAGATTTAAATATACGGTTTAGCAAGTTTTTATTATAGTTCTGAAACTTTAAAACTGCAATACTGAACATTTTAGTAATATTGATTATTATTGTTTTTCCCTGTAGCCCTTTAAGTGTAAACTGAAAATTGAACAAAATGATGTTTTCAATAGGAGCAATTATCTATTTGTACGTGAGATGATAATACATTATGTATAGAAATTAAAAAATAATCACAATAAAGAAATTGGTGGTTTAAGTCTTTTTGTCAAAACAGATAATAGTTTATTTGTGCATGGAAAAAAATAATGACTGATACATTTTGCCATAATGGATTTTCAGTAGAATATGATGGGAAACCAAAGAGTATTTTATAATAATTAGGATATCTGATTCATCAGAAAAAACATTGTTACCTATGAAACAAAAATATATAAGACCAGGATTAATAATTTTATCAAATTGTAGGAAAGTTTACAAAAATTTGCAGCAAGTAGGATTCCATTATAATTCTGTTAATCATACCTATAATTTTGTTGATTTGTACACAGAAACACATACCTGTAACATCCAGAATTCATGGGGAACTAAAAAGCATAGTAGAACCAAAAGAAATTTTCTGGAATTGTACTTGGTAGAATTCATATGGCAAACATGACTTGAATAACTAGATGAGTTTGAAACTAACGTAAAAGATGTTTCTGAGTTTTGGCCTCCATCCTAATATTTTATAATACTTATAATATATTCTTTTCATTTTAATTTATATATATAATATCATTTTAAAATTTTTACTTATTATTTATTTTTATATTTGGCGGAATGATAACAAACAACTAATAAGTACCATTTTGCATTACAAAATATATTTCAATACCTTTTTTTGGAATTGAATTTCTGCTTCTTTAATTATTTCATTAAAACTCTGATTATCTTCACTGGTAGTATTACTTAAAAACTTATCCAATCCAACATTTTCTAGAAATGTCATAATTAATATGAAAATAGGTTATGAGGAGTTAACAGCGTTCATACAGTCAACTTGCAATATAGCTTATGAAAATGTTGTTACCTTAAAAATTGCGTGATTTAACGAATTTGGTCTCCTCAGTATAAAAATGTTTTTGGCCAAAGTGATCTAACAAATTTTTAGAATTCTCGAACTTGCTGTTACAAATTGTTAATTGCTATTAAGAAGACATTATACCCACATAAGCTGTCAGTCAAACTAACGGGCAATATACCACAATCTACCTTATGTAGATTGCGTAGAACTCACTTAATTTTGGTTTTAGAGTAAATGCATATATTATAAAATTAAAAGAGCATATCATTTCGAAGGGCAAGACGATGCGTTTATTTTTTAAAATTAATTATTGAAATGTTAGTTACTTGAAAACACTGAATTAGTCTTTAAGTTCTAACAGATGTATTGAATGTTATATTCGGAATAATAATAATAGGAAAAACAAATTATCCTACCCTCCAGAATATTGTCTTCTTTTAATTTTATAATAGGTGATTTTACTGTTAAACTAAAATTAAGAGAGTTCTATGCAGTCTGCGTGAGGTAGATTTTGCTATTTTTCTGTTAGTTGAGACAGCACATGTGGATATGACATCCTCTTAAGATATAATGTCAATTTATTTCTTAGATATGATTTTACATATTTGAATTATACTGTATTGTTAAACAAAAATAAATATTGGTTTGTAGTGTGTTATTTACTTATTTATAGGAATATATTATATGGGATTGACTGAATTTTGATACAGTACAATAACAAATTAGTTATTTAAAAATGAATATGTTGTGTTGATATACATTTTTTCTTAAATAAACAAACTTTTTTTTACTCCCTTGAAATTTGTTATATTGCAAGTTAACTGAAGTTAAAAATAAATATGTACAATTTCAATAGTTAATAGATTAAATATTATGTTCTACTGTTTACTTACCAATGTTTTTTGGTTTAGAGTCATCTTGGTTTCCATAATTAATATCTGTAGGATTATCAGCCCTACTACTCGATGGTCCTTTAACTGGTTGCGGTGTTTCAAATGTATCTGGGCTAGCATCTGTTGATGAAATTCATAATTATATATTAAATATATAATAGTATAATTAATAGACTACTGTAAATAATTACAAATTGGCACTAACAAAAATATCACAAAAAAATAAAAAGGATACATAGTTATATTCCGTTTCAAATAAGAACGCACTGGGCAGCGGACGATAATTGATCAAAACTAGTGCAGCCGATTAACAGCAATTAATCGTAGAGCGAATAAACTCAGTGAAGGGGGCAGGACGTTTCTCTACAATATATTTAAATACCTTGAGGGGTGGTGCATTCTTATATGGAACAGAGTATATTATAATCATTTTATTTATTTATATTGTAAACCAACAAGGACAGTTCTTCTGCAGGTTCCATATTTTAATTCAATAAATTACCTGGTTGAACAGGAAGTAATTGTTTGCTCAAACTATATTTCTCATAAATTTCTCTTAATTTTTTTGTGTCATTATGTTCAACTGCTTCTAAATAATCCTTTTGAGCTTTCCATTTTTCTAAATCTGGAAAGAAATCTCTTTCTATAATTTTACCAATATTCTGAAACAAATAAAACAATACTGGGTTAGGTTAGGTATTATAGTGCACGGAAATCTATTTTATTTTAAATTTGTGTATTATATATTGTTTCAATACAAAAATTAAATTTAATAACCCAACAATTTTGAACAGAAAAAACTATTAAAATGTTAATTTTAAATGCTAATCAGAATAATTTCCATGTACAATTATTATAAATATATTAAAATTTAAAACTTTAAGAACTATTATATGTGTTTGTGTATCTATTATCCACTAAAGACAGTAGTCTAGTATAATTGAGTTTAGGATGTTTAGCGATTTCTAATTCAAATATGATTATTATTAAAAAACAAATATTGTTTTAGAGATTAATACTCCTAACCTGAAGTATTATGTATTGTGTGTATTTACTATTTACTAATAACAATTCTGAAAAAAAAAACGAAAAAAATATTATCAGGTAGTACAATATAGACGAAAAAAAATTAAATTCTTTAAAACACATTTTTGTTGTGATATTACCTGATGATTTTTCAAATCGAAACTGATTGAAAATAAACACAACCCAAGCTAAGGTTTTCCTTTATATGTTTTATTTTAATTATATGGGTTGGGCTCTTATGAATATGAAACATTTAACATTTGTGATAACAGAAGTCATTACAAAAAGTAATTAATAGCAGTATACAAAATAATAGCTTATAATATAAAAATTACACATAATTAGAACAATAAATCATTTAAGGCAGAATCCACATTGGCAGACGATATTAGATGCTTATTAGCCATGTAGTTGGTGGTGGCATGCGAGACATATAATATGATAGTGGAAGAAGATGAACAAGAAGGAACTTTGAAACAGGTTAAAGAAAGAAGGGTAGGCGAATCAATATTATTATTCAATAGACCAGCAAGGAGTTTCATATCAGTGATACAGTGACACTTGGCTGAAGAGGCTAAACCAAGGTGAAAAGCAATCGGAGTATAGTTATGAGGCGCGCAAGGTATCTTTAGTATAAAGCTGGCATAGTGAAGGATCCTGCGTTGAACATGCTCAATTTGTCTTGCATTATTAACAGTATGGGGATCCCAGACAACAGCCTCATATTCTAAAATGCACAGAAAAGCGTTTATAAAGATGATTCTGGTCGGACGTCTTTAACCAAAAGCATGACAAAAAAATGGGTTTTGAGAGCCTTACAATATATACTTTATTGACTATCTTTTAATATAGGATCTACTGACAATATTGCAACTAGTGTGCGTTATACTACTATGGCAACAAAAATGATGACAAACATGTCAATACCATTATAGTTTATTTTTTTTTTTTAAATAACATTATTTAAAAAAAAGGATAAAACCAAGAAACCCAATAGTTAAGATTATAAACACAATGTTATCTCTACATAATGTATATTATTTTAGTTGATTGCTAACATTATATTATGGTTTAACATATAAAAAAATTGAGGATTTTTCTACCCCAAGAGCCAGACACCAACCCTTTTTTAAAAAGGTTTAAGTTTTAGTACAATAATTTCAGAACTAATAACAGTTTTTAATAACTTAGAGATTATAAATTGAATAATAAGGCAAATCATCTAAAGCCTGTTACTATGAATTATTTAAGTACTTTATTTGGTATTTAAAATCTAAACAAATTAAAAAAATTAAATATTAAAATAATTACCTCTAAATATTCTTCTTCGGGTAAAACATTCTGCTGTCTATTAACAGCCATCATACAGGTCAGTAGTTATTGGTGTTTACAATATACAATTATTACTTTTTTTCGTGAAGTTTATGTGAAAAACAATTACATTAATTTTTTACGGTATTCAAAGGCCTCATCTAGCATAAAAATTGTAACTTCTTTGTATGAAATAAATGCTTCTATACATTTAAATAGTTTCATTTATCAAATTTTTTAAAACTGAAATTTATAAATTATTATCAAATCGTATTAATACGAGAAATCTCATAATCATAAAACAGAACAAGACTGTACTGACAATCACGTATTAAGAAAATAATCAGTATAACCCTAGCCCTAGAGCACAGAGTATTCTATGAGTTTTCCATCTAACCTTGGGACGTAATCATATTAATAAATTCAGTAGTACCAATAGTAGTAACATAGAGGAATTACTAAATAGTAAGTCATCCAAGCACGACAAAAAGTCATCCGACAAATAACCGCCCGACATAAAGCCACGCGATCAAAATCGAACAAAACGCCATCTGACAAAATTACCAACTTTGTAATTGGATATATATTATAGAATTTAAAATCACCCAGTTCACATGATCAAATATTTGGTGTACGTTAAGTCAAACATTAAATTATTATATTGATAACAATTTGTTCTTATTGTATATTATGATTATGAAATATAATTTACACATTTTATACATTGTCATTTGTAATTATTATTTATTAAATTTTATTACCTATACAACATTTTAGATAAAATTAAATTAGTTTTCAATGGCACCGAAGAGAGTAAAGTTATGACGTTTTGCTAGACTAAACACAGAATAGAACGGAGTGGGTACCATAGACCTGATAATATATGTTTACAGATGGGTACCACTTAAAACTGATGGTAATAAATTATTGGCTGGATCAAGTATTATTTAAGTTTATGAATTTGGGTTTTTGGAAGAATTAATTATTGTATTATATAAGTGTACGATGAACACGTATACAAAATTTCAAGGAAATGGCTTTAATTATAATACACACATATATTAAAACCATAAGATATTTAATAATAATATATTACAATTTTATATTAATATTTGGCTTGACAACATTCAACTCTACAAACTTAACTTATCATATATTTCGATACGATAAGTCAATACTCCCCCTTCAAACATTTTATACTAAAATACCTAAATTCCATTTCAACTAGTGACATGAATATAAATGATTCAGTGAATTTTTGCGGAAAAAAATACCCTTAGTTATCGTATCCAAATATATGATAAATAATATATGATTGATATTATTGTGTGTTATCACGTTTTCACGGGACTAAATGTCGCATGATTAATTTTCGGGTGGCTTTTTGACCATATTTATACATTATCAAATGTGTATTTGAATAATATTCTGTTGGTAGTGCTGTATGATAGTTTTTTGGCTGTCGTTGATACTCGAATTAGGTGAATTATGTTATAATCATTATGATGATGGTGTTTTTATGAGTATCTCTTTGTCGTTATCTGGTGGTTTTATTTCGGGACGTTTGGTGGCTTTAAATGGTGTCACCGTAAGTAATAAAAATTTCGTTTAAATTATATTATCCAAGCAATTACGAATTTCACACAAAAGGTTGGTGCTATTTTGGTGTCGAATTTCAAAAGTTTGGCGTCCAAGAAGACTCAAATATTATATTAATCATATAGATTTTATTACAAACATAGGTACTTAGCACAGTTTAAGATATATATCTTTAATCGTGGTACTTAGCCTGTTTTACATTGTATGATTATCATACAATATAGGCATTATTTATGATGTAAGCACATATACGTATATAGTACATTTACGTATCAACGTTAACGCTATCGTTTTCCTAATGTGATGTACCCCTATTTTCTTTAAATCAGACGCACAAAAAACAGTTCTTAAAATATTTATTTACCTGTAGTCTGTAATAATAAATAATAAAATTAAACTCTATGGCTTGATGCAAGAAAGGCCAATGTGGCAATGTCACATTTTGTGATTGTTGGAAAATAGGCTTTGAAATTTGAATTCCTCATAAGGCTGTGTATTTTATTAAATGTAAATGTTTGTGTAATTTTAAAATTAGAAAATAAAAATTGTACACTTATTCTTTTTTATTTTAAACTAATTTTTCCAAACATTAACATTAGCCGTGCTTGTACCAAGTCACAGAACTATATCTGGTATATAATTGCCTGTCTGAGACTTAGGTAGACCCATAGTTCTAGTGTGAGGAGCAAAGAAAAAACCTTAATGTAAATTTTTGTAAAAATTATATTTTGGACATGAGTCTCCTTTAGTGATAACTAGATTCCAAAGTCTAAATAAATGTTTGAAGACTGTTCAATATAGGTTCTGATAACACTATGATAGCTTTTTATTTCAACATTGATTGAAAAATAGACAGATATAGGTACTTCATACGATGGATGGGATAATGTTGTAAGTGAAAAGTTATACATGTTTTGAGAGGCCGTAATATTTACTATTTTCGTCAAAATTTAATATTAAAATATGTATATAAAAAAAATAATTCATTATAGTCAATTTTATTAGTTTTTTTGATTTCAAAGTGCAACTTATAATGAACCGCATGTTAAATTTTCAAGCATACTGTTTGATCTAACAATTTTATTCACAGAGTACCTACCGAATAAAAATTATGTAAAAATTTCACAAAACATAAATGGCTCAAATGGTTTGAATATTTTACCATGTCTAGAAAAGACAATTATAAGTTTTCTGTCGAAATTTCAAGTCTTTACGAGTGTTTTTAACTGAATTACAAATTACAATAATAAGCAAAATTGAAAATAATTAAATTATTAATTTGTTCGGTTCTTTCTATATATTTTTTCGGTTTTTCTCAATTATTAAAGAAACTACACAGAAAATCAAAAAATGGCGGTTTACTTACCAACTTAGCAAAAAAGGTCACATGTTACTTTTGGATTGAAACAAGATTTCTAGGATAAAACATAAGTTACAAAAAACTGTCCTTGGATAATGGGAACGGGTGCAACCACTGTTATAGGTAATTTAAAATTTGAATGTATATCTGTAAGCAACGATTTACCATTGCTTATGAAAAAAACGATTCTGAGCGGAATTCAGTTGATAGTGATGCTTTGTCAACAATATATATATGTGTCATATTATAGTAAAATAATTACATAATATGCATTATGTATTTTCTTTAATAATGTTTGTTTAATGTTGTATCTATTTTCCTGTTTTTCCCATCTATTGGGAAAACTCTTAAGAAAATCAAAACATTACCTCCCCAAAGTACCTCCTCAGTCCGATTTCCCTTCAGAAAAAGTATTACCTATCATTAAACTATGATAATCGTTGGTAAAAAAGAGGTTCACAGTTAAGAAAAAAAATAAACATAATTTTTCTAGATTCTCAACAGATTACTCAACAAATTTAAAATAGTTTATAACAAATAAAGATACATTTTTTTAGTTGATTTTTGTGTTATCTTGACCACACGAGAAAAAAAGACAATCAACACCTTAGGTACCAAATTACTGAGTTCTACATAGATTTTTTGATTGTAATGATTTAATAGCTCTTTGTAGGTATACAAATAAAATTACTTTATTTCCTTTTCTTCAAAACTTTCTGCCTATTACAGTGTCCTATGATTCGTAATATGTTATTAAATTATTTGTTTTAGTTATATATTAAAAGTTGATACCTATTGTTTTCATTACAAAAATGTATTCAAGTTTAAGTCAACTCATTAATTTATATAAATCTATATCTAATATATGTTTAATATTTCAATATTAATCATACCTGTATTTGTTTAGTAAATTTTTAAAAATTTCAATTTAAGTCTTTATTGATACTAAAGTTTACTTTTTTAAATTTCATTATTTTATTTTATCATAACTTGTCTGGGTCTAGATATAGAATAGGCCCAAAGGAATCCTAGTTTGTCGTAAAAGAGGACTAAGAGGTCTAGAGAAGGGAAGCAGCTGCTCCAGTATTGGACGTGGAAGGAGATCAAGGAGATCGGTACAATCACACGCCAAACATTTGTAGGCGTAGATGGTAGCCATCTAAACGGTTGCAAAATTGTAAAGTGGAAGAAAACGGGAGACCATCACTTTGTTATCCCTGGTTTTTGCAGTTATGGATTGTCAACTCATTGCAAAAATGTCTGGATGTAAAATAATTTTCTATTCGGATGTCCGAGTGGAGATGCCCTAAGTGAATCAAAATAAAACTATAAAAGTGTGGGCATTTGGAATGTTAGATACTTGAGAAGAAATGAAAAATGTAGAGATTTAAATCTAGGATTGAGAATATTAAATATTTATATCATGATAATAAGTAACGTAGATGGCCTGATTCAGGTGATTTTTGAAATAATAAATACAGATTCATAAATACAGGGTTGAACAATGATATACTGGAGTGGGTATCATTATGAATAGATAGTGTTGGGAAAATGTGATCAGCTATTGCCAATGTTCGGATAGGATTATCATGGTCAAAATTAATTCTAAACCTGCTATTATAATGATTAGCTAAATATACGTGTCAACGTCAACATATAGTGACGAAAAAATTGAAGAAATGTACGATAAAATAAATGAAGTAATGACGATGACTAAAGCAGATGAGAATGTTATAATCTTAGGTGATTGGAATGCAATAGTAGGCGAGGAAAAATAGGGTAACATTGTAGGAAGTCATGGTCTAATTTAATTTAATATATACATGTAAGCAACGATAAACCATTATTAACGAACAAACGGTTCTGAACGGAATTCAATTGATAGTGATGCTTTTCGACAATATATATATGTCATATTACAGTAAAATAATTAAATAGGCTTTATATATTTTTTGTAATAATATTTGTTTAATGTTGTACTGATTTTCCTATGTTTTCCCCAGTTTTTCATATTAGCTGGTAAAATTCTTTAGAAAATTGAAAAAAGACCTCTTTAAAATACCGCATCAGTAAAATTTCCTTTTAGAAAAATTTTCATCATTATAAGTTGGAGTAAAATTGCTGGTGGAAAAGTTGTACACAGACAAAAAAATTGTAATATTTTAGTGATATTATTTTTATTATACCATTTTTTTTTCGGTTTTTCACATTTAAAGAGAAAACTCTTGAAAAAATTGAAACATGACCTCCCTAAATTATCACCTACACCGATTTCCTTTCAGAAAAGTGTTTGAAAATCAAAGCAAGATTTCTGATAAAAAAGTTGGGTACAGTAGAAAAAAATTTTTTTTCCAAACACTGGTTTGATCTCGGAACCTTTAGGATGATAATAGGCATCAATAACCATCAAATCACGACAAATATGCTTAATTTAGTACAATATAGAGTTATTTAACATAACATATTATAATTTATGCATAATATCGGAACTTCAAAAAGCTAAAATTTCGAAACTTAGCCAGTTCGTTTTATTCTGACTTTTCCATCGTTTTTAAATCGGCAATATACACATATTCAAAAAAAAAAAATAATAATAATAATAATAAAAGAGCTGATACTGAGAATGGGAGCGACCACTGTTGTAGGTGAGAAGTTGGGAAGGTAATATACATAATTTGAAGTGCCTTAATTTTTTTCGCGATTTTCATTTAAATTTGATTTCAAAACGCTTATTAAAAAAAAAAAATCGTCCGATAATTTTGAAAATTTTATCCCGTCTAGGTAAGTCAAATATGAGTATTATTACCAAGTTTCAGATCTTTATGTGTATTTATAACTGAATTACAGCAAAACAACTCCCAAAAATTAAAATTCATCAAAGTTTTAGTGATGATACCGTAAGAAAGTAAAAAAAAAAAAAGGTATATTGTGATTTTTCGATTAACACATTTTTTCTGGTAGAAAACGTCGTCCGTGTTTTTTTAAAATAATGAAATCTTGAAATTGTACATTTTCCTACGTTTTTTCCCACTTAAATGAGAACTATAAGCTTCTTCACTCCACTCAGAATCTAAAAGCTTGTAAGGCAAGGTTACATTTTATTTATACACTGAGGAATTAATGAAAGAATTAAGTCGTAGAAGTTAAGCAAGGAGTGAGAATAGGCGGAGAAACTATAAACGTACTAAGGTTTACCGATGACATTACCTTTTGTGCAGAAACTGAGGAAGACCTGCAAAACTTCCTACTTACAATGTAAATAAAATGGATTTTTCACAGATAAGTTCTACCTATCGTAACTTCGTGTCAAATTTTCAAACATTTCTGTTAAGTTTAACTATTTTATCTACAAAGTACCTACCAAATACATATAACATAAATACTCGAAAAATTAAAACGCTCAAAAATAGCTTCAAAATACGATTTCAACATTTTAATACTTTTATGTAAGAAAAATATAAGTTTGCTATTGATCACCAATAGTGTAACCTTACAGCCAAGTAAAAAGCTAAAGATATATGTGTGGAGTATTGCCATAAATGGTAGTGAAGCGTAGACACAAGACGGTCAGTACAGTAGAGAGAAGTAAACTAGAAGCCTTTAAAATGTGGTGTTATCGCAAAATTGAATGGACTGAAAGAATAACAAACGAAACAGTATTATTTAGAATAAAGGAAAAACGAGAATTATGGTGCACTATTAAAGTTGGAAGAGACGTAGAATGTTACATTGGAAGAAGACCAAGGATGGAATGGTATATGAAACAAATCATGATAGACATGCGAAAGGATAACTATCAGGAGTTAAACAAATTAAGTTATAAAAGAGAAGCAAGAGAGAACTGTTGTAAACCAACCAAGTTATTGAAGATGAAAAGAAGATAAAACATCTCATATTCCTTCATAATAAAATAATTCATTTTCTATTTTTATTAATACATGCATGTTGTATTGAAAGTCAAATTTATATGATATTTCTCATGTACAATAAAAAGGAAGAAAAAAGTGTTAGATTACTGAGATTGTCAGACTAACGAAGTCTTACTGTGTGAGTATGAATACTTATTGGTTTGTGTTTTTGCCATTAAATGCTCAATAAATTTGTTTATTTGTTTTATTTTAGTTGAAAAATAACACTAAGATATAATAATCTATAAAAATAAGTTCATATTAAAATCTTTCCACACTTTCCATAGCACTCATTTTGTGCCAAATAAATATGAATACACAGGAAAAATTGATTTAATTTACAAAATAATTGGTATTGGTAGGTATAAAGTATAATTTATTTAATAAACAATAAATATAAAACCAGTTCTTTATTAATTAAAAGTTGTCTTATACATTAACAAATATTAATTAATTGACAATCTGGCATGTAAATCTATGAAAAATACAAATATTATTAGATAGGTAAATATTAACATTTTACACCATAAAATTTGGATCTAAATAGTTTTGAGTATTAAATACTAATGGTGCATAATTTGGATCAGCAAGGCTGTTGATAACATTATCATCATTCACTTGAATACTTCTTATAGGAATAACTAAGTGGTCCAATGGATGAGGAAGCTTCTCAACAATGTTTTTAACCATATCAACTATACAATCACTACAAAAATCAGAACTTTTGCCAATACTTGGACATTCACTACAATTCCACCTTGTTCCCACAATAGGAGATGACTCACATACACAACATTTGAAATTAGTATGTACAATAGGACAATCGCTTCTAGAAATCTTGTCTTTTAATACTTCCTCAAGAATTGTTAATTTTGTATTTTTATTCATTTCAATATTTTTGTGACTAATATTTAAATTATTTCGATTGGCGTTATAAACATCAACATCATCTACTAATGTTGTAGATGGTATAAATGTAGTCGGTTTCAACAACGCACCAGTATTTTTATGACTAAGAGACACAATTTTTTTATTCAGGGTTTTTGAATTTACATTAATAGATTTTATAGAACTTACTTTTTTCATTTTCATATTATACTTCTGTACTCTACTACATACTTGTCGCAAATTTCTTGTACCCAGAGCTTCAGCTATTTTTCTGTATCTATTACTTTCATTTCTTTCTGGTGGAAAATCAACTAAAAGTTCTTCGAGACGTAGTTGTTCTTCCACAGTCCAAGGTTTTTTAAAGGTTTCGGATTTTTCCACTTCAGCTGTGGTGACAGTAGATGTTTCTTGTTTATCGGGAATATTTTTAAACCGTAAATTAATATCGCATACTGGTTTTGGTTGTTCATTTTCATCATCTATTTTATAAATTGACCAATCAATAGTAGGTAAATCATGAATACTAATAGTCTTTAATGTGCTTATGTCTTCACGTTTTAAAATTTGTTTTAATGTTAAACATGCATTTCTTGACAAATGATCCTTTAACACTGCAAGTTTTTCAAGATTTTGAATTGTTGCACATCTTTGGACTTCAAGTATAGCCAATGATTTTAGTAAATTTTTATAATCTTTATTGCTTTTCAATAAATAAAAGTCGGTTTCAAAATAAAACTCATTTACTTCCAGCTCATTTGATACATTTTTGTGATTTATTGTTTCTTCCATTACAATAATTTACTTAAAATTAATAAATAGTGTTTTCAAAAATATTATTAAAATTAAGACTAATTTACCTTATTTTATTCAATAATATTTATTAATAATGTCTACATTATTTATAGTAAACTATACAAGCAATTAATTTTTAAATTAGTATACCTATATAATTTGAAATTAATATTACTTACAAATGTAAAGTAGTACACAATTGAACAAATGTTAAATATATATTATCAAAACATAGAAGACTTCATAGTTCAAAGTTGTAGTTTGAAATGTTGAAAGAATGTAGGCATAGAAAGAGACAATTTTATACTTATAATTTATAAACTATATATTCGTACACAGACTTCTATATAATATATTACACAGAAATCTGAGTAGTGAGTATAGGTAAAAAATAAATCTTAGTAAACAGTAAACGGAAATATCACAAAAAACTGTAGTTAGATAACGTTATCTAGCATGTGTATTTGTATTTCTTCCATGAGACAAATCTTACCCACCTGCCACCTCAACTATCCCCATCATCGGGCATCCTGTATATCCTGAAGAGAAAAAAATTTCCATACTTTGATACTTTCATTTCCCCGTTTGCTTGTTCTCGTTTATGTCGCTCTCCGATATCAATCCTCTCTTGGGAACTTTTTATTTAGTTATTGTTTAAGTAAACGTTTTTTTTTTTGTATTGTAATATATTAAAGTCTTGTTTCTCGTTAAAAACGAACAAATTACGAATTATTATTATTTTTTTATTATTATTTTTTTTTATGTTATAAATTCGGTTTGTTTTGTTGTATTGTTATTTCAGTATCGTTGACATACGCGTTTAAATTTTCTTCCGCAGCAGCATTTGCTTCCGCAGCATTTGCATAAGTTATCACTATTCAGTTCGATAATAATATTAATAACCGTCTTGTTAGGATTTTGTTGTTTCTGTGTGAATCATCCAGTTACCATCCGTTCGGGTTTATTTTTTTTTTTGTTAATTATTATTGTTCTCGTCTGAACCACAAAAAAAAAAACAACGCGAACGCGTTATTCATTCCATTCATACATGTTGGAACCCGTTTAAAAACGGCATTAGAATATTTAATCGTTTTATTATTGTGAAGATTTCACCAACATGTCTGAATCGGTAAACAATAACGAACAGTCTGATTCAACGTTGTTAAATTTTATCAATTCTAAAAAAGGTAAGCGTAGAAAGAGTATTTTGTTGTAAATATTGTATTATTAACTTAACAACCTACCCCGAACCTACTTTAATTAATTTAATAAAAGTATGCTATTCATATTCATAGAAAATTAGAGCCCTTAAAATAATGAATGCCTGTTTGTAAATTAATTTAAATTTATTATTGATGTTTTGGTATTAGTTCTCCCTATTAAATGTTTTGTGTAATATTTTTCATTAATATATTAGTTTTATGAATTGTGGAATAAATGTACTTTCTGCATGTTTTTTTTTTTTAAATTACCTTTATAATTCTTTTATTATGTATATTTATATATTTTATAATATTAAATTTTGCTGAATCTACATAATAGCTTCTTGTAAGTTGAATGTAAATTAATATATTTTCAACATTCAATTTTCAACTTTTAGGAATTTTGACTACCTTGATTTACTCATTGACCATAATTTGCTAATTTATCGTATATCTAATACAAGTAATAATTAAATGATATCTTATATTTTAGCTGCTTTTAATTCATTATTGTTCTCATTAAATGGAATAATGAAATACTCATTTTACCTATTTAATTAAAAATATTAATCAGTACATTTGAATACCTGCATAATATTGGAGATTAATTGTAGGTATATATATATTTATAAAAAAATAATAATTAATCTAGTGTAAAATTATATCAGGATTTCAAGGAAAATTATATTTTTATTAATTTTTAGTAGGTATATTCATTTTGATCAGAATTTATATATCCGTTAAGGAATTGAATTAATTGAAAATGTACCTATAGGTACTGAAATCTACTGTGAAATTGATGTACCTATTCAAAAATGTTGACATAAACAGATTTTAAATAATAAACTAACCTTATGAAGAATAATTTTAATATTTAATAATAGGCTAACCTAGTTTTAAATATTTCAATGAATCAATGTGTTCAACAATTTTAAATGACATTTTATGAATTTATTTACATGGAGGTTCCTAATATATTGTTTATTGATAAAACTTTTACTTAAACACAGTTGAATAATACAGATAAATTTAAGAATGTTTTTAAATTAATTTTATTATTTTCCTTTCATTATATTCTGTAAAATTGACACTGAAGTGGGTGTAAGTCACCCATTAAATGGGTGTTACCCATTTAAATAGTTAAACAAGGGCCAATTATTCATATTACTTATAGATTCCTATATTGTATTCTATTGATCAATATTTATTTATTATTAGATATTTAATTATAATATTGCTATAATTTCTACAAAAATTTATTTGATAAATTAATTTATTTGATAAAAATGTTTAATTTTGATTATTTAAACATGTGTAATATTAATAGAAATCTAGCTGATTTTAACAACCATTTTTGTTATCTATTTCAAAATATGTATTATTGTTTTGTAATGTTCTATAGTATCAAAATAATCATTTTCTATTTATTATTTAAATAACATAGATTTGTGATCTATATATAATACCTAAGTATCTACGTATTATAATACAATTTAAACTGACTAATACTTTTTTTATTTTAACTCCTAAATTGTAAGATAAAAAAATGTTAGAATGATGAAAGGGGGTTGTATAGTAGGGACTTCATTTATATATTTTAATTAAATTAAATTAATATTATTTTGTGTTCATGAAACTAAAAAAAACTCTTAACTTAACGAGAATATCACACCATAAGTAATTTAACTGTAAAAACTGTTTTGTGGGGCCTATTATTTATAGTATAATTATCAAAAGTTCAAAAACGTTAAGAAAAACTTTATCTGTATCTACTGATCACTCCTCTGTTTTGTCCTATAAATAGGACCTGAAAAAAGTGATACTGTACAAAATGGGTTTTCCGTAGTTATTTTAGTTTATTTCATGATTATGCAGTAAATAGTTATACTTCTGGCAAAGACACTGTTGGTAGATTTATTTAAAAGTGAATTATAATATTTTTGAGTTAATATACTATTATTTTTTAAATACTTCTAGTAAATTATAGTAAATATCAATCAAATTTTAGATTTTGAGTAGAGAAAGGCAGATTAGTTTTTAATTTTTTATTAATAATTATAATGTTTTATTGTAGGTGCTATAATAATATTTCATTCTTCATGAACATGCACAATATATAATTTAATCAAAGTGTACTAAATTAATACAAATAATATTAGAAACTTATAGTTTCAACGGTTGGCATATTGTTAAATTCTATTATTACTAAATTTACATAATAATTTGTATATATTTTTACTATAAATGCTTTATTATAATATTGTTATGATTAGTTGGACAAAAACTAGAAGTTAAATATAATTAAAATAATTCTACATTTTGTTTTATATTCATACTAAACTTGGTAATTATTACGTATAATAATATAATTACAGATATTAAATACAATGTAAAATAGTTATTATTCAATACAAGTTCATTGATCGAATTATAGTAATATAAATTACATTTTAAATTATAATTTATTTTTAGCAAATATATAGTTGGGTGCAATAGTAAAGTTAGTACACAGGTATATATAACAGTAAATAAAGGTTGGTTTTTTTGAATATATATTTTCAAGATTTTATTTTATTTTACTTAAATAAGTGGATCCAAAGCAGTGAATTTCCATTTTAGTCCATAATAATATTATACAATATGAGCATATGACTGGCTATTTTATAGAATTCATTTGATTTGTAATAAGATAACAATGTCATAATATTTATAATGCTAATATAACATGGGGGAAATCAACCACTTGCTATTTATTAATAGAAAATCATTTTAAGAAATTTCAACTTGCTTTTATCAACGAGAATAATTCATTATTCAGTCAACTTTTAGTCTTGTTTTTCTATGGTTGTACCATATTTTTTTTTTTTATGCTTATTGTTCATATTTAATGTTTTAATTTTACAATATATATGTATACATTATTTTAATTTGTGATTGTGTAGTATTAAGTCATTTAAAAAAAAACTTAAATCATGAATAGCAGAGTTAATAAAAATCGCAAGCGGTACTCTAGTATTCAAGGTCCTATATTAAAAAAAGTTTTAAAAACCTCGTCTCATTTTAAAGAAAATATTCCTGAAGAACAATTAAATAATTATAGTGTAAATATGAAAGGTCTTAAAAAATGTTTAGGTGTGTATTTATTCATATTTTATTTATAATAGAAGGATACTTGGATTGAAATTGAAAATTTTTAATATTTTAAAAATAATTAATTTTATTATTATTAAATTGTAAAATATTCAAATGTAATTTATAGGCATATCAACAAGTGAAATGGAAAATGGAGCATCTATTGAAGAAAAAGTTAAAGTAGTGAGATTTAAACAGTCGATACAAAGATATCCCAAAGAAGAATTGTTGGAGTTACAAAATTTAGGGATTTCCAAAGTGCGTCCAAAATTTTTAGACAATTTCCCCGACCTGGATTTAGAACTTGCTGGTAAAACTCGAAAGTAAGTTTTCAGTAGTTAGATAATTAACTTTATACTTATATATAAAATTGTACCTATGTATAAAAGTGTAAACATTTTATTTTGTTTTATAAAACATTAAAAATTACATTAATTAATTTTAGTGTAATTTTAAATTCATATGAAATAATAAACTTTTTTATAGAGGAAGTAGACCTGTAGCTGGCGGTAAATCAGCTGTTAATACCAAGACAGTGGCATTTGATTTACCACCATGGCCCAACCAACCAACAGAAAATGGCGAAATCAAAATTGAAGTAAGTTTTTGTAGTACCTATTTAATAAAGTATATTGTTTAAAGCAGTTTTATTATAACATAATAGTCTATTTTTAAAATTGAGTCTATCTTTATTTTATTAATTCAATATTTTTTTTTTGCGTTTCCTTTCCTTTATATCATGCATTGAACAATAAAAGAAAACTTAACACAAACAACTATTAGTTTGATATACTATATATTTATATTAAATACATTCTACACTTGTATTCCATATTAATACACTAAGTATTATATACAATTATATTTTCAGTACAAAAATAAAGATTTATAATTAATCAAATTGGTTTTATATTTGTTATTATTATATGTATACAAATAGGCTGAAATTTTAAGTAAATAGTTAAGTTGTTTTAAGCGCTGGCTATCAATTTAAATTTATAATATAATTTCAACTTATGTATCTAAATTTAAATCAACGTAAATTATTTTGTCACTAGATTTACCTTATTATTATTTTTTTTTTCTAGTATTAAATCTTTTATTGTTTATTTTCTAGTATTTATTTAAGTGTTGTTCTTTTAATAATTTTTCTAATGCATCTAATTTATTATTTATAACTATTATGAATTATAATTTGTTGTTACTCTAAACTCTGTATGACTGAAATAGTTCCAAATATTAAATTATAACTGAATACATTTTAAATTATTATTCAATATTTGGTTTAATTTGGCAATATTTTAACCTAATATTATAATCTTAAGTATATAAAGTGTTTTACTATGAATAATACCTTACTAATTGATGTATTGATAACATGGAAACAATAAGTTACTGATGTTAAACAATACTTGTACAATTGTTTAATTATGTGTTAATGTAAATTAGAAAAAACCACAGGATGCAAAAGATCGCTTGAAAAAAGATCAAGATATAGTTTTGAGTCCTCAAAGACGTAGTTTCAATTCTGGTTGTTTTGTAACTATGAATGCTTCTAGTGGCCCTAAACGTTCAAATAGTCCTTTAAATACATCAGCGGCTAAACCGTATGTTGAAAGGTGAGATGCATTTTAATGTTTGTAATGTCTTATTACAAAATATATGTTTAGGGATCCTGTTAGAGAACCTCGACGAGTTGGCAGTGGTCGGTTAATGAGTCGAGATTCTTGGGAGACTGGTTATCGTCAATCAGAAAATGGAATTGCAAATAATTATAATTTTGGTAAAGGAGGCTTTCGAGAATCTTCGTCTCATAACTCAATGTTTGTATTTTTAATTTGTATTTTATTTTATTATTTTTTGCTTTTATTTATTTTTAAAATTTTTAGAGAACCTCGTAGAAAAGATTTTGAGTTTGACAGAGGAGAATCAGATCGCCATAGAAATTATGATCGTTTTAAGGGCTCTGGAAATTTTGATAGACGTCGAAATGATTCTTATCGAACACAAGAGGAACCAGAGTGGATGACTGGTAAGTTTTTTGTTCATATTTTAACATTCTATTATATTGTCAACTAAACAAATAGTATATTAGCATATAATTATCCCTGTGGGAATCAGATACTTCCTTGGTACCACTACCTGTTATAAGAAAAGATAAATAAGGTTGCTTCAGGTTGATTGCCAATGTAAAAATCATTGTAAGTAGTTTGAATAGTGAATTCTATAAAAATGTGGTGAGCTCGACTATGTTTTATAGTTTGGAAATTTAAATAGATAGAAAAATAGAATAGAGAATGAGTGTATCAGAGATGGGAATAATGTTTAGGTGAATGAATGAGGGCACGAGAGAAAATATGATAAGTAAAGCGTAAATAAGAGGTTGCATATGCATAGTTTTAATAATACAAAATCAAGAGAAAATATACTGGTATGGTTATTTGAGTATGTTATGAGAAAAAAGGAAGTAGAAGGCCAAAAAAGTAGTGGTTAGATGTGATATGAGTACGCTCAAAGATAGACATTATGTAAGAGATGGGAGATTGGTCAAGTGAAAATTTGGGATGAGAGTGGCTAACCCTAAATTACTGAAATGAAAGTAAAAGAGAAGAAGATAGAGTATATAATATAATGTATAATTTTGTTTTAATGTTCAGTATGACACAAATCTAACTTCTTTTGTTATCAATCATTAATAAATAGATGGTCCAACTTCACAACATGATACTATTGAGTTACGAGGTTTTGAAGAACCCCCCACTGACAAAACAAAGAAGAAAAAAACTAAACCTGGTAAATTAATCATTTTAGTTTTAGTGATAAAAATATTAATAAAATATTTTAAATCTATTTAATAAAAACATAATTAATATTTAGCTGCTCGTACAAAAAAAAACCCATCTGACTCTACATCTACAGAATCAGCAGCTGCTGTTAAGGGAACAAATGAAAATAAATCCAAGAAAACTAAAAAAGACAAGGATGAGGATAAGGATAAAAAGAAAAAGCCAACAGCTGACAAACCCAATGTAAGTTTTTTTTTTTTAAATTTCTGGGCAAAGCAAGGGATGTATTAGTTTTATTATGTATTTTATTTTTGTTTGTATACAATTTTTCTACTAAAGATCTTATTCCAATAAAAAACTTGTAGACATTTTTAGTATTTTTAGTCAAGTTAGCACTTTGGGGAGGTTAATTGTTCTTGATAGTTTTCTTAGAAATAATTTTCAATAAATTTGAAAAACTGACATTTTTATTGATTTTTGGGTTTTTTTTTTTGGCAACAAGGGAGATAAAAACTATTAAATAATATTCTGTACTCCGAATCCTTTTTGTTAGCAATGATTTATAGTTTTGTACAGATATAAATTTAATTACTCTAGATGTCTGTTCTTTTAACTTTTCTCCTAAACAAGGGCACATCCATCAGCAGCATTAAATTATAAATTATTAACATTTCAATTATATTTATTCAAATTATAAATAGAATGATTCAGAAGACCAAACTAAGAAAAATTCTGAATCAATAAGTGGAAATGAATTCATTCAGGCATATGATGCTGAGCATAAAACAAATGACACCGTGTTCAATGATTTCAATATTGACGACTTCTTAAAACCAGATTATTTGCCTGATATAATAGAAGGAGATACTGATGCAGCTGGTTCACGTTTTCGTCAATGGTTTACTACACATGATAGTAGTCGTGCGTCTTCATCAGCTTCTACTGAATTATTGAATTCTGGAATAAACAGTATGATCATTTTGTACAATTAAAGTTAATTGAATGAATTAAAATTAATATTTATGTTTGTAGAAGGAGTAACAGATACTATAGAAGAAGATCCTAGACAGTTATCATCAATACTTATGGGAATAGTTAAAAACAATAGCCTAAATGAATCAAAAAGTATAACAAATGCATATGACTCTATCACTATGAGTGAAAATAATAAACTTCCCCCGGCTATTATGGATGTTATCAAAGCAAGTGCACCTCAGTTGCCCGATCCTAAAGCTGCCATACGTGATTTGGGTAATTTTCATTAAGTATAAAGTAGATATATTTAAATGGTTATTGTTAATACATTTTTTTAAATAGAAGTAAATGGTAAGGTTCAAAGTCTTGAAGAAATTGAATCTAGATTACGCATGTCTAGTAGACAACAAAATGGTTATTCACCACCACACAGTAATATTCAATTCCATGATGAAATGAAATTTAAAAAACTACCAAATATGAAGGCAAGTCACTACAAATGTAGTGTAGATGAAAAATAAAATTCTAATTTATTGTTATTTTTTAATATATTTATATAATATATTACATTTTTAAAATTAATTTAATAATTATTTTATTTTCATATTTAGATGTCCCAACATGAACATGAAAACTCTAGTAATGATGGACACCTAATGAACAGCTCTGAAAACTATTCCATATTACAGGTATTATATCTTCTTATAACTTTTGAAACAGTTATCATTTAACAGTAAATTAAATAAAAAATTGGAAGTCCATAATGGCTTAATTTGATTTTGTCTTTGTCTAAAGTTCCATTTGGTGTATCACAATAGTCTCAACCTTATTTTATTTGTCAATTCTGTTAGTTAATAATTAAAGCAAAATGTTTTCTTTTTGTCGATGAAATAAAAATATATATGAAATTGATACTCCTAATAGCTATCATATACTCCAAGTTTAATATCTTCACTTTATGGGTGTGTACTCCATTCGCCATAGACTACAACTTGCCAGTGCATAATGATTTTATCCTACCTTGAAGTTTGACAACCATATATGTCTAATAATTAGCAGAGCTCTTAAAGTCCTTGGCTTTATCAGACCGTAGCATGAAGATATTCAGCTCCTAAGTCAAACTATCTACTTTTTATTTTGTGTTTATTCGCTCAATTCTTTAATATAATGTAATAGTTTGACATCCTTTTCTTGCTAAGGACCAATTAATTCTTGGGCAGGTACATAATTGATTTCTCTCTCAATCAGCCTGTGTACTTAAAATTGAGTGCATTGACTATGATTACACAAAACGTTAAATACTCTCACTTTCGTCACTTTATTGCATAGCTGACTTGTGATTTCTTTCATCTCATTTTAATGACTCCATGACGCTCCTGATCTCCTATCATTTACTATCATGTACCTACATATTTCTCCAGAAGTCTAAACAATACCATCCTTCCTTTCCTGTTTCATCTCATTCTATTTGCTATGATCATAAGAATCAAATTCATAGAATACTAATTAATGATACCTGATTTCTCAACAGTGTTAATATAAAATAGTATCAAACTTGGTACTTTTATATGATTTAACTACTATATTATATGTAATTACTCTGTCATGAGTTAATATATAAAATTAAATAAATATTACAGATGTTAAATAATGCTCATGGTCCACAAAACTATATAGCTAATCAACAAGGACAAAATCATAATATTGGTATGTATTTTTACTTTGAAAGTGATTCAAATTATATGTTAAATCAGTTAAATACCCTAACATTTTTTTTTTTTTTTTGCAAAATATGAGTTATATTTTTATTGTTATTATAGGTCCGTATGGTCAACAACAAACTTCAAATGTTTCAAACAATTACCGCCATCAACCACCTAATATGCAGGTTCCTAATGATATTGTTATGAAATTAATGGAAGCACAACAGGTATATTATTATGTAGATTTATATTTATTTTAAATTTGTGCTAATAATAAAAGTATAAAAAAATACTACGGTGATCTATTGAAATACACGTTTACTTTGTTTATTATGATGCAGATTTGGTGTCATTAAGGGTTAAAACGAATTGTTTTAAAACTGTTGTGATACCAGTGAATATGTAATAAATATACGTAATAAAATACAAATAAAATTGTTAGAGTAAATGTGTTATGCGAGTAGATTTTATAAGGTATAGAAATTAATATATAAAAGGTCGTAAAGAAGTATAGCTTGAAGAATTAAGAGTATGTACATGTTGAGGAAAGAAGAAATGATGGGATAGTTAAAAAGGTAAGCTGGTTAAATTTTGGATGTGAAACCAATGAAAAGATGAACTAAGAAAAGTGACTATAGAAAATAATGATTTTAGTATTGGACTACCAATTTGAAAAACCATACTTTAATAATAACTTAAACTGTTCAAATTAATTTTCATATGTGATTTTTCATTAGTAATGTATTATTATAAATTATTATTTATTTATAATAATACAATACAGGTATGTGTAACCAAAAATAATCCCCTGTTAATATTCTTAGACATCATTTATATACTTCCATAATAAAAACATTTTAATATAGATACAAAAGCAACACGAAAATATGGTTGCAAAAGCTATGGCTGTTCAACAACAACAATCCAAACAACAGAATCCTTACAAACTTCCCATTGAATTGCAAAATATGGTGAACTACTATACGCCTACTAAAGATATATTGCAAAGTCGTGAAGCACAAGAAATGCTTATGGGTATGAATAGCTAAAGGCTTCTTAAGTATAAAATTTAGGTTGCAGAAATAGACCTGTTATATCTATTTTTTTTTTTAAAAACATCCTATTGGTGCTTAATATAGTATATTAATTTATGAAGTTTTTTTTAATTTCAGAAAACTTAATAATCATACTATATTACATTTATAAAGTTGGTGTATTCAAATATTCATTTTATAGAAATATAAAAGGTTTGGGTCCTACTCTAGATATAAGATTCCTAGCCAACCCTTTTATAATTTAGTCTTAATATGACTACTGGGTCAATGTATTTTGTTTAAATATTAAATTACTGTTACCATATCTCTTTAATTTAGGAATTAAACGTGGTGAAATATTGTTACATCATTTGGTAGAACAATGGAAAAAAACTAGTCCAAACCAATCTCGTTATCGTGAAACTCTTATTTGCCTCATGAAAGTTTTAACACATTCAAACAGTATGTTTTAAATAAACATTTCATTCAACTGTTTTTATGATCATTTGGTTTTTATTTTGATTGGAATTGTTTTCTGTAGATGCCCAAAGAATGATCAATCAACAGGACTTAGTATATCAACAACAAGCAGCATTATACCAAAGCCAAATGTTAAAAAGACAATTGCTCGATCAAACTCATAAAAGGATGGAAAATGTAAAAACAAAACATTTTAAAATTATTTAAAATACATTTTTAATTATTTTTTGTTGTTAGGTTCATAATTCATCATATGGCAGTGAAGGTCCAATGGACTTGGGTTCATCTCAGTCTCAGTCTCAGCCGAGAATTGGCCTCACACCAACATCGGTGTTGCGTAAAATGACTTCAGCCTCAGAACCTTTGGTGGACAAACACCATATACCTGACGAAAGAGTCGGTAAGTAGACATAATATTACTTGTATGATAGATATTAGATTGTTTATTAAATCAATTTATTAAGTGTAATGCAAATTATCTATTTCTGTAGCTACTCAACATGCTCTACAACATCAAATTAACACATTGCAACAGCAAATCCAACAACAACAGTTTATGCAGCAACAACAGCAGCAGCAGCAGCAACAGCAACAGCAGCAGCAGCAGCAGCACCAGCAACAACAACATCAACAACAGCTACAGCTACAACAGCAACAGCAGCAACAACAGCAGCAACAACAGCAGCAACAGCAACAACATCAGCAGCAACTTCTGCATAGACCTGTTAGTTCAACTATTCAGCAAATATTGAGTGGTAATTATCCTAGGTACCATGGAGCTCAACAACCACAACAACAACAACAGCATCATCATCATCAACATCACCAACAACAACAGCCTAATATGAACGGGCGCAGTGAGTTTTATCTCTGATAATTCTTAGTCAATATAAATTTAAGTATTTTTCTTGTAATAATCAAATGTATCTAAATTTCATATGCATTTTTTTATTGCATATTGAAATTCAAAAAAACATTAATTTGATTAATTTTAAATTTATATATATTTATTAGACCATCAATTGTTCAATTATGATAATTATCATTAATACATTGATTATTATAAAGGTATGATCTATGGTTCTGGTGATAAGAATCGTATGAGTCGTGTACAGTCTCCTGTCAGTAACCAGCTTGCTCGTTGGTTTTCTCCAGAACTCTTGGCACAAGCTCGTGCTGGCCGTTTGCCAAACATGCCAGCTATGTCTCAGAATATTAACATGCTCAGTGTTGAGGACATAGAAAAATTCCAGGTTGGTGGTCGCTCTTAATGGTAAAAGAAATGGTGCGACTGCTACATTTGTGTAAAAATTAAAAACAAAAATTGTTATACCTTAAAAATATATATGTATATGTAGGCCCCTTGTCCAAGTCTTATTAATTTCTTTCTTTTCCTTTTTTGATTTAAATAATTGAGGTTCTCAGTTTAATTTAAACTATATATTATATTTCTACTGACCTCTAAATATTTCTTCTGTGAGCAAATCAGAAACTTTTTTTTCTTTTCATTTTGCATGTTTAAACAAAAAGTTAACTATAATTTTTTTGATTTTAATCTAATGAACATGAAACATTATAATTATTTTATATTAAATTTTAATTTCTTTAAAATGTTGAACCTCTGTGTACAAATATTCATTATTATATCTTAGAAAACTTGTATATATTAAGTACAAAGAAATATTTTCTTTTGTACCATTTGTCTGTGATGTTAGAAGTTGTATATGAAATTGTAAGTTTAATAATTCTTTGTATTACTAGAGTTAAAAAAAACCTATATTTAAGAGCCATTAATGGCTGATATAAATAAAGAAATAAAATCTTGTAATTGTATATATATATATGTATATCATATTTTACAGATATATATATATATAATTTATAGTTTTGACAAACTTATTTTCATTATGTTTTCTAATTGCCTGATGAATTCAGAAATATTTTCTTTTCGTCACACATGTAAACATAATTTATTTATAATATATGTATATATATTATACACAATATGCATATTATATTAAACAAAATGTTATTATTTTTGTATTTTAATTAATTCAATACAATAACATACACATTTAATTAACTATACACAATATAAGAACAGAAAATCAACAATCTAATTTTCATTAATATAAGAAGTCAATTTAGTATTGGATATGTAGTAGTTATACCTAATACTTCATAACAATTGATAAATTTCCAACAATTGTTTAACTTTATTATTTCATTAAAAAAAAAAAAAACAAATAGATAAAATAAAGTAGCATTTGTAAGTGCATAAAACATAGTCCAACTCGTGGGGTAACCATCAATTCATTTTATAGTTATAGCCTACACCTTAAAATCAAATCATTCTTACATTATGTATAAAGATTTCTTTCTACTACTCATTTGGCTAACTTATTCATATACATTTGGTAAAATTATAATAGTACAAAAATTATAAATTGCTGGGGGGTTCATTCAATGAACCACTAAATCAAATTAAGTTAATTATTCTAAAAAATTCAAACATCAATATATATATATATATACATATATTGATTTAACAAGTATACTTCCACCTATAATAAGTTATAGCTTAGTTCGATGGTGCTGGCTGTAAAGTGATGTTGACACGTTTTTGATCGTCCACAATTGCTTGTTTACAAGTAGTGCTAGACGAAAGGTTAGTAGTTCTCATAGCGCCAAGCGCAAAACATGGTTCACACACTCTTACAGGTTCATATAATTGTTCAGCTGGTAATGGAACCAAATTTCTTGAACAATCTGCGCAGAATATTTTTCCGCAGCTTCTAATAAAAAATAAAAAAAATACATATTTATTATCATTTATAATATTTAAAATGATTATAAAATACTATGATCAAGTGTCAATACATATTTTATACTTGCCTACAATGATGCTTCCGTCTTCCCAGCCAGAACTTGTTGTCGCACGCCATACACTGGGTAACTGCATGATCCGGTACCCACAGGGTTGGCTGAGCATCGAATGCCTCCACAGGTTCCCATGACAGTGTTGTCTCGCCTCCTGTGCTGCTACACATGGACACCTTCAAAAAATTACTCCACCCTCATTCTAATACATTACTAGATAAACGTATCAGTTCACCCACAATGAAGGTTTCCAATACTTTTAAATTTTAAATGATTTACGCACTTCATCGTCAGTTTTGTCCAATGGCGATAGACCATTCACATCTGACATTGTAGTTGTTTCGACTCCATTACAACGATGACTCGCTTGTCGCAACAGTACTAGTCGAGTGACATGCAATTCATTTTGAAGTGCCGCTTCTCTATTCTAAAATCAAACACAATAATAAAAAATTTGTATTTTTTTATTTAATAAGTCATTCACTTTATGTTCCAAATTTAACTGTTGGAGTCTATTTTGCACATCATCTACTAGTGGTAACAAGCCATCAACAGTGTTTAAAACACAATTGGTTTGAATTGAATGTCGCTCTATAATGCATAAAATTAAAATAATTTGATTGATATTAAAAAATACCTATAAATTATGAATACATTATTTACCTATTCCATTTTCTTCAGCAATAATACTTGAACTAGAATTAGTATCTGACGATTTATCATCTTTATCGTCTAAAGGTACAATGTCTTCACATTTTGAAAAGTCCAAGCACATTTCTTCATTATTTATCACAATTGGCTGATCATTACATACTAATGGTTCAATTAAAACATCCATACTCAACCTAAAATAAAAATGTAGGATTAGGAGGCAGTCTATCTACATGCATCAATGGATATTAATATCCAATACAGACAAAACAACTGTGGCCTTCTTCCATCTAAATAACCATATGACAAATTATGAAGGTCAAATTCTCTTCAGGGGAATCACTTAAATATGAACTATATCCAAGATACCTGACAGTTATACTTGATAAAATACTCATTCAAAAGCAACATCGAAAATACCACTGCCTAACTTAAAACCAGAAATAATACAATTCAAAAACTGGGGTCTCCACATCTACATTGCTAAACATCTCTCAATGTCATAAAATTGATGCTCAACTTAAATATTTCATGAAAATAATATTTGGACTATTTAATTTTAATTAACCTAACTGGCGCAGTGACTCCCAGGTCTTTGTAATATCCGCCGCAAAGTTGTCATTCATAGAGAATGGTTAAAGTATAAAACAATCCATCTTTTCCAATCCATAAAGATATAAATTCACACCAAAAGACATTCAGATTGAAATCAAGAAACCAATACACCTGATAGTGAGAATTTTTAAACAACAATACAGATCTGCAGAATTGGAATCTGAATGGAAAAACAAAACCTTATACAGAGCCCTCTCATTCCAGTTCAATGCACTATACTGAAACAACTTAATTGGGTCATTCTCAATAAAATCCAAATAGGACACAAGCCATGCGGTGATATGCTCCATAAATGGGTTATCAGAGATAATCTAGTTTGTAGTTGCAGTGCCCAATTACAATCCATCTATCTCATTATTACTGACAGCATAATAGGAATTCAAAGGAACAGTAAACAATATTCATGACTTTACAGTAGAAGTATTAGTTTGGATCAATAATCTGGATCTACAATTATGAATTTAAAACCTTACTCATTATGCTAATGTTTTATTTTAGATTTACAACTATTACCTGATTCATGTTACTATTTTATTAATTATTATTCGTTATAAGCTTGTATTTAACAATAAACAATAAGATAATAAAAAAATAATAATATTAATTTGTTTTGAAAATAAATAATTAAACTTTTAAATTCTAAATTGGACCGTAGAAGAGTGTAGTTATTGTGATTTATTGCTTCATGATTTTTAAAAAATTAAAAGTAATGCATACAATTTTTTAAGTTACTTCAAATGAAAAATACTTAACTATGAACTAATAATAAATTGTATAAAAAAAATGTGTAGCAAGTTTCATAGTTATTACACTATTATGGTTTAAAACATAGGGTGAGCTGAAATAAATGGTGTCCTCTTTATGGTATACTCTATATATGGCCCTCATAATAGATTTTGTCACATTTTTTTTTTAAATGTCAAAACCTTGGATTTACCATATTTATTTGTAAAACATCTATAAAAACTAAAAATAAACTAGACCACAAAATTTTCTACTCATTTTTGTAACAAAATGTAGGGAATTCTGTGGTTTATTTTCATTTATTATGAATATTTTACAAATAAATATGGTAAATTCAAGGTTTCGGCATTTAAAACAAAAATTTAATATGAGAGTCACTGTATAAGACACCATTATTCTGGTAAATTCTGTATATTCAATAAACAAATTCATTGAAAAACTTTTTATAAATAAGACTCCAATATAGTAATATTATAAAATAATAATTATAATTATTTTGATACACTTTTTGCGGCTAATGTATTGCTAACTGACTGGTGGACAGCAAAATATAAACAGGAGATATTATTACTTAATTGTCATATATTAATTTATGGAATTTAATAAAATATTGAACTTATTTAATTTTAGAATATGTGACAGCTCCAAAATTTATCCAGAGTTGGACAAATGGACTGTTTATAATACTAAAGCTAACCTTAATATCAAGTTGATTGAGCCCAAAAATTGTTATTTTTATTTCCTGGAATTTCATTCTAAATATGTTTGTATTAAATAATAGAAACAAATTCAAATAAATATTGTATTTATACATCTTATTCTTCAGGATATGACTGAATATTTTATAAATAAACTAGTTAAAATTATTCAAAATTAATCATTTGTTATTAAAAAATTATATAAGTGAATGAACCAAATAATCACACGATATATTTTAATTTATGTTATTTCTTAGGTGGAATATAAACAAAATCTAATTTATTAAAAACAATTTTTTCAATAATTACAAAATATTTGTTTAACTCCAATAATAAATAACACATGGAAGACATGTCTTTAATATAATTATATTTTATAATTAGTATTTATCTACATTTAACATACTGTTTAAATACTTACGAAGAATTACATAATTCGGAAGTCTTTATTAATTGAGGACTATCTATAAATGGACCAACATATAAATCCCTCCAAAGATTCATATCTCTCACATTGCAACTAACCCATAGAATCTGAAATTAAATATTTAAGACTGTTTTCAGAATATCCTGTAAAGGGTTCATTATCAATTAAACAGCATTTTTTTTCTTCACAGTCAAAATTCTATTGATTACTGATGGTTAATACTAAAACTATTAAATAAATAAAAAAATTATTACATTATCTTGTTGTGATGAGTATAGATGATTTTTACACTCAGCAGATGCAACTAGATGTTTCCATAAAGAAAATGTAGCAGTATTAATCCCTGTACGTTTTCTTTCAGCACCACTATTGCATAAGAATGTACCAAAAAGATTTGAGTATGTGTGTTGTGCTAATTTTACTAGGTAAGATTTAGAAAATTCAAAAGCACAAGGATACTGAGCCATAACATTATGCACACAATCCAACCACTGGATAAATACTGGGCACCGTTCATTTGGATCATCACCTTGACCACGGTCAGCAAATTTATGTCCAAAGTCTAACCATTCTCTTTGACACAACACTCGAAAGCCATCAATAGTTCGATAATACGGGTCTAACATAAGTTCAGCCAAAGATACAATTTGTGGAGTACGATCCCAACCATCGGAGCAATGTACAAGAACTGGTTGTGTTTCAAGTTCAATAGTTGCTGCCACAGTGTTTGCAGCGTGAAGAAGACCACTAATATTATGTAACCATCGCGTGTTTTCCAATAAACTGAACCAACTAAATAATTTATTCAGATTGATTGATTAATTATTATTATAATGAAAGTATGTTCACATATTTTAAAAATATTTACTTGGGAAGATCTGGAGGTGAAGCACATAATTGACGAAGTAAGTGAAAACTTTTCCTAACTGCGTGAATATTGGCCAAATTCATAAATCGTATTTCACATCCTGGATAATATTCAGGACACTCACATCCTCCACCTCGGGCTCGATTGGCCACAGCTGATGGATATGATCTAGCGTCAATTACAACTAATTTCTGATCAATTATAAAAATCAAAAAATATTAGTTTTATTATATAAGAATCACTTAAGTTTATATACATTTACTTTGGGTTTTTTTGATTTATTTTGGCATGATTCAGCAATTGCTTTTAATAGTTCTTCATCTTCCGAAGATCTCCATCCAAGCCAACCTACTTCAGGTTGAGAACACCTTGCTAAAATAGCTCCATTACCCTTGTGTCTGTTTTTATAATTTTTGTAAACACAGGGTTTAGAACAGAATAGTATTACTATAAAAACTGAAATAACTAATTTTACCTCCATACGATCACTGGAACACGTTTAGAACTACGGAATTTAGCTGCAGCTTCTAATGCCTGATCAGTAATACAAGAAGGAACCAATAATCGATTTGGATAAGTGGCACATAATTTATAATCCCAATTCACTTTTGAAATACGCCATTTAGAGTTATCACTTAATATGCTTATATTTAGTCTTTCAATCTATATAAACAATAATAATACAGTTTTTATATTATTGAAATTTAGAACATGAAAAATATTTTAATGTTTAGCATAAATTAATATTAATTTTTCACCTCTTTCATAAAATAATCATCGTCACCATCATGCCCCAAATTTGAAGAAATATCTTCATTACAATGGTCTTCGATTGCCCAGGCATGAAATGCAAATGCAAATACATCTTGAACATTTTTTGGTGATATGATTGCTCGAGATAATCGCTTATACCATTCCAAACATAAATCATTCGTAGTAAAAGTACACCTAATAAATATTATGAAATAATAAAATCTTAATAAATCTAATAAATACTCAATTAAATACTTATATTGTATATTGTATTCATATTAGTTAAAATAAATATGATAATTTCAAATTTTATATAAAAAAAATGAACTGGTATTAAAAACAATATTAAATATATATTATTAAAGAAATATACTTATAATGCATATGTAATTAGTTTACCATAATATGATATATATATATATATATTGTTGACAAAGCAACACTATTAACCAAACTCCGCTTAGAATTGTTTTTTTGTTAGCAATGGTTAATCGTTGCATACAGATATACATTAAATTTCCCCTCTACCATCCCAACTTCTCACCTATAACAGTGGCCCACCCACGTGAGAAATATATCGATTTTGTTTAACTTAAATTTATTAATGCACATGTTTTATACATTGATTATGCTTACCTACAAGTACGTGAATCTTTGCAACTAACTATCAAGTAGAATAAATCTTTTATTTCAACCATTTCAATTAGGCCCAATGGTATGTTGCTGTCTTGAAAACCTCTTCTCCGTTTTGTACTTTTATCCAATACTTGCAGATAAAAACGGTAATTGGATAATGCTAAAACGGTGTCATTAGAACCGCGACCTAAGTATTCAACAGATTCACCAGCTAAAGGAATAAAAGGCACTGATGGTGGTTCTAGAGTTGGAGGTCCTTCATCGGTTTCTAAATCTCTTTTTGGATATAATTCAGAAGCTCGCACATGACACATAGACTGTGTCACAGTTGATGAACTGCCTGATGAATCAGATAACTCCATCTAAAATAATATGACAAACTGTTTATTATTATAAATTGAATTTTTATTAAAATCAAATTAAAATAAATTGATATGAATTAAATAAATAAATTTTAAAAAAAATAAAAATATTTAAGTTTTAGTATATAAATAAGTTTAAATTTTAAACTACAACCGATTAGGTATCTAATATGATAATATGATGTTCAGTTAAAAATATACCATGTGACCTATTTATAAAAAATCAAATTATTGTCTATGAGCCTGTATAATTTCTACAATATTTTATTGATGAGTAATAGACACAAATTAATATACACATGATAAATAAAATAAAATATGCATGAAGAATGTCTGTAAAATTTTAATGCCACTCAATGTCATTAAATATATAACATAGATGATCATATTATTAAATTACATACATAAATATATTAATTGACCTGTTGTATTACAAGTAAACAAACAGTACAATTCAAATGTAGTTTGAGTAATTTCCAAAGAATACCAGTAAGTATCTATAATAATATGTAATAATATAATATTACTATAGGTATCTATACAAAAGAGTGCAATACAGAAACCTAATGATACCTTTTAAAAAATAGACAATTTTTTTAAATTTCAACTAACATATTTATTAAATATTGGATTTATGAAGATTTAATGTAAATATAATAATATTGAAAAAATACTAATCAATTGTAATAAAAAACTAAAATAAATAATTGCACAAAAATACATATAAGATATTAGTTTGACACAATATTTATGTTTTTGATAGAACTGCTTACTGGAATTTTAAAATTATTTAAGTGTCTGTTCATAATATCTACACAATAAAGAAATTCAATAATTTTTACCCATATTACTAAACATAGTACTGCACTACAAGAAAATATTTAAAATAACACTGAATTGTCAAAGGTCAACATTGCTCTGTTTACATTATGTTCCCTATATTATATACATACCTATCATAAAATAGATAAAATAGAAATTAATCCGTAATGAACTTTAGTTACTTTTAACTCTCTTTGTAGTATGTAGGTATTAATGTTCCAAGTATAATAGTTAAAATGCATTTTATTAATATTAAATTTGACTTTGGTGTACTGTGCATACTACATTACATAAACTGATTAGCTATTAACTAAAAAACATATTGTTAAATTTATTGCATAAATGAGCTATAGGTGCATGTAAATTAATACTGTATTGTAAAGGATAGATATGCACATAATACTTTAATCAATATTATTATGCTATTAATTTGTTATAAACTGTTACATAAAATTTAAATTTCTGGATCATAAAAAACACCTTGGCATTGAATCGGATGGTTTTAATATAAGTTGCACTTGATAACCTTGTCAATAGTTCAATATAATAAAGTTGTATAATGCACAAATCTCACTCGTATATATATATATATATATATATAGCAATTTGAATTGTTGTGAAACGATATTGTATATACTTAATTTTATAAAAGGTTTTAAGAACAAACAAGTTAAGTTCTTATATTGTGAAGGACATTTCCTTTTTATTGTTTTTTAAGTGGCCAAGAGTTTTCTCTATCTAAAAGATATTGGAAAACTTACTTTTGTTCAAAATTATTCGTTCATCATAAGTTGTCTGGAAAAATCGACAAACGGGGTCATTGATCCTCCCAAATGGTTACTGAAGCCTCATTTATTGTTTCTTACAAATTGTTCTTTTTAACACGACACTATAACGCGTAGCTATTCTGCATAGTAATGCGATGATTATGAAATGTACCAATAGTCATGTATGTATTTTATACGGACATCTCTTTGCACACAGATAGTTATGATAATCGTAAATTATTATAACACATATACACATACATACATACATACGACACACAATTTGGAATTAGTTAAAAAAAGATTTTAAGATACACACTGGGTAACACTCGGGGATCAAGAAAAACAAAATATTTGATAATATGATGAATTTATTACTGGATGTAAACACAAATACAAAATAAAAATAACCAACAAAAAAAGTTAGAACAATACAATAAAAAATTAATAATATATATATATACATGAATTTAAATATATGTATTAATACAATTATATATATCACATAGTTCTAAGGATGAAATTCGATAAAAGAACATATGGTCGCAGTGTTTTTTGAATAGAATTTTTTTGTCATACGTATTACGGTTGGTAATGCTATTAATTATGTTAACCTTAAATTGTTAAAATTGATAATATTAAAATTCAAAGTTGTGATAATGTTTATGGTTAGGGAATCTAAAACCGTGTTTGTGGTTATGATAAATTTGTTTGTTTTTGATATTTGATAGATTATCTAACGACAGTGAACAAGATAACAATTATTTACTACTCATGTTAAATTAAAATTTATGGAACTAAAATAAAATATTTAAAACTTTTGAAAATACTGAAATAGCAAAAGTTCACACAAATTTTTTTCGTTATGAATATATTGAAAATAAAATCCATTATCTATATTGCATATTCTGTGATATAATCATTTTTAAGTCACCAAGTATATACAATAAAATTTAATTTTTAAAAATAATACAACTCATTGGTGTGTAGATATTTATTTTTGATTAGTTTTTTATAGATAAATACATATTACACATACACACAATATGGACGTCACTCATAAATTAGATGGCGGTGTTTTAAAAGATATAATAAAACATGGCAACGGAACTGACAAGCCACATAAAGGATGTAGGGCTTTTGTACATTACACTGGTACACTTCCTGATGGTACAGTATTCGATAAGACTAATGAGACACCATTTCAGTTTACTTTAGGAAAAGGTTAGAAATAATTTATTTTATATAGCTTTAAAGTTATTTCATTTTATTATTTTTTTTTTTTTTTTTAGATATGACCATAAAATGTTTCGAGTTAGCCGTGGTGACAATGAATATCGGTGAAACTTCAAAGTTTAGATGCCATCCAGATTACGGTTATGGCTCTGATGGTTTTGAACTTGTTATCCCTCCTAACACATGGCTTACATTTGAAATACATTTACTGAAATGGACGTGGGAAGATATTAGTCGCCGAAAAGATAGAAGTATTACTAGACAAATAATTGAACCGGGAATGAACCATTCTACACCTAGTAGTCTATCGTTAGTTAATATTCATTTAGAAAAAGAACAAAATGGCAATGTTGTCGAGGAAAAAGATGTAGAATTCAGGTTAGGAGAAGGTGAAGCTTTTGGTATCTGTCCTGGTATAGAAATAGCATTAACTAAATTTAAAAAGAATGAGAAGTCAAGACTGTTTATTCAAGGGAAACATACATTTATGACTTATGAAAAAGAAGACGATCAAGAAGTGTATGTCATCAGACTTAACTTTTTTGAAAAGGTTGGAATTTATTTAGAACATTTATTTGGAACAAATCTAGTTTAACTTCATATTACATTTTTTTACTTTTTATTTTTTTAGTTATTAAAAACTACTGGTTTACGGAATTTTAAATTTGATCATAATTTGTAAAAGGTTTTCTAAAAATTTAATGTGGAGTTAGCGGTTTTTTTTTCTTATAAGTAATTTAATTTTAAACAAAATTTTATTTGTTTGAATTCCAGTTTTATTTAACATTCAAAAAGCTATATAAATTAATAAAATAATTGTTTAATATTGATATACTACCTATAGTTGTATGCCGTCATACATGACTGTTTATAATGGTCATTAAAATTTTAAAATGGCTAGTGAAGTGTTAAATTCAAATGCTGTAAATCTTTATAGTAAAATGTTTTTACACATAAATTTTAATAAAATCAAACAATTTAACTTTAAAGTTTTATTTCATTAATGAAATTGAAACAATCATTATTATGTATAAAACTCTACTAACTTATAGATAGATTTAAATTAAATTGATATATTAAATAATTGAAAATCAACAATATTTTATTGTATGTCAATTGTAAATATTTGATAAAAGTTGACAGCAACAACATTACTGCAATGATTTACATTTATAATTCAGGAAACTGGGTACACTATAATACAAAGTTGAATTTTAAGTATAATTATTACAAATAATAAATTATAAATATGTGAGATGTGGGTTCATTCACAATTTTTTGGTTACACATGTATGTCGTACCTGTATGTGTTACTTCCATCTTACTTACACACAACATAGTAAAATTAAAATTATTTAAAAATGCAAAAACTAACATGGTTATATTTTGTTTTTGTATGAAATATTATTAGAAAAAGTTACATACAGTCTTCAAAAATATTTTCCTCTTACTTCCAGTTTTAACCTAAACACCATAATTTATATTTTAAATTTAAGTAAGAGAAAACGTATTTTAGACAGATTGACATATTTGGTATTATATATGTATATATATTTCATTTTTAAAATTTATAGATAAGAAGATAAAATGAAAGAAAATACAGAATTGTATTTTTTTACAACATAAAACATTTATTTTAATATGTTTCCATTGTATTTTAGATTCTTGACAGTTGGTCATTGACAAGTGAAGATCGTATAGAACAAGCAAAATATTTCAAACAAAAAGGAACAGATTATTTTAAAGTTAATAATTATAAATTGGCACTCAAATGTTATAAGAAAATGTTTGACTATTTAAAAGATGATATTTCAAGTATTTATTAATTGTTTTTGATATATTTTTAGTAAAAATTATTATTTTATTATTTTATTTCAGTCGATGAAAGTCAAATGAAAGAAGTCAAATTTCTTACTGTTGTGTCCTATCTAAACTCTGCTCTGTGTAATTTAAAATCAAATAGGCACACTCAAGCTAAAAATGATTGTGAAAGTGCATTAAGTATTGAGCCATTAAATATCAAAGCTTTATTTAGAAAAGGAGAGGTATGTATACTTGTTTTTAGAACTTGAATAGTTATCAAATTAACAGTTGTAATGTATACAAATAAATTAAAACACAAACAATATTTTTAAAAAGTAATTACTTTTTACCTTTATTAAATTTACCTATTAGTTTTAAATCTTTTTTTTGGTTAACCTGAATGTTAAATAAAGTATAAATTCCCCTATTTAAATAACAAAAACACTAAGGAGTTATAGTCTGGTATTTTTTTTTTCTTAAACCTGACATTGAAATTTATAAATACTACAGTTTAGCCCAAATGTAGTTGGTCACTACTAGGTTTGTCCTGGTGAAAGCCAAAATTTGTCATTTCGCTCAAGGATCATAGGAACTTTGTATTTTATCAAGGCATTTCTGAGGTTTGCCCGATTCAGAATTTTGCCCGTAACATATTTACTAAATGCTATATTTATCTGTTTATGTGTTTATTTATTTTTGTTCAATTGGGATAATAACTGTACATCAATCTAAAATTGGCTAAAAATTAAACAATTTTCTGTTTATGCAGATAAATAAATCACCAATAATCCATCTAGACCAGTGTTTCCCAGCCTTTTTTATTCTATGGTTTTCTATAATCTCATGCTTGCTTTTATTAATTAAAAATATGAAATAAATTGTTTTTAATTTTAGATATGGTAAATTTGCATGTTTATTCTTACTATTACATCATCACTATATTACCCCCACACAGTATCTAAATTCCTTCATAGAGAGGAATTACCCTCCCCCTGTTAGGAAACACTGATCTAAATAATGCATTTTTGTAAAATTCCCTACTATTTTTTAATACAAAAAAAAAAAATGTATATTTCATGTGAAATATGATATGATGCAATGGATTTTAATTTTATACTTTTTGCTTTATTTTTTATCTATCCAAGGGTCATATTTGATTAAGTATATTATATTGATTCTCCTTGACTATTGAATAAAATACCAATTGGATATTTTGAAATTTTTGAAATGTTAATATTATTTTATAACTTTAGGCTTTAATTGGTTTACACGAACTGATAACTGCAAAAGAATGTTTTGAAACTGTTTTACAAATTGAACCTAATAATCGTGCTGCTGTAGTAAAGATTAATGAATGTGAAAATAAACTAAAATCTCAAAATAAATTGGAAAAATCAGTGTATTCAAATATGTTTGAGAAATTTGCCAAAAGAGACAGTAAGTAGTTTTTGTTTTTAAATTATTTAAAATATTAATATTTATTTTATTGTTTATAGCTGCAAAAGAAGAAGAATTTTTGAGTCAGCAACCAGATGTCATGAACACACTTGGTGAATGGGGTGATGATGAACGAGAACGAGCACCTACTGATTTTGAGAAAGAGAACCCTAATATACTGATGTTAAACACGACTGGTGATTTTAAAAATATGTAAACCATGAGATTTCATATAGTATGAAATTCATTATTTTAATGTAATCATGTGGACAAAACAAACATAGGATTTTTATACTAATTTATTTGTTCAAAGTTACAATTTTATGATAGGTTAGTGAATTCTGATGATAGGTTGTTTTTTTTTTGTTTTTGTTAGTTTAGTATACACGTAATTTTTCCTATATTTTCCATAATATAATAATTTACTTTTATTGTATAATAAAAAAAATTCATAATATAATAACAATATTGTTTTCCGTATGATCCACTTTGTATTTGAAAGCGATGTATCTTGTTAGGCGTTTCAGAAAAGTTGTTAAATAGTTTTTCTTTCCATTTAGTAACCAATGCCAAAAGAATTAGAATATGGTGAATGTTTGATTCCAAAAGAATGTGCTTGTGTTTCAATTTGAACCTGAAACATTATATTAAAATTCTTGTAAAAATTAGGAACTAATTACACTTCAAAATAACTATTTAAAAATTAAGTCATGAGGAAAAAACTATGTTCATTTCATACATGTATATAATATTGTTAAGCTCTTAGGGCTCATAGCGCCCATGGTTTTTTATACGCACGTACAAGTAAACATTTTATGATTATTCTGCAATCAATCTGCTAAGGTTTTATATATTTTAAAATTGATGTATCATTTTATAAAAATCCAAAAATGATTTTATTTGCATGAACCTATTACAATTTTGTCCGTTTAACAGATTGACGTGTTAAAATGTATTGATTTTTTAAAATATAATAATGAAAATGTACTTATACAATTGTATTTAATATCATAGTATTCTATATTAATTTATAGTAAACAATATTTGTGATCAAATATAATTTGTGCTCTCTACTTATTGTGCAACCTATTGTGCATTTTTAAAACCCATGGTGATCTAGTTAAAATGTGCAGTGCGTACCAGGGTTATATTATATCGTTTATATTGCCCAAAGTGCATTTTACAAAAATTACTTTGAAAAGTAGACAATATTATACACTGACCTATTCTTGTTCGTATATTATTCCTTCGTACTGAGAATGTCTTATACCAAAAGAATAAGATGGGACAGATGATTTTAACATTGTCACCTAAAACGTTTAAAACCGTGATGTATATAATAAAACCAGTGTTTTAAGATCACTTCTGATTTTGTGTCTAATAGATTATGATGTTAAATATTTGTTGGAAATATAAATATTATCAATTTCTTTGTGTGTTAAATTAAACAGGGATGCCATTAGATTTATATGCCTTATAGGTAGTTAAAATCAGTCATTTAGATGAATTTTTGGACATGAAAATCTAACTCAATGCCTAATACAAGTTGGGAAATTCATACAAATGTTTGCTAGGCTCATTGAAGATTGAAAGTTAAATCTTTTATTAATTTTTTTTAATTAGGTACTAGTTGCTATAAACTTATTTATAGTTATAAATTGTTTTAAATTCTTAAAATCACGCAATGATTGTATTTGTAAATCTCTATTTTGGTCTCCTACTACCAATATTGTTAACTTTTTTTAAATATCTAATAAAACCGTCAAATTTAGGTGGGTGGACAAGTGGTAAATTATTGATTAGGTTTGGAAACTTTTTGCTAAGACAAGATATCCCAAGTATATTTTGTAATATTAAAAAATTGATAAAAACAAATCTCCAGCGCTTGACTGTCTCTGTCTGTATGACAATTATCGAGTACCACTGAACAGATTTAGATGTGGTTTTCACAGCAATATTATGCAATTCATTAATAAGGATTTTATGTATTCAAATTTGTCATATTATAGATTAGGTACCTACATAGTAATATTACTTTAGCACCTGGAATCGTGTTTAGAAACCAGTTGGTAGCTCAGTTTAGTTTCATCTACCCGGGTAAGCACGATGCTCGAAGTACACCTATACGCCATCAATAAAGTTACGCTCACCCAACTCGTTTTCAATTAAATGGCAATGTATATTGTTGTTGGGATCATATTTTGTCCATATTTGTCTACTGTAATGATATATTTTTGTATATAAATGGGTAGGTACGGGAATAATCGGGGTCCCAGTCGTAGAGGTCGCCGAACAAACCTTTTCGGGAGAATAGGCTCCCGGTCCCGGCCTAGGGGAATGGTCGCCCGGCATCGTGTACCGGGCGCTGACCGTGAACGCGGGTGATTTGGGCTTGATGCTGTCGGCGCTTACGTCGTTGTAGGCGCCGGGGCCGGGGTTGAGGAGACGGCCGTCAGGGAACTCCTTGGTACGGCCCGAGATGCTGAACGACGGCGCGGCCCGAAAGTGTCCCTCCTTGGCGGCGCCCATCACGGTCGGGATGTTGTACACGTTGGGCGCCGGGTTCGGGTTCGGCTTGTCCAACTGCGTCTTCAACCCGAACGTGTACTGGGGCGAGTGTTCGTGCATCACCTTCTCAGACTTCTCCGGGTTGTAATCGCCCGGCGCCGGGAAGTTGTCGGTCCGCGCATCCTTAGGCCTCGAGTGCAGTGTTGCGGCCGGCGGTGTGTCTTTGCCTGTAAGTAGGTAAATCGATTGGCTACATGTAAACTCCTATACAAATTACTTTTTTATTTTTGTTTAAAACACAGTGCAAACTCCTACATAGTCCCTTTTTTACCTGCCGAAAATATATGGCGTAATCTCCCTAATAGTATTAATTCATTGCACTTATTAATTTACTTAATTTACCTATTTTAATAACTAGAAAAAAAAAATCGTATTATAATATTTTGATTTTTGTAATTTATGATTGATTTTTTATCTATTTTAAAATAACTTATTTTACTTTTTATAACTTTACAACTATCTAGTATAAGAGTTAGGGGTTAACACTGTATTTTTTAGGAGATTACCTAGGTACTTTTGTAGGAGTTTACCAGCACCCAGTCGATTATGGCGTCATGGAGGTACGTACGTTGTTTTTATGCGATATCGTTGAGTATTATCATAGCCTATATTATATCGGGCGATTCATTTAAATGGGTACACTCATTATCTCGGAAAGTATTACATTTTTTAGAATTCGTTTTCTAAAACATTTAAGAAACAATTAGCTATACAGTTTTATATTTATGTTATTTTTCGTAATCCCTATTTTGGGGGGTAAAACCACTATCTACTATTGATTTTCAAATGACAACCTTTATTAAAAATTCCACAAATAGATGGACTATTAGTTAAAATAAATTTGAGTGTTGAAATTGTTTATTTCTGTCGAGCCGTTGATGAGATATTCCACTTTTAATTTTGGATTGGAGAAGAATAGTGGTGCATTTATAACACGTCGAGCGCCGTACCGTCACACAAATGACACTCTACTACTCTCCTCCAATCCAAACTTAAAAGTGGAATATCTCGTCAACGGTTCAATGGAAATCAAAAACGTCTACACTAAAACTGATTTTAACTAATACGCCATATATTTATGGATTTTTAAATATAGGTTGCCGTTAGAAAATCAAAAGTAGGCAGTGGTTTGTTTTACCCTCAAAAATAAGAGTGAAAAAAAATAACATGAATATAAAATTGTATGATTGTTTCTTAAATGTTCTGGAAAACAAATATCAGAAAAAATTAATACTTTCCGAGATAATGAGTGTACCCACTTAAATGAATCACCCAGTATAAGTTCGTAAACATTACCAACTCGGCTCGGAACCAAATTTCAATTTTTCAAGAGAGGCCAAACATAATACTTTTTCGGAAAATTAACTAACATTTCTATTAAATTGGCTAGCAAAAAAAACTAACACCTATTACCGATGGGTGTGCCATTTATTTATGTAAGTTTTATGTAAGTGGGAAGAAGTTGGACAGATAGGATACATACATTTAGTTAATTTATATTTGTAAGCAACGAATAAACCGTTGCTAACGAAAAACAATTATGAGCGAAATTCGTATATACATAATTTGAAAGGCAATAAAATATTTACGATTTTCATCAAAATTTGTTCTTAAGTCCACTATAAAAAAAAAAAAATTACAACTATATAATATTCTACTTATTTTTTACCACTAAGCGTGACTTAAAATAAACTTCCCATTAAATTTTCAAGCATTTTTGATTAGTCAAACAATTTTATTACATTTATATAGTACCTACCAAATAAATACTTGCAAATTTAAAAAACAAGAAAGTTTACAGACAACACACTAAACAGATGTTGAATTATTTGCAATTAAAACAAAAATGTTGGCAACATTGGCTTTTGTGCCACTTCAAAATGCAGTCAAAGCATTTGACGAACTTGTTGAGAGGTCATTTTTCGATTTTCTCATGAGTGTTACCAGGAAATGTGAAAAACCGGGATAAAACATGGGAAAACTGGGAAAAACGGTACAGCATTAAACAAATATTATTAAAGAAAATATATAGAGCTTATTTAATTATTTCACTATATTATGGCATATATATTGTCGACAAAGTATCACTATTACCTGAACTCCGCTCAGAATCGTTTTTTCGTAAGCAATGATTTATCGTTTACAGATATACATTAAATTCCCGTCTGTATCATATCTATCCAACTTCCCATTTATACCCGTGACTTGTCCGTCCCCATTATCTTAACTTTTTTTTTAATTTCATAGAGATGCCGATGAAGACTGGCACAAAAATTGCAATCGTAATTACGGAATCTCTACGAAATAAATTGCCATACATAGATTAAATCTGGCGTAATAGCAAGTTGCAGGTGGTTATAATGTGTCCATTTGGAAAATGTTTGAAAGTTTATAGAGGAAAATCGGACTAGTTAAACTAAAAGTGACATACGTTGGTGATGCTGTAAGCCAAACAGAAAATTTATAAAAAAGGCGAAATAATTTTCAAATTATGACATATCTTCAATAAAATAGGTATTTGAAAAGTATGGCATACAACACTGACCTGATATTTATTTATTTTTATTTTAATTCATTTTTGTTTTTTTCATTTATATATTAATTATGCATAAAAATTTAACTATAGGTACAAATTAAAAAGTATAGATTAACTGTTTCGCCGATGTATCCATTCGACAAAAATAATGAATAAGTACCCAAATGTGGGATATGATGGGACACGTTCTAAGACACGATGAAGAATATTGCGTTACACTTGCAGGTTCTATTGATGGACAAACACTACTAGAAAGACCAAGAAATACATATTTCAACTGGAAAAAAAAAAAAAAAAATGCGAGGATTTCGGCTTGCTGAAGACCGTGAGAATTGGTGAATGAAATCGAACGTTGTAAACTAACTCGACAATAATGATTGATAGAAAAACAAAATAAACTAACCTTTTGCGCTCAATCCAGTTATGTTGTACTGGCCGGGTCCGGGTCCAGCACTATCGTTTTTTTCGTTGTGTCTGAAAATAACGTTTATTTTCAAACTCTATAGTTTTATAATTTTCTAAATTGGTTATATTATCATTGCTTGTTTATCTTTAAATAAACTTTATTTTATAGGCGTTAAACTCAACACAAGTAATCGGATAAACAAAATCACATACCTAGCTCCAAAACTAAAGGCCGGTGCACGTCCACGTTTAGATTCGGGTACTAAGTTTCCTGTAAAAATGGGTTGAAATGTATTTGAACAGACACGATCGAGAGGAATTGTTTGTACTAATATAGTGTTACACATAGGTAGTATATAATACTATGGATATAGAAATGAAAGACTACTTACCGACGAGCGTTGGTAAAGCTACTGCGGCTGGCCCGGGACCGGAAAATTCAGCAGCTATCGGGCCTCGTCTCTTGGTCGGTGTCCATTGCGATTGTTTGAGTCCGCCCATGGTATTAAGTCGAGTGTATTTATATGGTATTTAGGTACCTTGAAATGAGACAGTTGTTTTGGTAAAAATTCAGTTATTGTCTTCTAGTAAGAATTAAAGAATCACTGCACGAGGAAATAAAAGGTAGATTGGCATTACTATTATAGCTTGCTAACCTATCTCAAGAATCATTAAAAAATTCTGTACAAAAACTGGGTAGTATACCCGCATGGGAATACTTACAGCCGATTCTAACGTATTATGACTGTGAAACTTGGGCAACTATCTAGAGAAGCAAAACCACCGGAGTCTAATCGTTTTTGGAAACCTGGACAGTAGCTAGTTAACAAATTAAAAGTTTAAGTTACAAGTTGCTCTTTTGGTCGGTCAGTGGTCACATTTAATTAAACAAGTTAAAAACAATAGAGTGTTACAGAAAATTACTTTTTAAATTTACTATTTCTTTAAGTAAAATAATTAAAAAATAACTAGTAGTTTCTATTTTTTGTTTACTTAACTCACTTAATTTAACAAATTGTTTGACATTGTACAGCTCTACGCCTTTAAGAGAAAAATGTGTATCATCTTGGGTCTTTCATATAATATTTTATATTATTCCCATAGACTTTAATGCATTATATGTTATCTACTGGTCACGATGTTTTGAATTGTTAAAAAAAAAAAATGATGACCATGAGTGCATAATGTTGCTTACGGGCAATGTAAAAATTACTTTTATCTAAATAGGATTTAAAAAAATAAATTTTTTATTTTTCCTGTAAACAAAAGTGCTCAAAGGATAAAAAAAAAAATAACAATAAAAAAGTCATTCATTGTAGGATTAAAATATAGAAACGAAGTCACACGAGAAAAGACGCGATGACATACCGAGTTACAGACTATATTTGGAAGGCCGAACACACCTCAGTAATAGCTTCTTCGCTATACACCAGGAAAACCTAAAAATTGTCGCAAATGTTTTATAAACAATTAGAGGTATAGCTGGTGGTAGCGCACAGTGGGTTGGCTTATTGACGTTTCGTCGTACCTACACTTTCAAGGTTTTTGTCGGTCACGGAAAAACATCAACGACACTATACTGTATCGTTATAAATATATATTATCGTCACGGTTACATATATATTTTTTTTTTTTTTTAAACTGAAATACACTAATATTTTCAATCAGATCTCGTATAGTTGTATTGTTATTTATCATTTATACAGTGCAATGACGCACACACGGTTGGAAGGTATGGTGGGCGACTTTCACCCCCCCCCCCGCCGCCGCCGCCGCCGCCGCCCCCGTGATACCACGTCGTAAACGATTTTAGCGTTCTAAAATTTTGGACCGAATGTGCGCCAACGATATATAATGTATATAACGAAATTATTAATTGATATTTGCAGCTAACCAGTCGTATATTTTTCGGCAGTGCGTATCCAAGAGAAAAAAAGTACGTATTATCTGTCTATATATAGCGTATTGCGTGACAAGCGCTGAGAATTCGAAACGAATCAATTTCGAATCTATGTATTGAAACAATAGGTATGGCCATAAAATAGAATTATATTGTACGAAACATACACCGCAGAAATTAATTTAACTTGCAGTTAAGGTACCTGTGATATGTATTATGTTATTTTCCGGAAAACTGTACACGAACACGTAAAGTCACCTAATTATTGATGAATGACATCGCATATGTATACGCATGCTTGTATAGATACGATTTTACATAAAATAAAATAATAATATCGGCCGTCGTGCAGGTCATACATAAAATAAACGGTGTAACGTTAACTAATTTATTTAACTAGTTTAAGTTTTCATTGTGTACAGTAAACTTAATTTGTTACATTTAATTTTCATGAATTTTCGGGTGTTAACGAGTTAACGAGTATTGAAGACTATTTGCTGTATAATAGTTTGATTTGGTTTATTTGGATATAAATGAAAAAAAAACGTCCTAAGATAATGGGGGACGGGTGCAGCCACCGTCATAGATAATTTAATGTATATTTGTAAGCAACGATAAATCATTATTTACGAAAAAAACGACTCTGAGCGAAGTTCAGTTAATAGTGATGATCTGTCAACAATATATATATATATATATCATTTTATAGAAAAATAATTAAATGGGCTTTATATATTTTCTTCAATTATATTGTATCGTTTTGTCCCAGTTTTCCCATGTCTCATCCCGGGTTTTCGCACTTTCTGGGAAAACTCGTGAGAAAATCGAAAAATGACCAGAGTGCCTCCCCACGCCGATTTCCTTTCAGGAAAGGTGCTACACGTAGAAATCCGAGCAAGTCCTCTGGCAGAAAAGTTGCGCAGAGATAAAACAAAAAAAAATGAATATCTTTGTAAAACAATAAGCTTTTCGCTCCACTCAGAATTTAAAATATATGTTACCGAATATTGAATACTTTTAATGTTGATTGTTTTGTTGTTTTTTTTTAACTTAACTTAATCGAGTTGATTGTTTTCATTAATTTGACCACCTTAGCCTGTATAAGCACCTATATAAGGAGGAGTAGGTACGCCTCGACGAAGGTCATTTCATACGCGTCTCAGCGCGCAGTAGCGATTTTTTTTTAAAGTTTACCTGGAAAAAACGAATATTTGAAACGCTATGTATATTATGTATTTTTAAATTTCCCAAAAACGCTATACCTGTCTCATACATAAATACTGCAGCTAGAGGGTGTGGCAGTGTTTTCAATGTAACCTCGTAGTAAATAAATTATCACCAGCTGATTCAGTAAGTAAATGGGTTATTTTTCAACAGCAGGTATACACAGTAAAAAGTTCGGCCACCTTTTCTGCGAGGGTGTTCGTAATTTAACAGTATTTGAATAAAGTAATTTTTTAGCGGCATCATGAATGCAACGCATTGAAATACGATTAGTAGCTGATATAATTGGTCTGTGCGGGATTTCGACGACTATTTTAAACGAAATAAAATCTCGGACATATTCGCAGTGGCGTGTGGATTTAAGGAAGAAGGTCAGCGGTCGTAATTTTAGTCGATATATAGCAATTGATTTTCGGCTCGCTGGATTGGAAAATTATACACGTTAACGGGGGGGGGGAAAGGAAATAAATTTTCTCTGAAAATAATATGATACCTAATAATAATAATTCGAATTAGTAGAATTTTTTAACCTATTGCCTATTAAAACCGTCTGAAAAAAAACCAAAAAAAAACTACCCTAGAGTAATTTCTTTATAATGGATTACCTTTAAACCGGATAACGGACAAGTCCGTACAGTTTTGATAATTATCCGAATTCCTACTGAAAGCTTGGTCAGAATTTATTCCAACCGTTATTTGTATATTATTTAAGAGCAGCACACACTCCTGTGAACTATTCCGGCGGTCGAACGGGAGAAAACGCCCCAAAAGGTTAAGCACCAAGTTTTAGAATTGCAGTGTACTTAAACAGTTGCACGCGTAATAATATTCTGTTTATTATTTCTGTAAACGACCTAATTCGCGAACAACCTTTATCTCAGTTCGGTGAATGAAAACGAAAAAAACAAACTTCGTACTTTGACCTCTTGTCAAGCTTTTTGTTTTTACTTAGTAGGTACGACACATCGCATTATATTATATACGTATTGTCTGTGCAACGTTATTAAGCCGCCGTACCATCCGCCGGTTAAACATCACTGGTAATAGTCACGCGATTCGCGTTCAAAGATTCTCGTGTGTACATTTCCGTTTACAAAATATCATACCATCACGATGTCGTTTCGCGCGAGAAAATTACCTATTTTATATTATAGCGGAAAATCGCTTTGCACACAGTAGTATAGGTATACTCATATTTAGATGAGTGTAGGTACCAGGGACGGCCTGGCCCGCTAGGATATCGGGAAATATCGGGATAAAAAATCCCGGCGGCCTGGAAAAACTGAGGGGAGAAAGCAATTACTCCCCTCTCCCCCCCACGTAAAAGCTGTGTGATGTTCTTTTTTGTTTCAAAATATCCATAATTCTTAAGTACACATAAGCACAAATGCAACTGGTTCCAAATGCCATAACGATGATGCCGGAAATACTTCGTTTGAAACAAGAATGAAACACTTCTCATTTATAAATTTCAATAAATATTCTCTCAAGGATGAGATAGAATTATGGAAAACTAAGTGGGAAAAATCAATTTGCAAAGATACAATAAAATAGTATATTTTTAGAATTGAAATCGGAAATGATTAATTCAATTTAAATTTTTGATTCTGAGTGTAGCGAATAATGTACTTATTGGATTTACAATGGTGGTTTTTTATTTTTTTTATACTGTGACAAATATGTCAGACCAGAAATCTTACGTCAATATGTAAGTGTAGCACCACTTTTGAAATAAAATATTGCCATGTTGACTAAATGGTACTTTAGGTAGGTAATTTTTTGATTTTCCAAGCAGTGGTCATAATATCACGGTGACTCAGGATAAAACGCTAAGGAAAACGGGGAAATTTACGAAAGTATGCGATTAAAAAGGGTAGGTACACCCACACAAATATATTAGACATTAATAATTAATGTTAAGAAATCGCGATTTACAGATAAGTACGTGAAAGTGGTACGGAAAAAAAAAAAAAAAAAAAATTAAAAATCCATGCAACGAGGTCGACGGAACGGAAACGATTTTCGTCTCGGCAAGCGTTACCTATATATTATGTAAAAGGAGCACGTGGGAGAAACAAGATTTAAGTGCACGGCTACACGGGCGCCATTTGATCTGAAAACCCACAGTGTAATCAGCTCGTGTAATCCTAGGCGAGTCAATTTGAATATTAAAATTGAATAAATTCGCGCATTGAAACCGCGTGGTTACACTTTACACCGATAAATTAAATCGCATATGAATGCGTAGTAGACCTACCCGTCTTTACGACTACATCGTCTGTTCAAACAGTGCGACTGTCTAGTTTCATTGGGTATTAATCACCGCAGTACGTACGTCTTCGTGTCACAATAAATAAACACCAACGGGGGGGGGGGG